CGGAGTGAAGACTCACCGAGAGGCTGAGAAGATCCCTATATTACCCGGTATCGGTATCGCCGGGGTACGAGGCAAAAATACGCCAGTCTCCGTCATGGCATTTCCTCTCCTCTCAGGCAACTTGAACCAATATCCCATCGCGGGGTTTAATATCCTTCTCGCCACCCACGGCCGGCTATGTAGTCCCGTGTGGAGAGAGCGAATCAATCTCGCGCAGTAGTATAGGCCTTTGGAATTCTGTAAGCTAAACCGCGGAATCCGAAGATAAGCCGGCAACGGTCATTGGCGTAATGCACCGTAGTCATGATAGCCAACGCAGATCGGTGGAACTGCCACCTTATCTCGTCCCCAAACCTCAGTCTTCAAATCTTATGAAATGTCTTCTCCTAAGGGATTAGGTCTCACCCGGATCATTCCGCCTGTGGCGTCACTGCTTATGACCGGTACTTTTGTGCCTTTGCTTTTGACCTCCCACTTCAGGGGAGGTACTCGCTTTTTTTTTTTTAACTCTTTTCTGTGCGGTTCCTGCGGTTATGTGAAAATTCAGAAATCATAAGGTGTTGATCGGTCCCATATGGAGGATGATTGCCCGAGAGACAAGGGGTAGTAGAGTGGAAGAAACTGACACTGAACGACTTTTTGATTTACTTCTCAAATCCTTAGGGAATGCACCGCTATATATACACCTACGGTCTCAATCTTGATAAGAAGCTCTCCAGAGACAACCAACAGGGACCAGCTAGCATATCTCACTGAGATAAGACCCCTGGAGACCTCATTGGATCTGTCGTCAGTCTACACCGCCATTGCGACTCTGCTATCTCCAGATTTCAACCCCAGAGTTTGTGCTTCCATCGGCTCTCCGGGTGATCCGCCCCATATGCGGATCCAGTGGCGTCAACATGTCAGATCAGTGGACAATGAGCTTATCTTTTGGGCTCTTGAAGAGATAAATGGGGGTTATGACTGATCCTTTTCCAGAGAGTCCCTGGCTTGCTGATCCTCAGATTGGTTCAATCTCAGTTATCACAGGAATACAGTTGATCTCCTCGGAGATATTCGAATCTGCTTTATCTATCCCCTATCAACTGGAGCTGTCATTGAACTTCTATCTACAGATCTATTGCTATCTCATATCTTCCTTGCAAATGGCCTTGGCCCGGTTCCCCTTTTTCTCTTACTCTTATGCACTTCCTACCTCTTGACATTGCAGACATCTGTGTGCCTTTAGGGCTTTCAGGCAGCCACTGTCTTTGCCCAATCCCTTCTTGCATGTGAGATATGGAAAGTGAAAAAGATCATAGGGACGATCAGCTCTCCTTGTGTTGACTTGTGTTGGCTTGATTTGACCAAATCGCACTTTGCATTTGCATCATATGCCTACCCGGATTAGTGTTCTGCGATCTATCATTAGTGACCAAGCATGGGTGCATCTCGCATATACACAGCATCACCGCAAGTGGAACCTCCATGCATCACACATACATACAGACCGGCTGAACCTGAAGTCATGAATAGAATACAGTACTAGAATTACAAGAATCATATGAAAATATGCAAGTTGTTATGGAATATGTACAAGATCTATACTGCAATTGAGGATGGCAGCAGGCCAGTGCCCTGGGAAGCATCTGGAGCCTCGAACTAGGTAGTCTGTAGGTCCATCGCAGCCATAGAATGGACAATCCTGCAACGGGATTTCCATTCATTCGACCAGTTCTGTGCCGTTGCAACCCCAAAGGATAAAGTGGAAGGGCCGTGAAGTCACGGAATGTATATATATCAATCGTGTAGCAAAAGGGGGAATAGAAAAGAAAACAAAGTCTATAGGAGAATCCAAAACAAAACCTTTCAAACATGTATGAGAAAATTCACTCCCCCGAATACCACCGGCTAGAAAAAGATGACCCCCATAAAACCAGGTGGAAAATGCCATAAACACGAAAAAGCAAGCATGACAAACCAGAGCCTTCAACACATTGAAAGACCCCGAAAAGGTCAGGGGAAAAATAAAGAGATGGAACCATGCCATGATAGAAAAAAGACAAGAAATCACGGGGAATGCCACCCGAAAGCCCTTGCGCCCGCTAATGACTAGCTGCAAAGCAGACCTGTCACGGTGTATGAGGCGAAAAAGTAAAGTTGGAATGCCAATGGAAATGGAAATGGGAAAGTGCATGTCCCACGGGGTATTTAGAAGTGAAACAAGCCGTCTAGGTGATTTGCGCAACAAAATCCGAACCAGAAGAGATGTAAAAGTGGAGCGTGGCGAAGAGAAAAGAGAGAGAGGTTCATGAATTTGGGGAACGTCCTGGAGGGCCGGGATGTCCCATTGGAGGGTTGTAAGGCTGTTGTGCCTCACCAGTGTACATGGGATATGGCACCACGCCCATCGGAGGCATGGCACTCATATCCTGCCACTGGGTGTAGTTCATGCCTGGTGGGTAGGAGACTGAACCGGGCGTCTGCATGTCAGAACCGGGAGATCCTTGTGAACCCAGTGCATTCGGGGCAGAAAGAGGTTGAGCGGGTGTTGTCATCCTCCGTTTCAGCTCTGGAGGCATCTGAGGATGATATTGATTGGGATAGGCTGATCCCATATCCTGTCCGGGGTAGCTCATCGTTCTCGGCGGCGGCGGCGGTGGTACCTGCCAGACTGTTCCATCTGGCTGCATGGCAAAGGCTGGGGTTGGGTTCATAGGCGTTTGATTTCCCATTGGAGATGCGGCAGATATCGGCGAAGGTGGTGGTAGCCCCGAGGGCATGTTCCCAGGATTCCACACATTGGGTGCCATGTTCATCATTTGACCCTTTGCTGCCATTGTATTCAACATGTGCGGGTCTGATATTGTCGTAAATTCGTCCCACGCGACCCCTGCGTCCATAGTCTGGTGTCCAGCGAAGTCTCCCGGTCCCATAGGCCGATCTGATTCGAAACGGTCAGTTAACAACTTGGCCTGGTAATAACATGGAATGCGACAATGCCACATATGACGCAAACCTACCTGGTGTTAGACCCATTGGGTTCGTTGCAACCATGTTGACATTGTAAGGCGAAAGTTCCTGCGCGGATGAAGTGTTCATTGGCATGGTTTGATATGGATAGTAGGACTCGGCGGGATCGGGGACCAAGTTGGTCGGAGAAGATGCAATTGGTGTAGTGTTCGAACGCTCGGTTGATGGGGTCTCCAATCTCGAGTTTGGGCGTGATTTCTTTTCGATTGGCGGTTGCTGATCCACGGGGAAGAATTGACAGTCCTTTCGTAGCCGAATACAGTTCTCACAGCGCCCTTCTGCGTCATCTGGCGCTACCAGGCATCGAATCTTTCGTCGTCGGCAATGTACTGTAGATGTATGAGCTAAATTGCCGATTTGCATGCCCGCTATGCCACCCTGAAAAGGGTTTCTCGTTCTTGATCGACATATCTGCGCACGACAGAGAGAGGAGGTGTGATTTGGTACTGACCACATGCGACAGATGTCCGGTGATACCCCAATTTATTGCGCTTCTTGTCGTTTGCGTCCAGGGTGGCGCTTTGTGATGTCGGTGTTGATGCCATTTCGTCGACAGCTGCGGGCATAGCTCCCACAAGCAAGGTTCCGTCGTTATATCGGTTGAAATAGCATCAATAGCCCCTGCGCAACGAAAGGGGCGCGTTGCCAGAAATCACGCTGAAAGTGCCTAGAGGGGTGATCGAATGCGAATGCGACAATCCCCACAAGGCCATGCAAACACCACCAGAAAGAAGATAGCCGAGGGGTGTAGTATCGGAGGATGACACTCCAATCCTCACGCCTAGATCCGCATGCGCTGATATTGCGCGTTTCAGAAAAGGGTAGCCGGGGGTATGTTAGGGCCCGCTGAGTCGTATGCCCGTAAAGTGGTAGTGTTGCAGCAGAATCCGGTCGAGGATAGATTGATTCCCAGGCCCTCAAAATCTCCAGTTATTGCGATTAATCAACGATAATTATAATTAGAGTGTTCATGGAAGACGGGCCTTTAGACTGGGTTAGGGTCTAGAAGGTTATCGTGGTCCAGTTTGAGATCGGGGAAGAAACAGACTAGGGGGAGACCAGTCAAACGATAATAACCAGAAAGAGATTAGTAAAGGGAAAAAAAATAAAAGAAAAAGAAAAAAATACGCAATTCAAAGGAGTGAATGAAGTGAACGGTTTGAAGGGAAAAAGAGAGCAGATCGAGGATGTACTATAGTCTGAAGAGACAGAAGCTAATCGCGGGGTGAAACGCTCTCTAGGCCTCTGGTTTCGGGTTTTTTCCTTTTTTTTTTACCTGTAATTGAATTTTATTTTATTTTATTTTCAGTATATCCCACCGTACGTGGAACAAGGTGGCTCTGCATACTAAGACTAACTCGGATGTATCGACTTAGCCCAAATCAACTGCAGGTCATTGTCAACGGACCACATTCGATGATCAGTTCAGGGGGCCCCGACAACTTTCCCTTAACCTTCAACCTTAGATTGAACCTATTGAAGTAGTTTCTGTCCTTTATGAAAGAGGGGGAAATTCTCTATGTTCCTTATGTCCCTTATGTCCATGTGTCCATGTTTCTTTTTAAATCCTGTCACCGTCAGAGTGATTCCCTAGGAACATATCTTGATTAGGTAACTGTTCAACGCCCCTGATTGCGTACGATAGACCCAACTCATCAAATGAGGTCGAGGCAAGGAACCATGGTCTGGGAGCCCTGACACAGTGGGGAGTGTGGGTATTGGATGGTGGCCGCTCATAATGTACCAGTTGGGCTTAGACCAAGGAGGGATACCTGTCAATCATTGATGAACTGGGGAATACTTCCTTCAAGTTCCGGCCAAGTGATTGGTGACGCGAGCTTAGGTCGGCACCTGCAACCAATAAGCTCGTTATTCCGAGGGTCCATTGCCCCAAAAGAAACCTTCTCTCTCTGGTCATTTCAGAGGATGATCCGAGAAACCTTGAGGGCTTCTGGAAGGCGAATGTACTGTAGCTTGAGAATTATGCCCTGGCCTTCTGGAAGACTACAGTAGAAATTTCGCAATCCCATAACCAGACTGAAACGAACCACTGGTTGATTGGTTCTAAAAACAGATTCAGGGTCCACGGCTGATGTGTATCAGGTCTTACCCGAGAAAACCGTAGGTATTCGGTTTTTCCCTTCATTTCTTTTTTCATTGTGTTCTCGACAGTTGTTTCTCGTGGATTTTCCCTTCACATTTTGCCCCTTACTTGCCTCTTTGCGTAGCCGGTAGCTTAATCCTAATTTGGCTTCAATAAAATGACATCTTCCGCCACATTTCTCCAGCAAACAAGAAAACTGCCCAGAAGATCCCATGGAAATCGGTTGGCTCACCAATGAGAGACCGCGAACATTCTTAGTCAGGGTTCCTACCACGGCGTCCCTTGGATGAAAAACCTCTAGTAAGTCAATCAGGTCAATCTTAATATTATAATTACTGTTTCACTACCGTATTCAATTTCTACGGAGTACGTGGTCCTTGTGAAAGCCCTCAAAGCCAATCTGTACAGAGTATAGGTCGGTAGAAAACCGATGACATAACTGCAGCTACACAGCCCTGAACTACACCCGAGTAGGATATCAGTCCGAAAGCCTCAAGACACGCCCTACACAGTAAGAATCAGAAGCGATCTCATCCTGTAACTGTGGGGCTGGTCAAGGTTTAATTAAGGATCGTCTCGACGGTGGTAGCGCGTTACAGGTAGGTCTTGGCATTTAGGCTCATCGAGTTTTGTCTACTAAAGCCTCCTATGCATGGTTCTACGAGATCCCACTAAAGGGGGAAACGGGTCAAGAGATCAGCGATGGGGTCCATGTGTTTGTTCTACAGTACACAGAAAGAAAAAAAAAAGAAAAAAAGAAAAAAGGGGTGGCGATGATCCCAAGCGAAAACGTGTCACCAGCGTGGCTTGGGGAGTGTTCAGATGTATGGAGTATGGTGTAACATGTAGTGGACTACGATCTTCAGATTATACGGGTGTACCACGTCAACAAATTCCCCTTAAGGCCAATAGACGCCACCGATCACTTGTACTGGCTCTCTGACGCTGGCTCTCCTACCAAAGTACGTACATGTACAGGAGGCCCATGTAGTTTGGAGCATGTCCATGCTATACGCTGACCTTCTGTACCCAAGGGAATGGCTCGACCGCCCTTTTGCGAAGAAACTACATACGCTTCAGCCCCGCAGCACAGCACGCTCTGGTCAAAGATCGACGAAGCCCGGGTCTTGTACAATGGTCAGGAGCCGATCCCATTGGGCCTCAGATCAGAGACTCTTTGGGGTTGGGGTGCGTCTGTAGCGAAACGATCAACACATGTATCGTGACGCGGCGAATGTCAACTGCGATAGATCTCGCACTAGCGCGAGGCAGGCGACTCCGCACTCATAAGACCTATGTACGAGAATAGCATGAATGTCCGTTGTAATCGGCTTTAGTTGAGCAATTAGGTAACGCTTCAACGGCGTCGCGTCGTCCTCGATCGAGCCAATTGTTTAAAGTGAAACAAGGGTCCAGGGCTGAGCACGATCTCGGTTTCTGATCTCGCGAGCCAAGAATCCCTCGGTGGATAGAGGCATCCTCACATGGAATTTCTGATTGCCTTCTAGAAGACTACTCGCTGGAGCTGTTGGAGTTGTGCAGATATTCCAACTGTATGATGATTTGTACTTCAGTCGATCTCAACTATGCCAATCTAGGATTAGCAGGCAGCCATGTCCTCTCCTGCCAAATTTCTCAAGTGCCGAGCTCCGCAGTGGCGCCTTTGTACCCGGTAAAGGCCATTCGCAGTGAGGTCTCTGAAGGAAGTTGTCCGATACTCTGCCCTATACTCCGTATGTCGCGTGGCATTCCGGGCTAAGTGCTGTTTTAGACGGTCTTCTCCGGCCCTGCATCCTGCATCCTGCATTCCGGGGAGGGGTTCAGTTAGGAGAAAGGCTTAGTTCCGGACTACAGTAGTTGTAAGGACTTATATATGCCGCATACTCCGTATAAACTGGGAACTAATGTTAACATACTGTGACGAGACATTGGACTGAGACATGTTTGAACGGAGAAATAAGTGAACTTACTTCCTAAATCTAATAAACTGTAGAGATCTGATGGAGTATCAATGCAGGGACCTCACTGGCCTCCTCTGTCTGGTCCGGCTGTTTCACCATCTTAGGGCCCTTGACTTCATTGGGGCACTCTCGGCTGCTCATGGGTCAACCCTTTTTAACTTGCAACCTACCTTACGCGTCCTCCCCAAGAAAATATTTCTCTGGGGTCCTCCCCTATTATGATTCGCGCAATTCTCTTTTTTGGTTTGAGAGGCGAAAAGGAAGGTGGTATTTGTTCGAATTTTTTGTTTTATTCTTTTTCCCCTCTGGCGCAGGCATTCCACTGGCTTTTCCGACTCCAAAAGACGGCTTGGATCTCCTTTCCCCACGGCTTTCCCGGTGAGAAGACTATCAAACGCTTTTCCGGCCCAAAAAAAGGTGGCGTTTCCAACCGCGGACTCATTCAACTCCATTTCTTGGAAATTGCCATTGACCATAGTATACGCGATTATACGCTCTGTGTGCCCTGAGCTTGTCAAAAGCTCCGACTGAGCCCCAAAGTGCCTTGTCATGAGAGCAAAATTACTTGGCCTTTCACTGGGAACTCATTTTGACGACCGCGCTAACATTAATACCCGGCTAATATGTACTACATACTACTGAGACATGATTTAATCTATCTACAGCCCATCAGATAGCCGATGTCACCCTAGACGCTCACGCGCACCACGACCGGAACATCTACCGCCCTCGCTTGCCTGATACAACACGCGACGCATGTCCGCCCGGATCGACTGATGATCGCATGACACCCGACAGAAGCACACCATGCCCGAACGAACGTTTCCTTGTCTCGGCTGCCTCGCGCGTCGATTATGATGATCTCTGGGGTGGGAGGAGCCTCGGCATCTTGCGATGATCGCGTCCGCTGCGGCGCCGAGGTGTTCGACAGACATGCAAGCGGGATATACTTGTATGAATAGGACCGGTGCAGTGGATGACCTGGCAGGCGCGTCCATTTCGACTCGTGCGGTTTTGTAGGCTCTCGCCCTTCCACGTGCTCTCGGCCGAGGTAGTTTCTGGCGGCGGCACCCAATGGCACACGACACTCGTGGGCGGAAACGAAGCGTACATTGTACTTGAGGGCAAAAGAAACAGTAGTTGAGCCCCCTGCGCCTTCTGCTTCATCGATGGAGAATGACACAGTTGCCTCGTCCGCAGGCGTAATGACTTTCCCGTCGTCGCATGGAGATCTGACACTATTGACCGATAGACTCAACAACTTGACTTGGTCATTGGATGTTGCGCTTGACTCGGGTTCTTCCACTGGAAGTGTAAAGGCCTCTGCCGTGATATCTCCCACGCCCAACGGTGATGATTCTATTGCAACCTTAGCTCCCTGCTTGATTCGAGGCCTACTCGAAATCTGCGGCACCTGCTCAACAGGGAGTTCAAACCAACCACGCTCAAGTATCTCCAGCGTAGTTTTATCGCGGGGAAGCATGTCGCTGCTGATCCACCCCATGCATGTATTGGCTCCTGTTGAACTAGACAAAACGCGCCCAACGATACATGCCTTGCTCCACCAACTGCGTCCGCCATAAACAAACCCACCGTAGAGATCAGCAATGAGACCCAGCTGCTCTAGCGCATCAGCATCATTCTCTAGCAGTGTAGCCATGAGAAGATGACTGATCCCCTCACCGGGGATCACAAATCCAGAGAGCCAAGTACGCGAAACCCAGCCTAGGGCTTTAGATTGTGGATCGCCAGAGCTATGGAGCTTCACGCGTCGGCGGCAGGGATTCCGGGTGTACATATCCCCCTTGGCCAGTGAGCTCCCACTGGATATAGGTTTCGCCCCCTTATCATCAACGACCAAGGCTGGAAGGATCGGGTTTTCTGCGTCACCTAGCTTAAAGTTCATTGCAGCTTTCAAGGCATCGATGTTTGGCCATCCAATATTTTCAGCGAAAACATATAGTCCCTCCAACTGTTGTCGGACGTGCGATGAGCTTAATTGACAGTCCCAGGCAGACTGCAGATTCGCAACTGGAGACGACTTGCGTCGAGTGAGAGCATCAATGAAGGAAAAGTGACGACCTTTCTCGGGCGACTTGCTAGCCGAAGAGGGTGCCGAAGAAGCATCAGGAGGTGACTGTGATTCCGATGATGCGCAAGTGATATCCAGACTGTCAAGGAACCGACGCACAACAATCAAATCCCAGTTGACCTTCCCTTCACGCAGCTTGTCGAATTGATCAAGTTCGTGTATTGTGACTTGACCCCCATGCGGATCATGTAACATGCCAACACGAACAAAAGCGTCCAATCGAAGAAGTAACTCCGCAGAGAGAAGCATTTGGATCATCAACCACTTTCGCTCCATTCCAGACTTGACCAAATCCTCCCGTGGCTCTCGGTCACCGTTTGACCCAGGCTCTAGACAATCGCTATCACCTTGTAGTGAAGCTTCCCATAGAACCTGCCCGGCCCGAAAACGCCATTCAGGCAGGCTGAAGTTGATCCATGCACCGGGGGTCTTCAACACAATAACCAATGTCTTGATCTGAGATTTGATGCTATAAGGATGGCCTGCCAAGATGTCGGCAGGTGGCGGGTGAGGGTAAAGAAAGCGAGTATGCAAAGAGTCGTGTAACTCATGCGGAGTCTCAATGTCCAGAATTGTCTTTCTCGATCCCTCTCGGAGCATGTCTTGTCGAAACTGCCGTAAATGATCCAGCCGTTGTACGAGAGATCGAACACTGATATCTCGCACTCCAATGCGCTTCCAGGCCTGAGGGCCGCCACAGATGAGCTGGTGACGATCATAGACGGCGCCGCTTTGACACTGGGAATAGGGCTTGTTGTAACCCTCCATCAGATCGAATGCTTCCATTGCTGGCAAGGTTGAAACTCGCTGCAAATATGGTGATTGTCTGGGCTCTTCGGGGCCCGTATATCGAACGGCGTCCGCGACGGACAGTTCAAGAAAATGCCGAAAGCCAACGGTACCGGGCTCCTTTCCATTGTTAGACAACATGTTCGGGACTTCAAATATCCCAACATCAAAGGTAGCCCTGTTGGTAGCGCCTGTTCGGCGCCAGTCGTAACCCCGAATAGGCACGCCACCTTTCACGGCCCAGTCATCCGGAACTGGTAGATGAGCGTGGAGGGTGCTCAGAGTAAAGGAAGCATGTGGTAATGGCTTGCGATCCCAGAGATGTTGGACTACTGGGTTCTGTTCGTCCCAGGGGAAGATCACCTGAGGATACCATCGCCCGTGTTTGCCCTTCTCCAAAAGAAAGTGAGGCGCCCCAGATAGGATTATCTTCACATCTTCTTTCGTGAATACTGATTCATCCTGAAGTCTAGATTTAGTTGTATTTGACTTTTTTCTTTCTCTGCTCAAGTTATCAAGTCTATATTCGAGGAGGTCTTGAATATTCCCTGGCTGCTTGGGCTCAGAGTGGTCTGGTGCCGTGGGTGACTGGCCGCGAGGAGAGTTGCGAGAAAGATCTTTATTGCTACCATGTTTGCCACTGTCACGACGTTGTTTGTGCATCGTAGGCGCCTCAGCAGAAGTAGACTTTTCATTCCCCTTGCTCACCATCAGTGACATGCCCGGGTGGAAAGGTTCGCCGTCTTACATGAGCTTCCGGCCTCAGACCATCGCTGCTCTTTCGGAAAAGATTTCGGAATCTTCCTTCGGAGCACGGGTCTTGATGCGAGACAGACCGTCTGAGCATTCCGGGCTCCTCGCGGGCAGATGCTGCATCTGATTGTGAACGGTGTCGGCCAAACAAGAAAGTCATCGTCAATATGGTGCAGCTAGTGCATTGTAACCATTAAATATATAGTGCAATCAAAAAATTTTCAGTTCTAAAGACGGAACTCAAGTAATAAGCAAGAAGCATCTGGGGACGCTGATCTCGGCTCTTCGGCTCGTGACGGCACCCTGTCAACGGCAATACGGCAAGTGGACAGCTGTGGCGCCGAGTTTTGGCCGATAGTAGCAATCCACACAGATAGAGATGTAATTAATCAGAGAGACAAACTGGAGAAATCCAGACACTTTGAAGGTGAGTCTGAAGTCCCAAGAGTGATGAAGTAGTCTACGCAGTGGCCGGGTGGGGCGGGAGATGGATCACGTGATACGTACATAGTACGAGTAGTCAGGGAAAGGAGAAGCGAAAGAGGCAGTGGAGTGCTAGCCCAGATCAGATAGTAATATGTTTAGCCGCGATATCCCTGTATACCTATACCCGCGTACAGTGGTTATGTGTTACTGTGTGTATATACGCCACGACGTAATCACTTATGTGGACCACCGGCCATTTGATTAGGAACCGGATCGACGTATGAGCAAATCTAATGACCGGAAAGTCTTAGAAAAACACTATAAGACTTGAAGATTGTAAATGACCGATTGCCGGAGCCCTACACTTTATGTGAAAGACAAAACAATTTGGTCTTGCTCTTGCCAGGCGTCCAGAATCCAATCGGGCTCAAAATGGAGACTATCAACGTGGATGTTCTGGTCTGCGGGGGAGGAATGTCTGAGATGGCATGTACTGCTTTCGCAACAGAAGCAGGAGCTAAAACATTGGTAGCCGAGAAACAAACAGAGATTGGTGGCTCATCGAATTACTCCGCGGGAATGTAGTAATTGAACTAGTCTGGAGAACAAGGATCCCTATTGACAATATCGACGGATAGCTGGGGATCCCAAACATATGATAAGCTGAGATATTGGGTCCCAGCAGGAGACGTTACTCTACAAAAAGCATGGATGAAAGATTACCTGCCGGCAGTGCAGTGGATGCGTGACAATGGTGTGCCTACTGCAAAGCGCTTCGATGGCATCATGACAATAGGTACAATGAGGTACTAATTTGAATTGCCAAAGTCACAGTGGGTAACAAAATATCCAACCTTCACGATCTCCATCAAAATCGTATCAGGTCGAGCAAAGCAAATGCGCTTTTCACAAACACCTCGGTGCTTAGGCTAATTCAGAAAGAGCCTGGGTTGCCTGGATCGACTGCGATAGGTGCCATCACTTGTCAGAATACACCCAATTCACCATCTACATACTATGAAGTTCAAGCTAAATTGGTCGTCTTGGCCACTAGTGGATTCCAAGGTTCTCCAGATATTACATCAAAGTATCTAGGACAAGGCGGAGACAACATCGTGCGCCCCAATCGTGGCTTGGTGGGTGATGGGCTCAATATGGTCATTGAATTTGGTGCCGGAGCTAACAGAGGTATGAATACCTGTTATGGCCATCTACTGCCAGCTCCACTCGGGGCTGAGGACGTGGACCTGAAGGATTATCTTCCACTTGCCCAGTATCGTAAGCCCAGATCCCGAGTGAACGCATCCAGATACCTGACAACTGCATAGAAAGCAAGCATTGCCTGTTGATAAAAGAAGCTGGCCGACGGTCTGCAGATGAAACAACAGGAGATAAAATTATCAACCAATATCTTGCCAAGCAGGAAAGGCGCCGTGAGTTTATATTGTTCAAGTATGTGAATATACACCAAAGCAAAATTACTATTTGACCTGGCTCTCTCCTCTAGCGAGGGAACCCGCCACCGACACTGCGTGGGTGAGTTGTTCCCCAATGCTGGCAATGTTGATCGACTGCAAAAAGCGCGCCACCACGACTGTAACGTGGGAAAGGCATCAACGCTAAATGGTTGGTGAAGATTCTTCATCAGTGGCGGGGTTGTGGACGATGTGCAGGGAAGATGCACCATCGAGCAGTATGATCAAGTGATGCCTTTGAGGCACAAGTACATCTCCTTGGACGTCCCTGTTGGCCATGGTGGACCGCGCTCTGCACCTTTGGTGGATGGTAAAGGTCGGTTTATGCCATAAGAGGTTCAGCCATCAAATGTTAATGTCCCAAGCTCAGCCATTCTTCTAACATTTATAAGTATCACCTTCACCTACGGCGGGATGCGATCGACTCACAAGGGAACGCGCTAACCCCCCGATAACTCCATCATTCCAGGCTTGCTTGTAGCAGGCGTTGATGCTGGTGGTTTCAGCAACCTTAGTTATTCTGGAGACCTTGCTCTGGCCTTTGTGACTGGCCTTTGGGCCGTGCGGGAGGCTGCAAAACAATTGCGGCTGCCTGTCCCTCGCCTTCCTCCTGCTCATTCTCGTGATGGAAAAGACAAACCAGTTCAAGGCCTTCTCTAGGGCCACGTGGTAGCGTACAGTGATCAAAGCCCGTAGAAATCTATGACGTTGGTAGTCCAACAAATCTCAATCTACTCATCTGTCAAGGTCCTCAGTTGAATGTCAACGTTGGTTTCTCCTTCTTTTCTATTCTTCTCCCTGTTCATTCCTTGTCCCTTTTCCTCGGCCTGCATATGTCAAATGAGAGGCATTTGATGATTGAACACTGCAATATGTTTACTGATTTTCACAGTTAGATACAGACACCCAATATTTCAACACAGTCCTCCACATACAACCTAACAACTCAAACGACAAGACTCTATGCGTCAGCCACCAGAACTCCGCGGTAACGCATTTTGCCTTCTTCCAGGGTTTGAAGACTTTGTTTCACGCCATCCCGTGTCAGAGGGAAGGTCATCTTGATGGGCTTGATGCCATGGAATGCGGCAAATTCGAGCATATCTCGATGGACTTGTCTTGAGGACACGATGCCTCCTTGCACCCGAAGACCATTCACAAGCAATGGCATGTACGGGATCTTGAGGTCGTTGGCGTCTACGGAGAGCGGCGAAATGACACCATTGGGTGCCATGACGTTCAGGTAGAGTTGCCAATCTGGCTGGCTGCTGGTTGTCACAATGAGGTTATCGATGGGGGCTGAGATCTTCAAGTCTTTCACACCCTTGGTCGCATAGAATTCGACGGCGCCTAGCTTGATCGCCTCCTCCTTCTTACTATCTGTGCCCGAGAACACCACGACTTGACAGCCCATCTTGGCAGCAAACTGGATGGCCAGGTGTCCCAGCCCACCAACACCAACTATACCGACGCGAGCGGTCGGACGAACCTGTGCCACGTGAAGAGCGTTGAAAACAGTCGATCCACCACACATCAAAGGACCGGCGTCTTCGTTGCTCATATTATCAGGAACCTTGAACAAAAAGGCCTCACGCCACACCGCATGTGTGCCGAAAGAACCCTGGTCGAGGTTGGCGTAGCCGTACATCTTGCGCTCACGACACATTGTTTCCCAACCGGTGAGGCATTGTTTGCAGTGGCCGCAACAGTCGTGTTCATAACCCCAGCCTACACGGTCGCCTTTCTTCAAGAGATGCGCGTCAGGACCGGTCGCCTCTACCACACCGGTTCCTTCATGACCGAGTGCCATGTCGGCGCCTTGGTAATGAACATCAGTCCCACAAACGCCAGAGTGGGTAATGCGAACGAGTACGTCGTCGGATTTAAGGTCTTGTCGCTCGGTCTCCGCCTGTTGGATTCCATCTTTGGAACCCCTATACACGGTGAACTTAATAGGCATTATGTGAAATCGGTCAAGAAAATTAGTTTGGCGTGGGAAGTTTCAAATTGGTGCACGAGTGTCCCATGACGAATTGTGAAAAGGCGCTTTATATATAAAGCCCTCCGATACGTCATTGCCCATATTGTCCAGCTCATCCGAGGCTCCCGAGGCCGGATCAGACATTTTACAGAACCTCTTGGAAAGTTTCGCAAACAAAACCGCTCGCGATACAGCCTAAGCTTCATAACGGATCCATGAACTCCACTGATATCACCACATACCAGAATCCTTCGACGTTGGTTACTTCCTCGCACACCTTAACTCTGGGACTCTGGCTAACGTATCAGTAAATTAATCGGCGCTCAGATCGAGAACAAAGGATATGTTATCAAGATTTGACTGAAGTGGTGACATCATATACCCACGTCCAAGTGGGCCGTGGTGAAGCCAATTGGGAGCTTTCAGAAACAATTCCGATGTTCTGAAGTGAAGGACAGACGCTGGGATATTGTGATGACCTGAAGGTTAGAGTGAAAGTGACAAAGGTCAGCCCGGGGGAGTAGGTAGGTAGGTAGGTAGGTAGATATACGGATGGATATAAAACATGTGGTCAGCAGGCGAATCCATGGATGCTACCTTTACCTAGACACGTCAGATATCTGTTTGTTCAACCACTGCCTATATTCATTCTATTTGCAAGTAGGTGTGGCAAGTTGAATTCCCTAGCTGGTATTCACTAGTCTGCAAACACATGCAATCCTTCCGCAAGAAGCATCGGTCTATCCGGGGCCTGAAAACATAATCCATGTCAATAGCCACATTCCATTGAGCTAACCTTCATGCTTATGCTTATCTCGCAATTCGCCACGATAACTTGTACATGTACAGAAAGTTCCTGTGTTGATTCTGCCATAGGCGGTGGGACTAGCGATATCGGCCATCCCGATTGGGAGAATGCGAAGTTTAAACAAAATTGTCGCATCTCCGCAATTTTTTGCTATTGTCCAGTGTGCTTGTGATTTCAGACTTTGAAGCCTCGGAGATCACAGATTCAGTTTGTGATTATGATCCAGATCCACGGCATCACCAGCCCCGGCGATTCCGCTCATGGCACACCCGAAAAGGATGCCGCATTGGCGGTGGTGAGCGAGGTTGCCCAGGATATTGACCCTGTCGTAGAAAAGCGAGTGCTACGGAAGATTGACTTGTATTTAATGCCTGCTATGCTCATTGGTCAGTTGCGGAACGGATATCACCTCCAAGACGCTGCGTATGACAGCTTGGCTAACTTGGAACACAGGCTATGGCATGGTGTACTATGACAAGGTACGATGCGATATCTGATGTAAACCTGGAGACCGCAGCTCTGATACAGTATCCAGGCTATCCTAGGCAGCGCCTCGCTCTTTGGCATGACAACCGACTTGGCCTTGAAAGTGACAGACCATTCTACATCTCCCCCATCAGTCGATACCTCCCGACTCAGCTGGGCAACGTCGATCTTTTACTTTGGAATGCTTGCTGGTCTCTATCCAATGTCTTTTGTTTTACAGCGGTTTAACATTCGATCGGTTCTGGGTCCAGTAGTTCTTCTCTGGGCCGTTGTGTGTGCAGCCACTGCCGGCGTGACAACCTGGAAGGGACTTTTCGTGCAGCGATTCTTCCTTGGTACGTGTTCATCTTGAAGGCAAAGTTTCTTTCCCTAACACAGTACAGGATTCATTGAAAGTGTTATCCCGACTGGTTTCATGACTATAGTCAGTGGTTACTACACACAAGAAGAGCAGGCTCTTCGGCAAGCGTGGTGGTTCTCTGGCACTGGCTGGTTTACTATTATCGGCAGCGCACTTAACTACGGATTTGGCCAAATTACGTCTGGATCCTTGAAGAGATGGCAGTACATTTACATTCTGGCTGGCGCCCTGACCTTTTTGTTTGGTCTCTGGTGCTGTACTATGCCAAATTCGCCCGTCTCTGCCTGGTTCCTGACCCCTGAAGAGCGAATGGTCGCTGTGGAGCGACTCCGGAAGGGTCAAACTGGTGTAAGGTGTCAGAAGATTAAATTTGATCAGATCAGAGAGTGTTTGACAGACGTCAAAATTTATCTGGTGGCTATCATGATGGCAGCTGCGTGAGTCTTCTCGTAGAATGGAGTGATGATCACATCACATCTCGCATATGCACTTTACTAATGAGCATGATTAGGTACACTATAAACGGTGCTATTTCGGGCTTTGGGCCGTTGATCGTATCGACATTTGGTTATAATACCTTGGATTCCATCCTATTCCAGTTCCCCGTCGGTGGCGTTTGTGTCATCTTTATTCCTCTCTGTGGTTATGTTTCTACCATTGTTCCCAATGCGCGCATTCCTATGCTGATTACCTGTTGCCTTCCCGTCATTGCCGGCTGTGTTATGATTTGGAAATCACAATGGGGATACCATCCGGCGACCCCCGTCGTAGGCTACGCGCTGACTGGCTTCTTTGGACCAGTGGTCAGTCTGATCATCACAGTTGGGGCTAGTAACGTTGCTGGAGCCACGAAGAAAACTATCATGGCAGCAACTGTCTTTGTTGCGTATACCGTGGGCAACATCATTGGGCCCCAGCTAGTGAAAACGAATACTAAAGCACTGCACTATCCGGAGCTGTGGACCGGCATGGTGATCTGGTTAGTTATCCTCTTTCCAATTTATATTGGCTTATCTAACAAGATCTAGTTATTGTATCACAATTGCTGCTGCTGTTACATTGTACCTGGTGCTGTGGCGTGAGAATCGAACCCGGGACAAATTGGAGCTCGATGAGGTGCAACGAGACAAGATTGCCTTTGACGATCTCACCGACAAGCAGAACCCCTTTTTCCGGTATGCATTATAATTACCGAAGCTAGTCTACAGTTACTAGAACCAGAAGGAAACTATATGCTCCAATCCAGGATACTTTTCTAATGTGCTACCTCCGATATTTGTGCATCGAACATAGCAAGATAGTTAAATACAATTGACTTCATCTCTATGACCCATCCAGCAAAAGGCGAAAGCGAGGCCCTCCCCTGCGACATGGGGCAACGCCGTGATGGGTATATACTCCGCTCGACACGGAATGTTCAAGATTCCGTCTCTTGCAGCCCCGCAAACGGTTCGCTTATGAGATGGATAAAACGGTTTATATTCAGCAAATTGATTTCCTTTTCAAGATCCTCACAGTTCAAAATGGACGACCCCAAAGAACCCTCTGTTGTCGCACTTTGTGGTAACTACGCTGCGGCGAGGGATCCACGAAACGAAATGACGTGGGAGCCTCTAGACGCGGAGAACCCTCGGAATTGGTCACTGTGGTATAGAGTGTTCATTGTTGCATCTATGTCATTTTCTACCACAATAGTGTGAGTCTAGTGTCCATTGAAAGCCTCATCGCATCTTCTCGCGCCCAGCTGACCCGATTAACGGGCATAACGCAGGGTAATATATTCGACCATGTATACTTCTGGTGTTGACGGTATAAGAAGAGAGTTCAATGTTTCGACACAAATAGTTCTTCTTGGCCTGACCACAAATCTTTTTGGTCTCGCGTTGGGATCGGTTGTTTTGTCGTCCCTCTCGGAGACCTATGGCCGCCTGCACATATACATCATTTCTGTCCTTCTGTTCGCCCTCCTCATATTGCCCGTCGCCTTGGCAGAGAATATCGAAACCATTCTGATCGGTCGATTCTTCGGAGGCTTCTTCGGTGGAACTATGATCGCCAGTGCCCCAGGAAGTGTTACCGATGTGACGGATGACCAATATCGAGCATTGGCACTGAGCTTTTGGAGTCTTGGAACCATGAATGGGCCTGTTCTTGGTACGTTCACACCCACTGGCGAATGTGCCTGGTATCTCGACCACTGACCTCTTGCTGTAACTCATTAGGCCCCATTATTGGTGGCTTCATTTGTCAGTACCTTGGCTGGCGTTGGATCGATTGGGTAGTCTTGATTTGCAGTGGAATTTCCCTCAGCTTGATGATTTTAGTCAAGGAAACATACGCTCCGGCTCTTCTTCGCAACCGCACAAGAGAAAAACAACGGGCAACGGGGGACCGCCGATGGTGGTGCCGGTTTGATCACCGGGAGACTGGCCTACAAGTTTTGAAGACTAATTTGGTACGACCTTTACGAATGGTTGTGACTGAGCCTATTTGGTGAGTCAAATGTGAATAGTTTGCACGCTGATCTTCAAACCAATCAATCTGGTACTGCAAAAAGCATATTTTGGAATTTGTATGTTGGGGTCGTTTACGCGGTGCTGTTTTTATGTTTTGTAGCCTATCCAATTATATTTGAAAAAAGCCGGGGCTGGACTGCTGGTCTCGCAGGCCTAGGATATTGTGGTATTGGCACAGGAACGACCATCGCCGTTTTACTTGAGCCCCTCATCAGAAGAATCATCGATCTACATCCCCGAGATCTAAACATGGGACGGCCAGCCCCTGAGGCTGGAGTGATTGCAATTTGTATTGGCAGCATCCTAATACCAGTTGGAGAAATCTGGTTTGCTTGGACGGCACGCCCTTCAGTACACTGGATATTTCCCATTCTCGCCCGACTACCCTTTGGCTTCGGGAATGGCTTTGTTTTCATCTATGCCACCAGCTACATAGCTGGGAGTTATACTGTCTATGCAGCCTCGGCTCTAGCAGGAAACTCCATTGTGCGATATGGGCTTGCTGGAGTTTTGCCTCTCGCTGGGGACAAAATGTACAATGTACTCGGCCCAAATTGGGCGAGCACAATGCTGGCACTGATAGAAGTCTTTCTCATCCCTATTCCCTTTATCTTTTACAAATATGGCCACCATATTAGACTGCGGAGCCCGATGATTGCAAAGAGAGATATGGGTGGTTGTTGAAGTTTCCTTGCTTTATAAATTCGGCCGCGACAGACTTTGGTTCTGAAGGATGATGCGTGTTTGGTGGATCAGAATGAGAGGCTGGGACTGCAAATTTATATCATTGGTTCCCAAGCAGGATTGTAGACGAGAGAACCAGACTCGATCATCAAGTGCAATAAGAAGGGTATATAGCTACCGTCACAAGCTATAAGTCCCTTGGACATGAACAGCTGCAATTCGAGGCACTCGAAAATGGGCAAAAAAGAGATGAAAAAAGAGAGGCAAAGTAGGGCGAAAACAATCCATGAAATAGTATACTCGCTTCGAGGCTTTCATGTAGAGACAGTCCAATACTTCATCAATGGCTCTGTATTCACACTTATGACCCCTGTTGCAACCACACTAGACCTGATGGTGGAATAGTTACATTATCTTTCTTTCCGTGGGATTCTGCAACCCGAGGGCCTAGGAAACGGAAGGTGTGTATCCAGATCATTTGCGAATAATGTCTGTAGCCACTCCATTCCACCATCTATCATTTCTCCAGGTAGCCAGGTATTTGGATCCGGTGCGAAGGGCCCGAGTTCTTGCGCATATGACCCTGACATTGCGTTTGGTTCCTTCCCCTGAAAATTGAGGTCAATATTCTCCGAGTGGACTGGGTTCATCTCGCCTTTTTGAGTTCCATGTAGTGTATTGGTCTCATTTAGAGAAATTTTCCGCTGACCACCGCTGGAAGGATGTAAGACTTTTTGGCCTTCTTCAAAACCAAAGTCGTTGGTCATCATCTCATCTTTTTCCAGGTCCGGCGGTTTTGTGATTTTAGAATGCCAATCAGCGTGATTTGAACATTGTGGTTGGCCAGGCAATAATTGGCAGTCGCTTTCAGGTCGAGAGATCCTCCGATGAGAAGCAGATATTGTCGTGTCTGCTCTCGGTACTGTTTTCAACAGCGTCTGTTCTGCTGGTATAGGGTGATCCTGAAGATGTTCATCCATGCCAAGACTTTGATGAGATTGAGAAGAGGCTTGCGATGAGGACGTTTTTTGATTGTTATTTTGGTCTTCTGGTGAACAGAAGTTTGGGTTTAGAGTGGCCTCGGCCATTTGGTTCAGCTTCCAGACTGCTCGAGCCATTTTGCCGGACACCCAGGTTCTATGACAGTGTTTCTTCAGCGACCGTGCAGTTTCCAACGCCATTTTCCCGTAAGTATGCCTGAATGAATGCTGCTTCATTATGAGACCAAGGGCAATTATAGTTGCACTAGTGAGACAGTGCAAAAATGGGAATGTGTACTTTGGATGGTGGTCTTCAGGCACATTTGAGAAATCATCACTAATTCCCTGGACCAGACGCATGCAGATGACTTCGTTTTCAGTAGCCTCTGGTGAATGCAGAGAGCCGGCTCGCTGTAGCATCGGCTTCCTAATTAGGAGGGTAAAGTGATGCCCACCGCTGCTCAATGATTATATGATTAGGATTCGCCAATGTGACTGGGGGTTTGCAAAGTAACATAACCAAAGAACTTATAATTCGCATGATCAGTTGCTGTTTGATTTGCCACCAGGCCAATCCGCTTGCCCTGCAGCTTCCCGGCCGACGGGCGTCATATGAAAATTCCGGTTGAAGGTCTTTTTGAGACTGCGTGATCAGAAGCCCCAGGTATTCATTGAGAAATGAACTTGGCGAGGAGTGGGCGGTAGAGGCACCATACAAATCTTCCCATACTTTGCCAATTATTCTCGAATAGCTGGCCATAGCAATCAAATATGGCACTGTTGTATGTGACCTTTCATTGGCGGTATCGTCGGCACGTATCAGGTGAGAAGTTCCACGATACCTGCTGAGACACTCATCACTCACAGTCCGCGGAAGGCCAATGTCAATATTCACATCCTGGATTAGGAATGGGCGATCTGTTTCAATAGCTAGTCGTCTTTTCATGAGGTAGATGCACCACCAGAAACGCCGAGCCATTTCACTTTCAAAAATGCCCAATTTCTCCACCACTTGGTATCGGTGGAGTCCGATATGATGTGGATGTGATATTGAAAGGGGCCAAGAGCTTCTCGGCAGGACCGTGTGCATCAATGCGGAAAAGGTAGACAACCTGCACAAAATAGAAAATGGAGTCAGTCCAGATAGACATGTTAAACGGCCGTTCTGCTCCTCACCATTAACAATATCGTCTGGAGCAAGAGTATCTGATTTGAACACTCGCTGAAGACATCGAGAAGATCACCGAAGATATCTCTGGCTGCTCTGTACAAACTCCAACCGGCGGAATAATGACCATCTGGACCGTTCGCACGTGAGGATATCACGCATTTACAATTGGACAAGCATAGTAGAACGTGTGCCAAGGCGAAACGCGACTCAGCATTTCGATGGTAGGGACTCGATTCGGACCCCCGGAGTTTTCCCACATTTTCGAATAGGCTTCCTATAGGGAAGGTAAATGCAAAAATGGAACCAAAATGTGCACCTTGTCGCAAAATATGTGCATGAGCTGGTCCCATTGCTTTCGATCCGGGACTATACCATGAGGATCAAGAAGCTGATATATATAGCCCTGGGTCTGATGTCGTGGTCTAGTATTTGGTGACTCGCATGGGGATGGAGTTAATCGAGAAGCGAAAGGTTGATTGGGGGATGTAGACCGTAGCCTTGCATATCTAACGCCCATCTGCTCTAGCCGTCCTTCGACGACAGTCAGATTATGTGTTAAAGAGGTCTCTCCGGAAAAGGTCGGCACTGTGGTGAGGTAGTGTGATGCCGAAAAGGCCGTTTGCTACCCGTTGCCGTGTCATCTGGGAGGCTTTGGGGCTCGATGAACTGATCCTTGGGGCCCTGGTCTTGATGTCTCTCGGTGTGGAATACTGGTGTTCCCACGTTGTGTAACTGACCACCAAACTGATTCTTTCAATAGTTCAGGTTCTTTGCTCTAAGGTCAAACTCAGCAGATATTCGCTTGAATCCGATAGGCTGGATCGGTCATCTCAAACCTCAGGTATACAGAAGTTTCATTAGGCTGCTGCCATCTCCCTCTCATATCAGCCCCCTCTCGCTGACATTCACATTGCTTTGTAATGCATGATTTGCACGAATCATTGCCATCACACTGTCACACGTTATGTTCAGTTTGACTCTCTCCGACTAGTCCAGGGGACGTTTATCAAGGCAGGCCCTACCTTGATTTTCCGCCGCTTACACTGCCCACTAAACCGGATACATAGCATTAGTATGGAGTGCTACAGATGGTAAATAAGATGCGCACCATGCTCTCGAGGCATATTTTCCTCGTTTGGTTCGCTTGGTTTCGGTCTCGACTGATAGGCCATCTTGATCACACTTCGCGTCTTGCGAGGGGAATGCTGTACTGTTATCATCCCCCCTGGAGTCTAAAGAGTTCCTCTTGGCTTTCACATTCTTCATGGCGGAAACAGTTGTTGAAGCGTGGCGGAATTTATATGGAGAAAACAAAGGGTGTCGGAATCTTCGGAATTTTGGGTCTTGGCATACGCTTAGGGCATGTACGGAGTATATAGATTGTACTTTGATATTATCACTGTCCACTGTACACAAATTTGAATTGTCCGATCTACTAGCGACTGAACTCAAATGCCCATGCAGTGCTGGCATCGGTCTGGTAAATAGGGAACGTCAGAGTATCGCCTGCGTATGTGTGAGTGACCACCCCTCGATCACTAGGTGCGTCCACCTCCTCGTAGATAGACGTGCCTGCAAACCCCCAGGTCTGTATATCCACCGAGCCCTCGGTTGCGAGACCTACGGCGCTCAATTTGTCCACTGTGATCTGCCAATTGCCGGATGTGATACGAGTCCCCGACAGAATGCGCACTTTGTCCGAGTCAACCGTCGCATATACATCGAATAGACGATCACCGGTACCAACAGTCTCAACTCGGCTCCCAGTCATATTCAGATTGTAGTATTTATACACTTGGAACTCCGGGGCTGCGGCATAGTCGGTAGCGTTGTAATCCGAAGGGTTAGAGACCTTGGTTAAAAGATTGGCCATGAGGTCGTGCAACGTCCAGCCGCTCAGCCAGTTGCCACGGAGCCCGAATGCATCGTAGCGCTCCAATCGTGAGATCCACCAAGCTGCACCGGCTGGGACTTGCTCCCCGTGATTCGCGTATTCGTTGATATTGATTTGGCGGTCTGGCAGGTTGTATGTTTTCAAAAGAGCCGCAAGTGTCGCATTGGTGTTTTGAAGATCGTTGTCCCACTCCTCTGAGCCGCCTTCCAAATGATAAGAGTACTGCTCTGGAACAGTGTCATTGCCCGCGATTTGATCAAGCCAGTCGGTCCACCAAGTGTTGCCAGATACGGGCCGTAATGCCAAAGAGGGACCTGAAATCTCAACGATATCATACTTAGGATTCTCACTTTGAATCACTTGAGTTAGCAATCCAAGTCGACGTGAGAAGGGAAACAGGCTCACCGGAGAAGCTTGTGGGTGCGGATATAGAGATCAATCCACTGCTGCTGGCTGCGCCTCCAGAAAATACTGATATCAGGCTCATTCCAGATATCCCAGACAAGGCCTTCGAGAGCGTTATTTGCTTCAAGATCCCCCATGAGAGTCTTTACAAACTTGTCCCAGTCCGACCAATCTCCGTTGTCACCAGGCCAAACTGTCGATGAGTTTGTATGGTCTGTTCCCCAAACATCGTGAGGGAGAAGAATAAAGGGTGCGCCATACTTGCGACAGGTCTGATAATTGGACAACGTAGACTCGAGCCGGCCCTGATACTCATCAATACCCCAGATCCAGCCTCGGGCCGGTGTATCGAGCTGCGCTCCTCCTGCGCGCCCGTAGTTGAATCCAATATCTGTATACCAATGGTCGGGGATCTGGTTGAGGGTATCGGGAATTCCATAAATGAACCCAGACGCCCTATGTACAGACCGGCCTTTGGAAACGCCCAGATTCACTGTAGCGGTGATGTTGTCGGCAGACACCAGCCCGGCTGCGAGAAAAATTGCCAAAAGGCTGAGAGGCATTGTCCTGGTCGCTAGAGGTAAGCTCGTGGATAAGCTCGAGACTGCGAGATGAGACACCCTTTTATCTCAAGTCCAGGATCTGCCGGAGTTCCCACCCTCCGTAAACTGTATGTTCATCATGCTATGGTATCTCCACCCCTTCAATTGGCGGGGTGACTGCGGAGTTCCGTGGGGGAGCAACTTTTGCGTCAACAGGGGCATTGTTTGCCTAAAAGTCGTTCTACGGGAGCGGTCGATCATTGCCCCAGATCAAGTTTCTGAGAAACCTGTGGCTTTTTCTCCGGTGGAGAGCCGAAAAAAGTAGTAGAAGGGCAAAAAGCCCCGTTGCAGGATTACTCCGGTGGGTTTCAAATGCCGCTTATGGCTGCAAGACTTGGCAAGGATAAATTCCTACTCCCTTGAGTAAATTAAAAGTCAGCGTCCGCATGGTTCCAAGGCTATAAACAGTTTGTATCATACTTTAACTTCAATCTTGGCCTAGATCGCTCATTTCACCTTGCAGCTGACCGATTTGGATATATGTCGAATGACCGCTACCATGTTTACGCACTGCTCCATCCAAACAAGAAACGAGCGGCTAAGGTCTCTAGGTTAATATTTGACGTCTGGTTCATGTATAATCGCAGAGCGGGACTGGGGAAATTTTGAAACTGAACAAGATGAGCAGAAAAAGACAAGAACCGTGCCAGAAAAGGGTATAAAATTAGGGGATTGATACAGACACCCCCCCTTTGGATGCTAACACCCCCCCCCTTGCCTGAGGATTCAGGCATTTACTGACCGCTTTTCTCACCGCTTTCATCCTCGAACTTTTATTTATTGCTACCACTACCCTGCATGTATATCACACCTTAGTACCTCAAATTACTATGTAAATCGCTAGTAAAATTAAGTCACTCCTGTACCACTGTAGTACCTAACAAGAAATCCAAAATAATTGTTGTTTACACCTTCAAACCTCCCATGTTTCCACCCATTTCTCTCGTATTTTATTGCTTTTTACAATGGCTTCCTCATAGCCTGATTCGCCGTCCGATTCTGAGCATGAAGCTATTCCCGAGTCCCCGCCGATGCCGCCAAGCCTCTATGACGCGCCGCCAAGCCTCTATCACGCGCCGCTAAGCCTCTATGACGCTATTCCTGAGTCCTATACCTTCCCGCTGCCTCCTTTACCTCAGCAGTACGATACGCCTGAGCAAGGAATTGTCGCGATCAATATCTTTGGCCGCTAGCATGGCTACGTAGTCTTAACTCTTCGGTCGAAACGTACAAAGAAAGGGGTCCTAAAGACAGTTCGCCTATGCTGTAACCGGGGCCGCCGGCTAAGAAATAGCCCGAATAGCCCTACGCGGAAGCGGGAGACTACCTCGCTAGCGATTGAATGCCCCTTTTCGATATCGCTACGGCTTCAAGAAGGCCGATGGAACCTTATAGTAGAGAATCAACACTATAACTATGAGTCCTCGCCTCCTCTTACTTATATGCCACACCGGAAGCAGGAATTGTATGTAAAGGCATCGAATATTAAGAATCAGCTCTAGTAGGGTCTTTCTACCCGTCATATTCTCACCGGTATTCAAAAGGACGACTAGGATTCCTGCCTCACTACCCGGGATATCTACAACTTTCGGAGGAAGCTTTATATTGATTTCCTTGCTGGCCGTACACCGCTTCAAGCTCTCTTGATAGAGCTTCCAAAGGACGGCGAATGGATCTTTAAGTATGAAGTTGACGATAAGAATCATGTCACAGCCCTCTTTTGTATACATAAAACGAGTATTGCATTCCTTAAGACAAATTCATGGGTTATTTCAATGGACTATATATATAAAACTAACCGGTATAGCCTTCTAATGCTCGATATCGTTAGCTTCACTACTACGGGCTTAACCTTTTACATCGGCTTCGCATTCATAAAGGACGAGAAAGATAACAGCTACGAAGTCATTTTAAGCTGTCTAGTAGAGGCTTATAAAGCTCTTAGCCTTTAAGCACCCCGGACCATCCTTTCCGATAAGGAGCAAGCGCTAATGAATACTATGAAGGTCGTCTTCCCTTCTACAAAGTATATAATCTGTCTATGGCATATCAATATGAATATCATGAAGAAAGCTCGTCCGATTCTCGCAGAGTAGCTAGTAAAAGAGCGGTAAGAGGCTGCTTCCTCGGCTTTATAGCGTTAGACAAAGGCGGAGAGAGACCGAGAGCTTCGAGAAATAGTCCATAAAGTATAGAAGACGATACTAAAGCGGTGGATTCGCGTCGTCTATACGATCACAACCGTAGAGAGGGAGGAGAGATAGAGACAATTCAAAGAGCACTACAAGGAGCCGATTTTTGAACCTTTACTCTAATATCTATAGAGTGAATGGCTAGACGACTGCCCTAAGTATTTCCTTTATGAATACACCTCCGAATACCTTTATCTCAATAAGATTGCGACCTCTTGGACCGAGGGAGCTCACTGGCTGCTTAAGTAGGGCCTTTAAGTCTCAACTAATGATCTACTAGTGGTCCTTCGCACCTTTGAGAATGCTGTAAAGCTTCAATTTCAAAAGGCTACCGCTAAGATCGAGAATGAGAAGGTAAGAAGGCCTACTAATAGTCGCTAGAAGCAGCTATTTAGGCTAGTTCTTAGACGAATTTCAGCCAAGGCGATAGAGCATATAAAAGACGTCTATAACCGCTTCCTACTAGCAAGTGACGAGAAGCCGCCGATTCCTCCACTTTGCCGCTATAATTCGCTAGGTACGGCAGGGTTTCTATATATTTATCTCATCATATAGTACGAAGTGGAGAACAAGAGCTTTGAGCCTAAGTTATTCTATTAACACTGGCATTTGTATAGTGTCTCTGCGCCTCCTATTGACCCGCTACTCCTACTCTAGGATCCTCTCTAAGTACGCCGGCGAGGACGCCCCCAAGGCGCTAGGAACTTTATCGGCGGCGAAAGCACCTAAGTAAGCACCCAAGACACCTCCACCCAGCGAGAACCCTCCGGCTTTGAGCTTATGCTATCCTAGGAAGGTGGACGTAGACGTGGCCGTGGCCGTGGACGTGGCCGTGGACGTAGAGGAACATAATAAGCCTCGCAGGGTAATAACGGAGTGGGAATAGCTTTATCTACGGCCTAGGAAGGTGGCCGTGGACGTGGACGTGGACGTGGACGTGGCCGTGGACGTGGCCGTGGCCGTAGACGTGGAGGAACACAACAAGCCTCATAGGGTGATAACGGAGTGGGAATAGCTTCGTCTACGGCCTAGGAAGCCCGTACGGCTTCGCCGGCGAGCATTCCTCCTTCATCTCCAGGGTCGGGAATAGCTTCACCGGTCGCTTAGGACGCGAATCGCCGGTCGGGCCGGATCAGGAAGCGGCCAAAGCATTACGAATGGTAATACTGTCGAATTTACAATATTTCTTCACTATTCTTATGCAATTCTCTAAGAATTTGACGAAAAATGGGTGCTGGCCCCTGCAATTCCTTCATTTCTGTAGAGTTTTTGAAAACAGCATCTATTTCCTATTTGGGACTAGCGCTGTGCTTTTGGCATGGTGGTGGTAGAGTACGAAAGGGACTTTATGTAATTAGAGGGTTACATAGTAAATGTAAGTACCTCTAGTTTGTGTTGGAAGCATGGTCGCTGGTGGCAGAAATATGTCCGGCAGAAAATATATTGGCCTGAATCCTCAGGCAGGGGGGGTGTTAGCATCCAAAGGGGGGGTGTCTGTATCAATCCCCTAAAATTATACAAAACGTATTGCATTCAAATAACAGATATGTCAACCACTGAATGTCCACTGGGTCAAAAGACATAAAAAAGCCTCCCTTGATGTCAATTCCCGTATTGAGATTGCTGCCGTCTTGTACTATAACCGCGGTGACTTTTCTCTGCTATGAACAATCGTTTCATGGACCACTTTGATGCCTCCGCCTTGGCTGCTCTGACTGTGGGTCTCCCAGTCACCTTCACCAGCAGTGCAAGTAGGCGGTTGTTGCCGAGAGGTAGGCAAAATCATTTGCTCGTCACTTATTGTGTTCCATTGGGTGTCTCCCGGAATAGATAGCGGATGACGGAACTTCTTGCGCTTAGTATAACTGCCGCCGCCAGTGTCACCGTCTGAGAGAGGATAGGCAGGGTAACTTTGTGATCCATTCCTTGAGGTGATGTATAAACCAGCACGTCGGGCAGCTCGCCGGAACAGAGGATAGATCATGGGCACGTTGCCAATGACGACAGCGACAAAGGTCTCACGACAGGCCCAGCTGCCAGCTTGTTGGGCACCATTGGCACCAGCCTAAATACTCATTAGGCCTTGGACTTTCCATCATGGAGAGTCAACTTACTGTCAAGATCAGAACACAGCGAAGAATACCTGCCATCATGACAAACAGTCCACCACTGAAAAGAATCAGAAGTTCCAGCTTCTCCCGCCATCTCAATCTAGCTTTGAATAGCATCTTCAATTACACTGGTTAGCGACACGCTGGGCATACTTGTAGACAGACTTACTGGAGCAGGTATACTGATTAGATAGAGGTCGGTCAGGACATTAAGCACCACAGTCACATAGATGTCAATCTTGGACACGGCCGGCTGACAGTAATCTACTACGTTATTAGAGGCTGTTTTCCCCAATTATCAGTCTTTGGCAACATACTCCCAGGGTTAGGATTGATTTGCCAATTCTTGTCCAACGGATGACATCCGAAGAGGATCGAACAAATTGTAGCAATATAAGTCCCGGCGATCAAACCATATGCGATGTGAATTCGGACTCGCATATTTATCAAACCTGCGCTAGATCGCAAACTCAGAGTCAACACAGAACAAGGAGACGGGGTTGAAAAAAAAGGCTCACGTCAACCGAGAATAGAAAATAGCCATGCATGTCTTGAGCAGCCAAAGCAAAAGAGTGTACAACGACCAGCCAGCGACCTGAATTTTTGAGCCACCCACACGCAGACGATACTCTTCAGAGTTTGCTGATAAAGTTGCTCGCTGTTCATCGGTCATTGAGTTGTTGGCGAGGCCCATAAACCACGCACCCACCATGTATGCGGCACCGGTTTCAAGCCCGTACACCACCTATACACATCCAGATTAACAAGGGAATGAGTTATATTGCAGGATTAGAATCAAACTCACACATGCAACTAACATCAGATAGTCATCTGCCTGGAAGTTTTTGGGGCCAACCATAATCCATCTTGCGGTGGTTCGCAGGCCGATGATGGCAATAGCCACCGCCAGTAAGGTAAACGCTTCAGTGTTAAAGTCGCCCATATTTCTGACTCTGACTGGTTTCTTCTCTTCTATACCATTGAGGAAGAAGAAAGGGTATCACAGCTCTGGGGTGTACATTGAGATAAAGGAAAAGGAAGGTCAACAGTACCTAGGAAGAAAGACAGCGGCAGAAGGCAGTATGTCAATGCTCTCCCTTGATCTTATTCGTTGACATTGAAACCAGACCGGACAAAGAAGCAACCACGTCCTGGTCAACTTATAAACGGTAACGAACGAAAAGGTAGACGGGAAAAACTGAAATTTTTGAAATCCCAATTCCGCGTTGGCGGGTCCATGGTGGCTTTGTTAAAATAAACAGCAAGACCCATCGAGTATGGAGTCACTGAAGAAGATCCATGACAGGTCCGGACTCCTCATGCGAGAGTGACAGCCCCGACAGCGGCATCCACCATGTCTGACCGGGTGGCTGCCGACTAACTTTAGAGGTGGGCTGGCTATGTATCCATCAACGTTCCGGGGAGAAGTTTCGAGGTCGAGACCAATCTTGCGCGCCTCCTAATTGACAGGTCGCTAAGAACGATCGGCATTAGAGGTGTCCACACCTCCCTGTTTCGATTCAAATTTCCCCATTGGATAAACAATAGACACTGGACGAGCGAAAACAGCTTGAATAAGCGCCGGGTAGACACATAATTCGTCGTACGCGAGATACACACTATTAGATAGAAGAGATAAACACCGAATTCATTGGGCTAATTTCCAGCTATGCAGTGGACAGCGATGATGGTTGTCTCTTTGAGTCCCGGCTGGTCGCGATCTACAGTGTGACGTACAAACGGACCAGCCTAGAGAAAGTGCACCGTAGCACAGTCGCACCAAGCATCATGTCAACAACCCAAGAGGCGAACAGCTGTGTTAAGGCACGATCACCTTCTCCACCGGCCTCACTTTTCACCTGGTTTGGATGTTGATCCGTCCCAGAGATTTTGCTCCGACTACTCTATAGATAAACGGTCGTGGCGGCTCTCATTCCTGTAATGGTCGTCATGATTTCATCGCGACGTGTGGTCAAGGGGAAAAATCATCAGAAGCACCGGAGAAGTTGAGCGGTTCTGGTTCGTCCGGATATGAGGTTGGAAACAACCATATTTTGCAAAGATTAATTAATCACCGGGTGTCTGACTTTTGGTCAAAGAACATGGCATGTTTCAGGTCCCACAATAGGTAAAAATCTGTTTTTGACAGCGGCAAATGCCGGTTGTCGACCTAGTGGACCCGACGCGGGTCAATATGGAGTCAACAGGGATGACATCCGCCCTGCTTCACCCGCGCCATTAGTTCATCTGGACTTTTGATCTTGTCAACTGATTTCCATTGTGATCGACTAGATAGGTTAGATATAGGGGGAATCGATAGTGGAATTGAGATTCTAGCTAGAGACGGGAAGCTGCGTATTTTTGCTTGTCCCGACGTAAATTTTTTTTTTGGGGGGGACAATTTGTGTAACTCCAAGCGCTGTTGGCTTCAAGCTACTAATGTAAGTGGGGGAAGTACTAACACACTAGCTTGCGCCTCCCAGCTCACGCCTGTTTTCCCCTAGGAACGTTCCAAGAAAGATGTGAAAAGTGGCCGATCGCTTTCTGCGCTTTGACAACACGGCCTAATGTGTCAAACGACGGAGCAAAGCTAAACTAGTGTTTGTGATAATCCGAATTCCTTTATGAGTGACACTGGCTTGTCTGGACTAGCTGCATGCCAAGAACCTAGTGGAGGCAAGGGCCCCTGGCATTTGCAGTTCTGTGCATGGACATGTATACCGTTAGTGACCCCATTAATTTAATTGCAGTCCCACCATTCCCCATTCCTGTGCTAAAAAAGAAAAGACCAAGAAAAACAGAAAGAAAAGGTCAAAAACTAAAGTTCCACGCTAACTCTGGCTCGTTTACGCTCAAAACTTAGACCCTGGAGTTCTGTCCGCCTGCGTTTGTCCACTTGGTACATACATAGCTTCCTGCATCAATCCTGGTTTGCAACCAGTCAACTCTCACACCCTGCGGCTGAGCAAAAATGTCCAGAATTCATACTGTGGATCTTGTGGTCGTCGGCGCAGGTAAGTCGGCTTTTGGCTCTTATAGCGTAATCATTTTCGAAGTCTGACATGGTCACTCCTAGGTTGGAGCGGACTATCCGCAGTCAAAACCTATCGTGAAGTCAACCCTGATCATGATGTGGTTTTGTTGGAGGCCGCTAGCTCAGTAGGCGGGGTGTGGGCTAAGCATCGTCTCTATAAGGGTCTGAAATCGAACAACATGTTGGGCACATATGAGTTTAGTGACTTTCCTATGGACGGTCCGACCTTTGGCATCACATCTGGACAGCATATTCCAGGTGATGTCATTCAACTGTACTTGGAGGCATACGCACAGCACTTCGGCTTCGCCAACTGTATTCGATTGGACCACCGCGTTGAGAGCGCACGACACAATTTGGATGGAACATGGCAGCTGAGGGTGTCCCATGGGAATGATACAACAACAGTCGACACCAAGAAGATAATCATTGCCACGGGTATCACCTCTCAGGCATACCTGCCAACTTTTGATGGCCAAGACACCTTTGGTGCACCTCTCTTCCATTGTCGCGATCTCCTGCAGCATCAAGATGCAGTCTTACAAAGTGGAAAGCGCGCAACTATCTTTGGCGGGACAAAATCAGCTTGGGATGCAGCATATGCCTGCGCCACCACAGGCATGAAAGTAGACTGGGTCATTCGAGAGGCTGGCCATGGTCCTGTCTGGATGGCACCACCCTACGTTACTCCATTAAAGAAATGGTTGGAGAAGCTGGTCACTACCCGGCTCTTGACCTGGTTCAGCCCGTGTATCTGGGGAGAAGCAGATGGGTACACAGGTATCCGCAGTTTTTTGCATGGAACCTGGCTCGGTCGTAAGATCGTGGACGCTTTCTGGTCTATCTTAGCGGATGATGTCGTACAGCTCAATGGATATGACAAGCATCCCGAAACGAAGAAGCTGAAGCCGTGGGTGAGTCCGTTTTGGATTGCATCGTCGCTCAGTATTCTCAACTATCCCACCGACTTCTTTGAGCTGGTCAAAAACGGCACTATCAAGGTGCATGTTGCCAACCTGGAACGTCTCTCAGACCACACTGTCCATCTTTCATCGGGCGAAGCACTCCCAACCTCGGCACTGATCTGCTCGACAGGCTGGCGCGCTACTCCCAACCTCAAGTTCTTACCGGAGGGCATCGAGCGCGAATTAGGGTTTCCATGGAGTGCAGATCCGCTGGATGAAAAGATGGTAAAAGCAGCCGATGAAGAAATTCTACGTCGATTCCCCCGCCTCCGCGATCAACCACTCCCAAACCCTCACTACCGCCCCTTAGACGACCAGTCTGAGGCGGCTGTACCGCATCCCTTCCGCCTGGCAAAGTTCATGGTGCCACTGTCTCTGGCGAAGGAGCGATCCTTGGCATTCATGGGTATCACCATGACCATTAATACAACGTTGATAGCCCAGACGCAAGCATTATGGATTTCAGCATACTTCCGCGGTGATTTGACTCCGACCGCAACCGAACACTGCCCATCGGCCGTGGTTGCTGCGTCTGATATCAAAACGGAAGACACTGCAGAGCTCGATCTTGTCTGGGAGACTGCTTTGCACTCCGAATTTGGAAAGTACCGCTACCCGGCCGGGTTCGGGCGACGCAATCCCGACTTCGTGTTCGACGCGATCCCGTATATTGATTTGATGCTGCGCGACTTGGGTCTATCTCCGGAGCGCAAGCAGGGCTTCTTAGCAAGGTGTTTCCAGCCATATGGCACGGAAGATTACCGAGGCTTGGTCAATGAATGGAAAGCAAAGCGCTCTACCCAGTGAAGGGTCGTAAGCGCCATTCTAGATTCCACTCTGTTCTATATTACCGATCTTTCCATTGTCTTTCGTGCCAGGCGAGATACCCCGGTTGTCCTTTTTATCGCACTCGGCCTTCCTTTAAATCAATGCTCCACTCTAAGATTTTCAATTTGTGGGCTTGCTCTAACGTTCCTCAAGTTGCAATCTATCTGTGAGTCCAGTGTCTTATAGTTAAGAAACTATAACCTTCCTAAGATCTTTGTCTTGTCCCCCACCAGGATCAACTTATTCTATTAATATAAACTGCTCCAAAACGGCCACTCCGGTAAGGGAGGAAGGGCTCTGCGTGTCTGTCGGTGTGTTTGCATCTCTTTTGTGGTCAGGGTCACAGCGACCCTCTTGTTGTCCACCCACCGAGGGTACCACCTCTCCGACCAGGTCTCCTGTCCATCGCATATAATTTTCACCATCTCCCGCTACTATTGCTCTTATTGAAACATTACATTCAACTGGCCCTCCGTCCCTAGATCATATTCCAATCGAAACCCTTCTGGAACATCGCCCACCCGTGGCGGGTATAGTGCGCCGGTAGTTCCAGGATTACCTGTCGGGTGCACAGTTAAAAGATTGGGGTCACAGGTCGATACCAACAACTCTCCATCCCTGGCAATGTAACTGCTTACGTAGGTGGTCTTGGTTGGGTCGTCAAGCGCGAGATAACTGAACCATGCGCGATTGAATATGGCCCGATGTGACCGTGGCCCCAGTACCAGCTCTGAGATTCCAGGAAGGGTCGATCAGACCAGTTCTATTACCCCATCAGAATTTGTTCTCAGGTCGAGTGGAATCACTCACTTTATCATGATATCCGGGACCCTGGAATTTTAGCATGGATCCTTGTATCTCAATATCCACCTCACCCATGGCATCTGGTATAAGACTGACCCACCCTATGTGAGGTGCGATCTTGAGGGTTGTCTCTTCTGCGTGGATGCCACAGGGTAGGTGAGGTGGCGCCCGCTGTCATTGGGCGCATTAGCCACTTTTGCTTTTCTCAGGTGTTATATTTGATACTTGCCGAAGTCAGAGTCAATCGCCCCTTGACCTGCAAACTTTCTGAGACGATTACCACCTCGTATTTGGATAGGTTATCCGTGAGAGCTGCCCAGTTGAATCCGGCTGAGTGCCATTCCCCGGAGCTATTAGTACCACCGTCTACACCAGCAACAGTTGCGAAGGTCGCCGGGACCGAGCCAGCAAATACAGTGCCGTTGGCAAAAGAAGCCCATACATATGCAGTAGTCACTGAAGTCTCATTCGCATTCAAAAATGGGAATGCAGCAACAGACGAGGCGAAGAAAGTGATGACGAGCGAGTCGCCTGAGTTGGTCTCTGACACGGCATCAAAGTACCACCAGTCGAATACAGAGCCGTTTATCGAATCAGTCTGGGGTGCATCCAGGCTGAACAAGGTCTCAATATCGAGGAGCAATGTGGGAGTTCGAATGTCAAAGTTCGCTTTGCTGTCTCCATCCTGGACGACGCTGGGGATTTGGTAAGTCCTACTATGGGCATCCCTTCTGGTACGAAAGGATGGAATGTTCCTCCCATCAAGCCTTGGTTGACCCGGAAATGCCGATGTATGTAGTGCCAGCAGAACACACATCAGCAGTAAGGAGAAAGTATGGATATACATTGTCTCCTGTATTTTTCTATAGTTGTTAGATGGCAAAGAGTAAAATATAAGAAAGAAGCGAAAGTCGACGAGATCGCGGACATCTCAATGAAAGTATGATAATGGTTCAAGCTTGGTTCAAGGTCGATCATATACTTATATGGAAGGCCTCGGGGTCTTAGCTCCAGGCTGGCAAAGACAATGGCTCACAATAGGTTGAGACAAGGCTCCCCTTTTCAAAATTCAGACCGGTGAACTTGCACACCAGTCTAACTGAACATACTAAGGGAGATCTGAATAGACCCACTGACGCCTGTTGGTAAATGAAGACAAGACCGCCACGTGGCTGGGTAGCTGAACGATTGCGATTCACTTCACACAGCCCTACAGTAGAAGTCCCAAAGATCTAAAGAGCTCTTAGGCCAGTAAGACAGATGAGTATTCCTATCACTCAAGTCACGGTTTCAACAATTGATTTAAATCAGACATAGGAAATTGTTTGTTAATACTTGTTTGGGGAAGTGGTTTTTGTTATTTTTTTGGGATTTCTTCCATGTCATCATTGATGCAGGTTGTTATATACCGACATTGCCCAACCCAGTAACAGTCCAATCGCTGAATCGCTTTAAATAACAAAGAAGTAGGGCAGATGCACACGTCACACATAAGTCTGAAAAGCACACATAATAAACAAACAGAAAACCGGATATTGATAAAAAGCAGAAATCAGACCGTCCCAAGATGCCCAGTCACACACCCTTCGCCAACGCAGAGAAAGACATAACAAAAAGAAGGTTTGGCAGGAACACCAACTGCCAAAGCCTCGATAGATACAAGTATTCGTTGCTTCGAAAAGAGCATACATGGATGTAGATCTGGGAAGTAATGAGACCAGGGTTCCATAGCAGAAGTATCAGAACTCAGCTAGACCCGCCCACTAAGAATGGGACTGCCGTCCTCACTCCGTCCCTCACTCTTGATGTCACCTCCGGCTTGAGTGCTATTCGCATCTGAATCGCCATCCTTTCCACAGCCTTTGACCAGAATATGTCGCTATTGAGCAATATTAGTAATAAGGTATCACAGACACATGGAAGAACATACCTTGAGGGCGTCTTTCCGCGAAAAGCTCTTGTCGCAGTGAGAGCAGGGGAAAGGCTTCACGGCGAGATGGATGCGCTTGTGGCGCTTCAAATCATGGTTCCGATTGAAGCTTTGGGGACACTGATCGCACTTGAATGGTCGGTCGGCTGCCGGGGCGGACATGCCATGCGGAGGTGGGTGGGCCCCGTACAAATGCTGGGAGCTTGCGACATGTCCACTGTTGAATCCGGGCAAAAGACCGGTCTGCATGCCCATCATCGACATGGGACCACCAGGGCTATGCACATTTGTCATGACAGGTCCGTTCATAGCAGGAAGCGAATAGGATGGCCACGGCTGGCGGGGATATGACAGAGGCGGCTGTCCTCCCGTGGGACTGTGGGCGGAAATGCGTCCTGGGGGATGAATGCCGAGTCCCGCAGGGCCATACATGTGCGAAAATCCCGTTTGGTGCGGACTCGCCATGGGGGGAGAAGCGGCATACATGTGCTGGTGTTTCGAGGCATAGGGATCATTGGAGGAGAGCGGAGCAGGAGAGGGAGCGGGACCCCCCGGATACATGGCCATAGGTTGTTGACCGGAGGGAGCCAGAGTCGAAGGTGCAGGTAGAGCTTGATAGGATACTGAAGGAGCCTCATATGCATGTGATAACCCATCTGTCGTCGGTGGTGATGTTATTGATGGGCGAATCTGCATTCCGGATGAAGGCGAAAAGGAGCTTCGTGCTGGATAGACTGTATTCACCCCAGATCCCCAGGTTTGCCCATAAGGGTTGGCGCCTGACCAATATGCCGGTGGCAGGTCAGAAGAGGCGCCCGTTGAAGGCGCCAAGGGCTGGGGTGTGGCGTGCTCTGGTTGATTCGTGGCGGGTGGCGTTAAGAGGTTTCCCACGCTCACGTTTGCTGGCGGATGGGAGACTGGTGGGTGACTAGGTTGCGCGTACTTAGGCGCGGCGGCCAAGGTGAACGGCGGCGGTGGCAGCTCGAAGCTGGGTAGTGTCGGGGCCGCTGGACGACGAACATTCAAGGGCGGGGCCGACAGCGGATCGAGCGCCGTCCCCATAGCTGGAACCGCGAGGGTCGCCAGGTTGGATGAATCACGAACTCCGTAGAACTCCGGAGTCTCGTTGAGCTGCAGATTGGGTAGTCCGTTAAAGGAGGTTCCGCTCAAGGCCCAATCTCGATCTAAGGCCCCAGAAGGGCTGGTAGAATCCAGGAGGGGCGATCGATCGCCGGAAATCCGCGATCGGGGGTAGAGTCTGGAGACTCGGAGAGCGAAAAGAAGAGAAAAAGTTCCTTGGTGAGGTTGTCACGGTCGATGGCGCGAGTAGTACATGATAATAGAAGATGTGGGGGGGGCAAAAACAAGCCGTGGCGTTGGAAGAGGCGTGAGATAACAAGCGCGGGGGAAAGACAGTAATTATAGTCAAAAGAAGTTGTGAAATCTCTGGGAAAGTCGACGGGAGTCTGGCCACTATGGGGAAAGAAAGTAAGGGAAATGCGAAATATAGATTAACTTGTCAGCAACGTGGTTGACAGGGCCTCTCTTCGCTTCTATTTATTTCGAGTAGTATATTAGTATAATACAGTAAAAGATTACCTATTCTATTCAACTCTTTCTCCTTGCGTAAAGGCGCTAACTGTCGGGACAAGAAACACACTGTAGCTAGTACCCCGGCTATTATTGAGGGAAAAAGTAGAAAAAAACCCAGGAAAAAAACAGAAAAAACAGAAGCAAAAATACCAACTATCGCGGTGAGATTCCTACCCAATAAGGGGGCCAACAGGCCTCGACGCACGGACAAGACCGGAATGGCCAGAATACGAGAGCCATGGAGCAGGCAGAGGCAAGCGAGCTGTCTCGTCGGTCATTCGCTATACTCGTCTCGCCGGTCATCTGCACTTTTACTTTTTCCTTTTCCCTTATTTCCCTTATTTTTACCCTTTTTCCTCTTTGGCCATTTTGGCCCCCAATAGCCGAGACCTGTCATTGGTTTCCTCGGCCATGGTTCCTCTTTAACCCTGGCTTGGACACCCCCTCCGTGTACTCCGTACCATACTATAAATCCCATATCTTAGGGAAATTAGAACAAAGAGATATCGCCACCTCAAAGCCAATCGCCTCCCCAACACCCATTCTCTCGGGTCTTCCTCAGTCTACGCGATCTCGGAATGTTCGTGGGTCTGGAGCACTCCACCCACGCGAGACAGATCCAGCTACTTCTCCGTCCTTGCCTCCCCGTTGGGCCTTATCCACCAATCACGTTGTGGAACTGTTTCTGTATGCTGCACGGTCGTGAAAGATGCTTAGAATAGGGGGCAAAATGTGCCCTGTCGATCGTCTAGAGAGTCTTGTACTCAAAAGTGACAGAGCTGATCTTGTCTAAGAATATAGTACAGTAACATAGTTAGTTTCTAGATATGCCCCGAGAAGGGATCTATGCTTACATGTACTCCGTATACATGTAACTTAGATGATTCTCGGAAGCTTAGGACATGTCCACTCGTCCGTGCTTGGAATTTAATATTACGATCCGGTCCGCATTCCTCCCCCGTATTTGGTCGCAGTCCAGCTTTAAATCAGTAGGCTAGAGAGAGAGGAAGAGGAAGAAAAAGATTAATAATAATTAAAAAAAGGGGGTCTCAGACATGCGAGCAGCAGAGTCGCATTCTTGGAAACTGCATACCTCGGCTCTTTGGGTCAATTGAACACCCGACTCCATTATTTGTACATTCTGTGATACTGACATCCCTCTAGATTCTAGGATCTGCGAAAATAAAGTCCATATCCTCCACTCGACGCGTCTGTAGCCGCACGGCGCCCCGAAACGGACTTGTTCCGACGATCAGTCAATCATGGATGCCCATGCCCCAACGCTGATTCCCTGATCGACATTGTACAGGCCTTCTTCCATCGGAAAACCCTTGAACCACTCTGCCGTGGTGGGCAACCGATTTGCTCAGAGCTCCCATTCTCATGCAAGGCGGCATTTGCCAGCCCAGATGTGACAAGCGCGCAAGGATCCACCAGGCTGATCAAGGCCTGGTCTCCTGCGTCGGTTCCTGCCGGTGTGGCTTCGGAAAGGCTCACGGTTGGCGTCCACGATCGTCCTCGGGAATGGCGCTTCAAAGGTTGTTTGGGGATTTGAACTGTCGCACACGGGAGATCTGCGACCATGAGCGTCCTGCAGGGCTGATGGGTATGCTCAGCCTCGGTGGATTTCAAAAGCCCACATTAGCCTCCCTGTGCGTATATCAGAGCTTTTGTTGACTATCCTGCACTAGTCTACGGGTCCGACTTTGGGCAAAAGCAATGGAGCACAGATGTTTTCTCTGTTTGATTCACGCGAGATCCGTATGTCAGCTTCCCTCTCCAGGGGCCACAATCTCTGTCTCAGTACTTTTTCAAGAACATGTCCAGTCGGCAGACCCACGAGCCTCTCTCGGTCGTTAGAGCATTCTCCCTTGCGGCAGGACACCGAGGTGATTTATCCACTTATGTGCGTTATTGAATTAATTTACAGGGTACGGTACATCGCTTTTCTAAGGGTGTAGGAATATCTGTTTCCTCTCTTGTGGTCTTCGTTGAGAAGACAGCATACTATATCAGAAGGACTTGCCATCTTTGATTGTCTGAGTGCTGTCGTAAATTTCACTCCAGTTGTCTGGTGTGACAACTTCTGTCGTGGAACCCTCGTGTGCATAAATGAGATGACACAAAGACCTAGTGATCCTTGTGATACTTCTCTTTCCTACGAGTCGTTTCCTAGACAGACTCGTACCGACACTGTAAACGAGATAACCCAAATAGAGTGTGTAACACGGATGTTATATAGGTGAATCGAGCACTCTCGTTATTCCTTTGCAGATCACCCAGCTATTCTCCAATGGAACTCCGGTCACCGGTGGGAGATGAAGCCTAGATATATATTTCCTATAGATCGAATGCCGACCGTCAAACATCACCACCTCAGCCACAGAGAATGATGGCAGAGATAACCAAATAATTCAACGTCAAACACAAGTGCGTATGAATATAATGCCAGGTTGCACGTCCCCGAATTGCCGAATGCTGCTTCGATGACGTCGACCGGCGGGGTGCCTCTTCCCCTCGCACTCACTTCACTTCGACTTTTTCACTCACTTCAATTGTTGTACTTTTTGTGCATCGTACATTTCTCTCCTTTCCTTTGGAAGGTCTTTGCAAACCGTACCGCTTACTTGCCCTCTTCATTGCTCACCATGTCTGGAATCAGCAAAGCCTGTTGCTCGTGCGTGAAACCCGGGGCCCCATCTCAAATTCATCTCAATTCTATCTAGCTCTACTGACCAGGTGCATAGTATCCCCCCTGTCGTTTCCAAGGGCTACCAGGCCAAGGGAGTGTACAAGACAATCAATGGCCTGAAGACCTGTAGGCTTTCACCATATGAAACCTATGATACATGCTACAAGTCTGACAGATCCCAGATGTTACCGGTCCTGAGTCGGCCTCGAAGGCTATCTTGGTCGTGTACGGTTAGTTGTTACCTGGCCATAGCGATACCAACAATCGACTAACAAGATTGTACAGACATCTTTGGCTTCTTTGATCAGACTATCCAAGGTGCCGACATCCTAGCTACTTCGACCGACCAGAAGTATCGCGTGTTTATGCCCGACTTTTTCGAGGGCAGCCCCGCTGACATCTCGTGGTACCCGCCCACCACTGACGAGCACAAGGAGAAGCTAGGAAACTTCTTCTCAACCAAAGCCGCACCACCCAAGACCCTCTCCAAGATTCCCGGTGTCGTCGCCGAAGGCAACAAGCTCGCACCGGGCGGCAACTTCCAGTCCTGGTCAATCCTCGGCTTCTGCTGGGGCGGCAAGATCGCCGCCCTTGCCTCAGGCACAGACAACAAGCTCTTCAAGGCCGCCGTGCAATGCCACCCGGCTATGGTAGATGCCAACGATGCCAAGGCGGTGAACATTCCAATGGCGATGCTCGCTTCGGGCGATGAACCTGCGCAGGACGTCAAGGATTTCGAAGCGAACTTGAAGGTGCCAAAGCACGTGGAGACTTTCTCGACTCAGATCCACGGCTGGATGGCTGCTCGGGCGGATCTGGAGAACCCTGAGGTGCGCAAGGAGTATGAGCGTGGATACAAGACTGTTCTTGAATTCTTCCACCAACACTCGTAAAAAGGCCATGGACACGGATTCGTTCATAATGATGAATCTTGGACGAGATAACGAGGGTTATAATCTAAATTGAAACCACAATATTAAGATTAATGGAAATAAATGGCTTTACATGTAGTAGTAGTCGTTCAGCATCCTAAATGGGGAATTCTATGACCCTAAAGCCTTAGTCCCATTGAAGCTCCGTGTATATATAATACCCACGGAAGTCGGTGTCATTGCTTAGCATGACGAAATTGTGGTGGAAGAATATTGACACACCAAAGTGAGCTATAGGTGGCACCCACCTAAGATATGTGGTTGAGGTTTCGTTCAACTGCATTCTCCTCATCGGGAGGAGCACTGCCATATAAGCTCCTTTCAACGATGCCTCACAAGGAGGTAGTCAAGTCAAACTCGAAGGTCGGTTAGCAAACAGCAAGTGTATATATTCTCCAATCAAAGCTCCCGAACTGGTTTTGAATAAACCCCTGGTACCTTGCAGATAGTTGGAACTAACGTTACTCCAACACACCAAGTACCTTGAACATGATACAATTCTGACGTACCGAAAGCAATTCCGCAATGCGCAAGTTCAATTAAATTCCAGCGGCTGGTGTGTAGCAGTGAATCATTGGAATGATTTCGGTCTTTTCATGTTTCCTCGCGATAACAGGGCAACCAAGGGCGGCTATGCAGCCATATTCGACTTGGAATTCACGGGCGCAAAAGCGAAAAGGCGATCTTGCGATGCCTATGGATTCCCGATCATCGACAAAATTCCCCAACATACATCATAGTGAGCTCCCGAGTTGTCTCGCGGGGTCCCCACATCCTCGGGCCCATCCCTGGTCACAATCCAGTTTGACCCTGCAAGCTCTCCTCTTCAACAGATATAGAGACAAGATAATGTAAAGAAGGTCTGGTTGGATATATCCCTTAGGGTAGAAAACGGGGGAATGAGATAGCTCTGGAGAGCTTCGGCAGGCTCCGATCACATCATTCTTATTCAGCTTAGACAACTTCCCCCCTCCCCCGCCATTCCAATTCCTTCTCCCTTTCATCTCTCTTTCTATTCTATTCTGTGAACATGGCTACCCTCAAATCCGGCGACACGTTCCCCAGCGACGTTGTTTTTAAGTCGGTCATCCCCCCCCTCCCCAAATTGTAACGAACGACCCTAATCCTGGCAAAGGTACATTCCCTGGACCGAGGAAAGTGACGAGATCACTTCCTGTGGCATCCCCATCAACTACAACGCCTCTAAAGAGTGGGCCAACAAGAAAGTCGTCTTGTTCTCAGTTCCCGGTAAGTCAATACTAATAGTCAGTTAGTCCTTTGGATCCAGTTAGGTCCCTAACCTGTGGTTGAATAGGTGCCTTCACCCCAACTTGTTCAGTCAACCACGTTCCCGGGTATATTAAGAACCTGCCAAACCTCCGTGAGAAGGGTGTGGACATTGTCGCTGTCGTAGCCTTCAATGATCCCTTCGTGATGAGCGCCTGGGGAAAGGCGAACCGAGTTCGCGGGGACGATATTGTGAGCGCCCCACTTGGCTCTTTGGACATTATTAACCGTGACAGCTTTTCCTCTCGGACCCGGATGCGAAGTTTTCGAAGAGCATTGGCTGGGCGGATGAGGCTTCGGGCCGTACAGGACGGTACGCGATCGTTATTGACCACGGCAAGGTCAGCTATGCCCAAATTGAGACCGAACGGGGTGCTGTCAAGGTATGGAACTTTCCTTTCAGGTCCAGTGTTCCGGCTAATAGCCCTGTCTGCAGAAATCTGGCGCCGATGCGGTTCTTGCCTCGCTGTAGATACGAAGGCAATAGGTTATTCATCGCTACACTTTCAATTACACCCATACTTGTCTTCCTTTCCCCTTAGTTATTGCTTATAGTAAAAAAGCTCCGGGCAATATTGACGATAATCCCCAAATGAAAGAAGACGACAAATGCTTTTTAGGCGATCCCACCACTGAGTGGGATTCATGTTGTCCATCTCGCCATTTTGGCAAGGCACACAAGGTATACACATAGAATTGAGTGTTTTATCCAACAGTGAGTAATCAAATGCAGCTCTATCGTGTCAAACAGGCCGGTGGTATCGTCGAAACAAATGGAAAATGCAAGCTTCTAGACTGTGGATGGCGAAAGATGATGCGAGGCTCAAAAGGTGAGAAGGGTGCGATCATGGAGATACAATTCCATGCCAGCATTGGAACAATCAATATGCAACGGCTCGGCAGCCTGAAACACCTTATCCTTGATCACACCATCGGAGATTTCTGGCCCGGGACTACTGGTAGCGCCATCGTCGTCGGACCTGACGTTTTGGAACGCACCCTCAATATCGATGCGATTGAGCCCTGGGAACCGCGTTCGTCGGTTCTTGATCACGACTTGCAACTGAGAGACTAGCATCCCCAGATTTCTCTCCTCGCAGCCTTCAATGTACAGCGTCGCTAGCGACGAGGGAAGACATTCCAATAGTGGCGTGGGTGGTTCGTTTTGGTATCGAATATCCAGTAGGTTCGGCAATCGCACGCGCAGTTCTCGCAGTGCAGTGAAATCGGCCAGCGATCCAAACCATTCATCGTGTGATTGATTAAGCCCACCAGCGGTGAATGGGAAATGACTGCCATAGTGATCCAGCCACAGTGTTTGAAGACTCTTCTTGCTATGGGCTAGCGAGCGATAGAAAGCTGAGGGCTGGTATCCATGAGAAAGGACGTGTGAATCCGAGTGCTGGTACTTGAAAGACTTGAGGTCTGCACACGAGGAAACCAAGGCCTCCATGCCATGGTTGCCACTACTTGAACGCAGGTCAATCTCAGTGATAGAAGAGAAGCCGACTCTTAGGTTCTGTGTCGTTTGCTCGGGAGATGTGATCGCGGTGCTGGGATCCACAACCGAGTCTGCGGTTATGACACGGACAGATGGCAAACTGAAGAATGGCATGAGAAGTGTTGATGCTGATTGGTGTTCTTCTCTCGCACCCCAGGTGTCACCACGGTCGAGATCATTTCGGTGATGGAGGGAGACCTCTTGCAGGCACTTGAACGGCGGCTGGCTAACAAAGGGCCTTTCGCACTGGATGGCTCTCTGCATGATCCGATCCAGCCAAGGAGACGTGCTGGCGTAGGAAAGCTGAAGTTTTCTCAGCTGACTCAATAGCGGAAGTATCAACGCAGCCCATGCATCTCCCAGGCCTTGCCCAAGATCCTCAGTCCATTGCTGATTCTCGATGTCGGAGTGTGATACGACGTGTAGCCATTCTTTCAAATGTGTTGACTCTGTAATTTCTTTACGCTGATCCTCTGAGAGACCCTTCGCGTGCCAGTCCCTCCAGTCCAGCTCCCGGACGGCGCGCGCGAGAACTGGTCGGTTGAGTATGGCGTACAGAAACGAGCTGGCATCGTGCCAGTCGCGCAGAGAAACTCTGCGGTAAACAAACGAGAGAAACAAGTCGTGAAAGTGACGAGAGACGAAGACAAGATTCCAACAGTCTGCTTTCTGTTCCAGTTGCTCGCCAACTAAGAGTAATACGTCATTGGGGAGTGCCAGCTCCATGATGAGGCATTCGGCGATGCTCCAATGAGAGTCGACCCCAATATAAGAATCACAAGAAAAGTGACCTGGAGTAGATGAAAGAACCAAAATCAGTCCGAACCTATTTATGAAGCCTCTTATCGGGAGTGGCGTTTCTGGGAGATCAAATTTGATCCGCGATCCATTGGCTGTTGCGGTGGAGCTGCGACGACCCGCCCTAAGAGGTCGTGAATAGTTTTCCGTTTCCACAAAAAAACTTTGATAACTTCGTTTGTATGAAGAGGCGAAGGGGTTGAGCTTATTACCTTTAGGGTTTTCCCCTTTTATAAATGACTACCATTTTCGCCTCGCATATCTGACAGTCCCGCCATTTCACCTTTCAAACCTTTGAACTTGGAGCAATGTCGGCTTCACTACGGGGATAGCCGAACTCATGGAGGTGTGGAGAGGTTGGGTCCGAGAGGCAGAGATTGAAACTCACGGTGCCACCTGGGCGCATGAATAGCCCGAAGACGCTGGATATGGATTCCGACGATCCATATCGGGTATAGAAAACAGGCATGTGAATATCCGTAGTGAGAGAGATCTTCCGACATGGCCCATTTTGTACTCCAATATAACAGGAGGATTTCATTCAAAAGAGAGAGAGAGAGAGAGTCCGCGGAGAAGGGGAGAGGTAGATATGTGTGGCGAGACCCCCGATGAGGCGACCGGGGAGGACGCGGGAGGCATGACGGAGCAGATGGGCGTTCACTTGTATGCGACCGGAGCCCGGACACATGTCAAAAGGCACTGTGGTCGACTTTATTACACGTTTCCAAGTTCAAGTCTTGCATAGTTAACTTGCCGCGATAGCCTGGCTCACAGGGTTGTCCCCGCTGTGTGTTCGCAATGCTAGTGAGCCACATAACCAGTGCCTCCAACAACTCGTCGATGGCTACTGTTGTATTAAGTTTGCTGCCTCTGCTACTCGAAACATCAACTGTGACGGGTTTTGACAGAGCTTGTACAGCGATAGCTACGCTAGGGGAGGTCCGACCAATGGTCTAGGGTAGGGACACGCCGGTTGACCGGCGGTCCCAACAGATCGCATTTGGCTCAATATTCAAAAGGCCTTCTGGGATGCAGACTATGCTGGCCGGGGTTCTTCCCAGTTCCAGCTCACTGAAATTGGCCCTAACGCCCAGAGGATCTGGGAGGGCCGAAGCTGGCTGCAACGCCCTGTTTGCCGAGTCCCATGGCGATCGCTTTCAGCATCAAAATCTTCAGTCTCCGGAACCATTTCAAACACGGCCTAGCTTTGCTGCCATAACTGTTGTCGGTGTAGGTGAGTTGTTGGTTTCTAACTGATAATGATTTGTGGCCCAAGGGCATCGGATCACAGAGAGGTCGGTGTATTCACATCACCACGTCACGCATCATCGCAGCAGGGTGGAGATTCTATGGGGCAGAGCAAATACCAAAGTAGCGAGTAGTCTTGTCGGAGTTGCATTTTGATACCAATCGACGTAGGGAATTGCGGCCTGGTTGATCAAAGCATGGCCTTGGTATATTGGGCAATAGATGCAAAAATCACCTACAATCAATTCAATTATAGCTAGTATGTCTAGTAGTTAGACATATTCTCTGGGGACAGATTACGGCGAGCTGGATGCAGGGCTCGTGCTCGAATCTCCTTGGCTACTCGAGATATGTGGAAATTCGAGGACATGTTCAGAAGCACTATGTCAGGTCAACTAGCAGCAGCAGCGGAAGCAGCACTGGCAGTGCTAGCGCTGCTGCGGACTTCTGGGCATCCAAATACCACATTTCCAGTGCTGACAGGACAACCAGAATCTCCCCGAGCTCCCCTAAAGTACCAGACAGTCCACTTCCCTTGAATGCGAAACGAAACCCCTTAGTCATGCTCCATGAAGCATTGTGTGCGATCACGGCCACAACCTCTAGGCCATCACTTGTATAACCCCGATCACGCTCCTTTCTGCTTCTCCCTGCTGTATTCATTGGCCGCGTCAATGGTACCAATACTCAGCCAAATGAATGACCGGCAAGATCCGTGTTTTCATTCCCATGGCTTTGGCGCTATTTAAAGACATCGCTGTGTTGGGGTCCTGGACGCGTTGGGAGGGTGAGCATGATGGGCCTGTTCCTACCCCACCTGTCACCATGGGCAGTCGCTAGTAACTGGGTGCTTATCAGTTAGACCGTTGTGCAAAACGACCGAGGGTTTGTTGCTGAGAACGGTTGTGTGTGTTGAGACCACATGTAGCTTTTCACCTGCGCTTGGCCCGAGGTGGAATGTTGTAGTCAGTTTCCATTGGAAGTAGCCGTTCATAGCAGGTGGGAACTTTCGTTGTTGCGTTGAAATTTGGTTCACTGGTTGATTGATTATAAGATGGTGTGATATTCTGGAAGCTTGCCCTGCAGTTTGCGGGTCATGTTCCGTATATGGTGGTGGTGCCGGATCCCCAAGTGGGTCGCTTGCGCGAGGAGCGCAGGATTGATCGGTCGTTTTTGCCCATGATGTGTAGACAACAGGGATGAACTCCGAAAGACTAGCAGCGGGCCGGGTATGAAATGTGTGGTAAGCGGCCCCCGCTTTTTGAAAACACGGCCTAAACGCCACAGCGTCACTATCCCCGACATTGTTCGCGTGGTTCTTTATGCCTTGGAGCCAGAACCCAGGTTGGCAAAATAACGTCGGATTTGGCCGTTTACAGTTCTTGAACATTCCTTTAAAGTGGAGACTCCAAATAACGCGTATCACTCGGTTAGGATAGCTGACTAGTCCCGGTCTTGGCGGTTATATGACGGCCGATAACGCATGTACTCTCTGTACCCTTAGTAAAAATTGAGCTGCATACTTGGAGTCTGTCCTTCGGACAAGGAACATTACTTATGATGACCCACATTGCTCTAGCTCACTGATCGTTGTCTTCTGTAGTCTACTTTAACACATAATGTTGACTGCGCGAACCGGAAAATTTAGGTGTATTGCAAACTGATATGAAGGGTTTTATCAGTTCCATTATACGTGTGTTAGCTTAGACATTCATACTATACCTCCGTATTTTGTCGTTCAGCATAGAGTATGTTCCGTGGGATATGTTGGGCGGAATCTATCGCATTTAGGCAAAATAAAAACTTGAACACTAATAACATTACAGAAAAATAGCACAACGGTCTGATATGATTCACCCAGCAAAACCATATAAAATCCTTCTATGCTAAGCCAGCCCGCATATTTTCTTAAGTTGTTGGCGTGATAGATAGGATACCTAGGTTGCAATCGGCCCAAAGCCTTGGTACCACACGTCTTTGGGCCGAAGCGAATCATACATCAAGCAGTCAGGTGGCACTTGCTTGTTTCTAATTTTGGTGGCACTGCTCGCTGTGTATTGTAACCCGCACCATAGAGAAGTAGTATAGTTACACTAGCAACCGAACTGCGTAGTTGGCGTGATAGATATAAGAAGGAGTGAGCTTAAATATTAACGATAACGAAGGGAAATAATATTATCGAATTGAACTTCCTAAAAGGGAAACAAGAAAACGCAGTGGTGTCCAAGGTGAACGGCCATCAGTCACTAGAAACTTGCACTCTAGGCCAAGATATAACAAACGATGGCCCTAGGACGAAAATCTATCTAGGAAAAGTGACCAACCCAGTTACAGATTATTGTAGGGCGCGTGGTACGTTAGCAAATGCCGTTGGCTAAAGCGGATGTTGACCTGATTTACCTTGGTTCCTTTCCATGAAGAGCCGGGGTATGGCACTAGAATATCGAAAAGGAGTGCTGTAGTCAAAAGCGCGCTCATGATGAGAAGAAGCCTTGAAAACCGTTTGCTGAAAATTTCTGATTGCACCTTTGTACTCACGAATTCTAGGAACCAGTAGCAGCTAGAAAAGCACAAAAATACACAACCTAGGCCTATATACCCCACGGAACGGAGTTAAGAGTGTTATACTCGGTCGGGAGACTACGTGTTGTGTTGACCATATTGGGTGGCTGTCATATTAGGAAGTTTATCGAGGCACACATGGCATTTCTTTTTCTTAAAAGGGGAATACCTTCCGACGAAGTACTAAAGCATCAAACGAGAAGCGAGAAGATTGGCTTACACCTTGCTTATGCTCATGCGATCGTGTGTATTTGATAGCAATACGCCATGCAGCGCTCTTCAGTGCCAAGACACTTTGCAAGGGCACTGGCGTGATCTGGGATTCTTGGAGGCATCAGAAGACCTGCCGGGCTCCCAAGCCTTCAATACCAACAATGAGAAATGGGCAATGCGCTAAGGGGGGCCAGGAAACGGGGGGCGCATTGGGCGTCAGCCCACCGAGAAGCCACTAGTGTAGCCATATATTGTGGTACCATAAGGAGTGGCTTCGTATCAGGAGCAGATGGCGTATTGTGAATGTGCTGTGTCAAATCAGAAGTGGATGTGGCTTGCCTAGGACAAGGGTATTTCTGCCCTAAGGGTGCATCTTATTCGCATGTGCCGGTTGCCAAGGTCACCTAACACTAGTGACCGCCACAGGCCGGTTGTCGGCTTGCTGGATGATGCTTGGTCCTCCACAATGGAAACTTAGATTTTCCCTTGCGTTTGCCTGTGGATGCGAAAGGAGGGGGAGTGAAAGATGACTGGTCAAAGAAAAGAATCCATGCTTTCCCCCGCCACCCTTGAACAAATCAGGCAAATATCCGGCCCAGCACCGACGCGATGAAACCATGTGGCTGACAACACGACACTTGAAGTTGCATGCACTAGGGGCTAACCGGCATCTGACCACAGCGCCAATTTGAGATAGAGCAAATAATTGGCTTAGAATCGAAAATTTTGCGCAATGAATGTAGTGAAGGGATCTGGGGTCCGGGGGAACAGCAAATCCTCCCGCATCCCCGCGTTTTATTGAGTTTGGGGGGCTTTTTTGCTTTGTTTGCTTTGGGTAAGTAGATCTTTTATATCTAACCCTTGCCCTTCGCTTTTCTGTCCTTTTGACCCTTGGTGAACACAATCTACTGGTATTTAATATTGGTCCATCATGGCCTATAAGATTACCAATATTTATGTTATCACCACGGTGGCCGTCATCGGCGGTGCATTGTTTGGTTTTGATATTGCTTCCATGTCTGCCATGTAAGAATCCTCACCTGAATCCTATGTTAATGGATGATTGCTGACAGACCCAACAGTCTCGGTACCCAGCAATACAAATGTTTCTTCAATCAGACTGGTATAAAAGATGGCAATTGCGGTGGCCCGACATCTGCCAACCAGGGTGGCATCTCAGCGGCAATGCCTGGTGGATCCTGGGTTGGAGCTCTCCTTTCAGGCTTCATTACCGACTGGCTGGGTCGTCGTGGCGCAATTCAATCGGGCTCGGTAATCTGGTGCATTGGCAGTGCCATCGTCTGTTCCTCGTTCAGCATCGGGCAGCTCGTCGTTGGTCGTTTCATCAACGGTTTATCGGTCGGCATTCTCAGTGCTCAGGTACCGGTATACGTCGCCGAATTGGCCCAGCCCAGCAAGCGTGGCCAGGTGGTAGGCGCGCAGCAGTGGGCGATCACCTGGGGTATCTTGATCATGTTTTACGTGTCCTATGGCTGCAGCTTCATCAAGGGACCCGCCGCTTGGCGAACCCCATGGGGCCTGCAGATGATTCCCGCGGCTCTTCTCTTTTTCATGGTCTTTCTCTTGCCAGAAAGCCCCCGTTGGTTGGCCAAGAAGGATCGCTGGGAGGAGGCCCACGAAGTTCTCGCCTCGGTACACGCCAAAGGAGATCGCAATGCCCCCTTTGTTCATACCGAGCTACAGGAGATTCGTGATATGGTTGAGTTTGAGCGTCAAAACAAGGATGCCTCCTACCTGGACCTTTTCAAGGGGAACATGATCTACCGGACCCACCTTGGTATGTTCACGCAGATTTGGTCGCAATTGACGGGCATGAACGTGATGATGCTGTACATCACCTATGTATTCGGCATGGCTGGTCTTACCGGAAATTCCAACCTTGTCGCATCCTCGATCCAGTACGTGATCAATGTCGTCATGACTATTCTGGCGTTGGTTTTTATCGACCGTTGGGGCCGCCGCACCCCACTCCTGGTCGGCTCTACTCTGATGATGACCTGGATGTTTGCCAACGCTGGCATTATGGCGTCTTACGGTAAACCGGCCCCGCCAGGTGGCCTTCACAACGTCGCAGAGCAGTCGTGGGATCTCAGTAGCTCGCCCAAAGCTGCAAAGGCAGTCATCGCCTGTACCTATCTTTTTGTCGCTAGTTTTGCACCAACTTGGGGTCCTGTCAGCTGGATCTACCCCCCTGAGCTATACCCTTTGCGCCTCCGTGGCAAGGCTGTGGCGCTGTCGACATCTTCAAACTGGATTTTCAACTTTGCCCTATCCTATTTCGTCCCCCCTGCCTTCGAGAACATCCAATGGAAGGTATACCTAGTCTTCGGCGTCTTCTGCTTTGCTATGACGGTCCATGTCTTCTTTGCGTTCCCTGAAACCGCCGGAAAGACACTAGAGGATGTCGAAACCATGTTCACAACCCCGGGCCTCAAGCCCTGGAAGACCACTGTTCAATTCCACCATGTTCGGAAGCTAGAGCAAGGAGCAATTCAGTCAGAGAAACTCGCCAATCTCAACGCCGAGGAGGGGAATGTTCAGGTTCCTAAGTCTGTGGCGAAAGAGACTTCAGTCTCCCAGATTGAATAGAGTCCACGTTTTGGCACTCAGTGAATCCCTCGTGTGTTGCCTGTAGCGTTTTGGAACCCGCTTCACCTTTCCACACCCTATCTGGTTGTTCCATCAATTGACCTTAGTGCTGAACGTTGGATGAGCTACTTTGCCATCGTTCAAAACAATTAGGCACTGATTAGCAGTTTAGTAATATTTAGTTATTCCTCTAATACCACGAACCAAACATCAAGATACCTTTGTATTCTATACATGTAGTTTAGAATTGTGACTAGATAGTATCTGAATATTGCTACTTTTGGCCTATCTAGCAAAATGACCGAAGAATCCACTGCGGTAAATATAGTAATAAGGACCGGGTCATAAAACTAATGGATACACGTTCGAGGGCATCTCCGTTGTGCTCTTCTGAAATATCCCTCCAGTTAGATAGATAAATGCCTTTTCAGTCTGTTTGATGGACTATCGGTAAATAATCAGAGAAAGCACGGGCGAGAATACGACGACCAGAGTACATTTTCACAGCCAGATCTATACATGAAAATCACGTCCAATATAAATAACCGCGATCCACATATTATTTCAAGTGACAAGATGAACGAAGTTGGGGTTCTTGACCAAGTCTGTGCCAAACGCTTCAGTTATCCAAACCAGGGCAGTCTTCGCTGGTCTTGGCGGTGATATCAGAATAAGGAGATGGGTCAGTCCCGATGATGTTGTAGCTAGCTTGAAGTCAACACGATATTCGCAAGATGCCTGCCTAGCTTTTAGACTCACCTGTTATCTGGATACGAGGGCGCATCTCTGTCACCAAGCTTCTCCACGATACCCGTTAAGGCGTCGTGCTCCCAACATATAAGGATATTGCCTGATCTATTGTATCCCTCAACCACGTCTTTGACACACCCTGGATCGTCCCGGTCACAGGAAGTGTCGATGGTGAGACCAAGATCCTCAGCTAGTGGCTCTACTGTATCATACGGACGAGCGTGTTTTCCATCTGTTAGGTGAGGTCAGCCATCAATGTATTGCCTGCCATCCCCATCAGATACAATATGAATATGGGTTAGGATACTACTCTTCGGCGTTTGCGCCATTACATAGCTAATATCGTAATCTGAGCTGCTGCTAAAGACAGATCGCAGACACTGTGCACGTTGAATCCCCTGAGCATTCAAGCCATTTCCCCCGTCACTTGGTTTCTCTCCGTGGCGGATCAAGTAAACGGTGGGGGAAGCTGCTGTCGCGAGAGCTGCACTAGAAGATTTGAAAAAAGGGATTGTTGGCTCAATCGATAGATGATGAACGACCATTTAGACAAAGGAGCGGTGGACAAACTCGATTGTTTGGACAGCAACCGATTGTGGACTCTGCAGTTACGCATGTTGACCCGACCGTACACTTTCGTTTTGTGAGTGTTGAACGGAAAATAGGAGTTAAACGCTGCATCGCAACTTACACATGCAGTCGTCTGGGGACAGTAAACCCCGCCTGAAGCGCACCTGCAAGCGCCACCGGTGCAGATTGGAGCCACTGAGCACTGTGTTTTACCCTGCAGTAGCGACCGAGTGTCGGAGGAAGAAACGGAGGGTCAATCTAGTAAATATATTCATCGTCATATTGCATGATCCGCAGTGGTTTAAATCAGTATTGAGATCAGTACAGGCACCGGCACAACAGGTAGAATTTCCAGAGGGACACTTCAGATACCCCACTCTTAGCCAAATCCAGTTGGGTAGTATGGGAAAAAAGGGGGAAAATACTTACAATAATGCTGCAGGACCCGCAGTCCAAGGGCTGCACTGAGCTTTGCGCAAATGCCTGTGCGGCAGGCTGGGCTTGCGGGAGGACATTGTCGAATTGTGTCATGTCAGTGCAAGTTATGACCACTACAGGGTCAAGAATATCTCACGCTATTACTGCCGGATCCACAGTGCCTCGGATCAGAAGCTAGATCAAAACATGTGCCGGAGCAACAGCCAGGCTGGATTCCAGGGCACTTTTGAACAACGGTAAGTCTAAGAGGAAGAGTGGAAATCTCTCGTTGGTATTGGAAATAAATTAACCGCAGGGGACTAGCACAATCCACAGTACTTTGTATTGCTTCTCAAATCAACACACAGCACCGAGCAGCACCAAGACGACAGATCATTGCACTGTTGGATAATTAAGGGTCAGACCACTGACAAAAATTGGAAAGCTTTCAGCACTTACAGTATTATTGCATGATCCACAGTGGCCACGATCAGACGAAATGTCAATACGCTCCCCAGAGCAGCAGCTCGGTTGGACTGCTGGGCATAAGAAGTTCAGGCAAGAGTCTCTACAGGAGCCGCAATAGGTGGCGTTATTAATTAGATCCACACATGTTCCTGCACAGCAAGCAGGCTCTATTCCCTCACACTATGCGCCAAACTGTCCGAAACCGTAGAGGACAAAATGGATGCAAGGGGTCTGCTCGAGATCCTTACTGGCGTGTTACATGGCTTCTCGTCACCAAAATCCAACTGTACATCTGTGCATGTAGGAGGCAGATTGATAATGCATTGATGTGTTGCTAGCATAATTATTAGCGAATTGACAAGCCAAAAGAAAGATGGCATGAATATAGTGGGATGTCTTGAAGCCACACCAGTAGGTCTAACATCATTCGATAAGGGCCAAATCCCTCGTTGCTCTCTGGACCATTGAGAACCGCTGCTCAAGCAATGAGCCCAAAGTGTGTAATAAGAAGCAGCAATCATGATCGCTGTATGCAAGTCGTGGCCTCTGGAAATAACAACCGGTACTGATCGAACGAATGCTTGCTATTCTCAGAGACCTTTATGAATGCAGGGACAGTCGTGCTTCAGATGGATAAAAGTGCGAAGAGCGTGATTAAAATTTGCAGACATTGCCCATTCGAGGCCACTATAAAAAGATATAGTCAATGCTGTTTGCGGTTCCTTGATTCCAAAATATGCAATATGGCCACCAATTAACTTACAGCAAAATCTAACATTACTTTCAAGAAAATTAGCCTAGGGCCTAGAATTGCCACGCAGACGCCTATCAATCGACAGCTTTACATTGTGCCTGGAAGTTATATTCCCCTAGAAAGGCTTGTTGTGCGCGTTTCACATACGGCACTGCGTTGGGTAGAAGTATGTTGCCTAGTTTTTACTAGATAAGGTTTCGCTGGCATCAATAAGGAAATATTATTTTGAGTGGACAATTCCGTAACAGTAGATCCGTGTCCGGCTAAGAGTAAAGTGTTTGGCGGATAAGAGCGGATAAATAGTGGGGTGGAGCGGATAACTGACACAACCAGACAAAAGAAAATAACCCTACTTTTGACCACCTGAGCGGTAAAGTGGCATTAAAATTTCTTTTCTGATTTGCTTAATCCTTTCGTACCCCGGATTGAGGTAAACTGCGGGGAAGGGCTGTTGCGGGGAACTATTTCTTGCCACGAAGAAAGCCTTGGCACTCCACCCAGCTGTGTAGGAGCCGATGCTGCCAAGATCATAGCGAGCTGATCGAAAATATTGACCTCGATTGATAGGACATATCTGTCAGCGTTTGGGACTTGTCAACCAATCACTTTTCCGCAAGCCCCATTTGTACTTTTAAGTGCAATTGCTCTTTTCCGCCCACCCCAGGTACATATACAAGCGCAACCGTTTTATTTCTGTTGGGTTGAACAAATCGATCCTTGAGTAATTGAGCTCCAGACTTTGCAGCATCGCCATGTCTTTTTTACACCCGCGCCGAGCATCTCTAGATGAACTTGAGGATGAAAAGCGAGGGAAAGCTGAAAATGTGGAGGACTGCTCGAATATTACATGCATCGACGACATCCAGGTGTTGGGCCTCGCTCCAGAGGACGCAGAATTTTACCGCAATTTCGATACAAAAAAAAAGAAAAGAGTTCTCCGGAAGGCATGGTCCCATCACCCCCCTTTAGGGAAACTTACTAACGGAAAGTGCCTTGCAGGTTGATGTTCGACTAGTTCCGATGCTTTCCGTACTCTATTTGGTTTCACACCTCGATAGGGCTAATATAGGCAACGCTAAAATTGCTGGACTTACGGAGGATCTGGGATTAAGCGGAATTCAGTACAATATCGCACTTAGTCTTTTTTTCATTCCATATGTCCTTCTTGGTTAGTCAAAGCCCGGAACATGCCTCTCAAAAGATCTACGGCTAACTGGGAACCAGAGGTGCCGAGTAATATACTGCTCAAGTCTTTCACTCGGCCTTCCTATTACTTGGGCATCTTGATCGTCAGTTGGGGAATCATTATGACCTTGACCGGTGTCGTGCAAAACTTTGGGGGGCTACTAGCTGTGCGAATTCTGCTGGGAACATTTGAGTACATTATCCCCGCTCGTCGAATCTGACATTTACCTTGCCGATTAACCTTTAATTACGCTAGGGCTGGATTCTTTCCCGGTGCTGTCTACTTATGTTCGCTGTGGTATATGCCGAGGGATCTCGCGACCCGTATATCGTTGTTTTATTGTGCAAGCGCTTTGTCTGGTGCATTTTCTGGTCTTCTCGCAGCAGGAATCGCAAAGATGGATGGGGTTGGTGGCTATGAAGGATGGCGGTGGATCTTCTTGCTCGAAGGATTACTAACAGTAATCCTGGGGGTGTTATGCTTTTTCTTTCTTATTGATTCCCCCAACCTATCCAGAAAATGGCTTGATAACGATGAGATTCGCTACCTGGAATTACAGCACTTCATCAAAGAAGGCGGGAAGTTCAAGGAGGAACAGAAGAGAACTTCGTGGAGAGATATCCGAGCTGTGATGTTGAACTGGAGAATGTATCTGCTAGCTTACATTCTGCTATGTCAATCTGCCTGTTCCTATGGTTTGTCCACCATTTTCTACTAGACAAGGTGCACAGCTGATGAATTTTGACAAGGAACAAAATTTACACTCCCTACCATCACGAAAGGAATGGGATTCGAAGGCACCAATGCACAACTTATGACGGTTCCTCCCTACGTTGCTGGTGCCATATCCGCAGTCTTTTTTTCAACATTGTCTGACCGGTTTTACTGGCGTATGCCATTTGTTGTAGCTCCGCTACTTCTCATTGTTACCGGCTACTCTATCATTATGGGCCTTAAGGGTCAACTCCAAGCTCACATTGGGCCAGGCTTCTTCGCAATCATTCTGACCTGTATGGGTATTTACCCAACTCATCCTGCGACAACTTCATGGACAATGAACAACTTGGCACCATCCAATCGCCGTGCTATTGGAAGCGCATTCAACATATGTGTCGGCAATATAGGAGGGATAATTGGAAGTTACATGTATCTTGATCGCGAGGGTCCCACCTATCCTACTGGCTTTGGCTTATCGTTAGCCTTTGGCGGGTCAGCTCTTGTGGCAGCTTTGATTCTTGAAATCTCGTTCGTTTATGCCAATAAACTTAACGGCATGATGAGCGAGTCCGAAATACGGGACGCGTACAGCGATGAACAGCTTCTGGAGATGGGAGACAAGTCCCCACTTTTCAGGTATACCCTGTGATTGAGTTTATCTACCATATGTATGGTTTGATCATGTCAATTGAACATTCTTTAAGTCCAAAAATTGTGTCCTACCTCACGGAGAGCTCAATCTTTATCATAATCCGTCGCCCCTGGCTGCCTTCTACATTGATCGTCGCGGCGTACAGCGTGCCAGAGGCGTTTTGGGCTGGTTATTCTAGGAATCTTATTAATTGGTGATGTATATTTCAATCGCAACAAATCCGTCGGCAAAGAGGTGATGAGCACCCTCGCGAGAGACAGCTCGATACATGCCAGTTTTAGTCTATGTGACGTTATCTCAGGGCTAACAAACATCTCCACTTGAAAGGATTGGAGCTTTTTCACGTTTATCTCGGCGCATCCTTCAAATCGAACAACAAGGAGTGGTCTTAAAAGATGAACGCGCAGTGCGTATCGAGTTCTAGGAAGCTTAGTACGATATCCTACTTGATAAGATAATATATAGATCGTATACACTTGATTACCTAGTACTAGACACGTATACAAAGCAAGTCAGAGGTGAAGACGAAGAGCCAGTTAAGAAGACAGAAAGACGCTAGCGCCAAGCCCAAGACGAGTACCAAACCAGAGGAGAGCGTGGAGAGAAGAGATAGCCAATGAAATAACAGCATTAGATAGACCTAGCGAAATCAAACGGGAGAATTTGGGTAACAGCAACCCGATAGATAAAGTGTTTGTCATCAAGGGTATTCCCAGTCCACGAAGGTAAACCCTACTTTCACTTCGTTCGTCTCAGTGCACTGGGTATCATGCGACAGTGAGTCACTATAAAAATATTCTAAATCTCAATAGATGTGATAGAATTTTCTGGACGGAAATTTCAGGAGTCATCAATGATTGCTTATCGTTATTGAAATGGCGTAGCTAAAATGCTATTTGTTCGACCATAGGGTGCCTCTCATCTTGACGAATATTCTAATGGGTTTATCAAGCCAGCAGCCGCTGTTCGCACGAAGATGGATGTGCACAGGTGGACCTGAATTGAATATTGTTGGAGCCTACGTGCAAAAGCTTGAGGTGGGGACGACCTGCAGGTTGCGTCCCTATCAGAAACTGGCTACATATGACGGGATTACCAGTCAACTTTACGATAAACATGAGGAGAGGATCCTAGCTTACTGACTAATTCGTGGAGGCCGAGAGACACGGATACAATGCGAATGGGCCAATTTTTACTCCACTATTCTACGATATGGACTGCCCTAGTCGCTGACCTAAGTTCGCACGGGTCTCCCTTGCGTATATAATTAAATGCGAGGCAATTAGGATATAGACTTGCGGACTAGCGGATTAGCAGATGCCCTGGGCAGCTGGAGAAATACCACATCTCTCACCGTTTCCCCGATATGGTTAGCGCCAATTAGTGCTGAGCAGGCTGGCTTGGTAAGGATCGGATAGTCAACATCTCTAGAGTGAGTAGCATAACAATCTCTAGTATTATTGGCATGGGCACGTATATGAAGTATATGTTATCGATTTATTTTTGTTACATGGATGATTCCTTATATCATGATAAACGAGTCTATAGAATCTAGTCAGTGTGGGTGAGGCTCATGAACCATATCAGGCAACGAGGTGACCCTCCAGCCCCTTGCTTAATTTAACAGCATCGCCATTGGCTACAAAGAATACTGGAGATGGCACAGTATTTATCGCAACGATTATCAATACGAGATCGTAAAATGGCCTGAAGACCCGTGCGTAGTGTGTATAAAAGGTATCTTAGAATCTTCGAGTGATCAGATCCATCATCCAGTCTTCTTTTTATTATTATTTTCAACCATAACCAGTTGTTTAATAATACTACCATCATGCGTTTGAGAAGTTTCATGTTGGGCTTGACCGCTCTGGTTGCTGCATCCCCGCCGACGTCGGGCGACCGTCAGCATTTGACACCCTTGAAGACAGCTGTCACTGCCAGCCCTAGTCTACTAAGCATTGAGTATTTCGAAGACGGTCCACGCAATGGCGAGGCTGTGATACTAGTCCATGGATTTCCATACTCGATAGATGCCTTTTCTTCTGTGGTTCCTTTGCTCGTCGAGCAAGGCTACCGAGTTATCGTGCCGTACCTGCGTGGCTATGGAGGAACAAGATTCCTGCATCACAACACCCCTAGAAGTGCCGAGCAGGCAGCACTAGGATATGACATCATCGCATTGATGGACGTACTCCACATCGACAAAGCAATCTGTGCCGGGTATGACTGGGGTAGTGTTGCCGTGAACGTGGCGGCTGCTTTGTGGCCGGAGCGTTGTACTCGTATGGTGGCTGCCAACAGCTATCTTATCCAAAATCGCACGACTGCTTGGATCCCCACAGATCCTGATGCTGAGGCTGAGCGTTGGTATTACTACACCTTTCTTACGCCTCGAGGTGCCGCGGGTCTGACCGAACGGCCTAAAGATTGGACGCGAACTCTCTGGGAAAAGAATTCGATCGGATGGAATTTCACCGAGGAGTACCTCGATCTCACCACTACGGCACTTTTTAATCCAGACTTTGTTGATATCACTATTAACTTTTACCGGAACCGACTCCTCTATGCTCCAGGAGACCCTGCCTACGCCGACCTTGCGAACAAGCTCGATAGCCAGCCACCGATCAAGGTCCCTTCAGTGACCTTAGATCCGGAAAACAGTGTGGTTCTGAAACCAGCAAATGCTTCAGCAGCAGCGAAATTCTTTACGGGACCCCGTTGTCATCACAGACTACCCAATGTGGGGGAGAATATTCCGTACCAGATGCCCGAGACGTTCGCAAATGCAATATTCCAGGTGTCGCATCTGAGTGCATCGAATACAAAGTGCATAACAATTTGATTCGATTATGTAACTAGCTACAAATAAAATCCCTAGACAGTAGTTAGAGCTATATTTTCACTGGCTTACTAATTTTTTACCTGGGCGGCTAAACCTTGGAACGCTGCACTGTTGCCGCTGAGCTGGGTGCCCGCCATTGACATCGGGACATCGGGATGGATGCCCGATGACAAAGCAACTTTATAATCGATGCCATCCATCCTGTAGGTGCCCCTGTAGAAGAGTGTCCGTGCTTTATTCCACGGGTTAAATCAACGCTAGGGCACTTAAGAAGAACACGTGGTTAGATACGTAATATCATCTCGCAGAGTGGTTGAATAGGAAGCACTATGGAAACCTGCCCTACGGAACGCCATTCCTCTATCTTGCATCCGTCCTTTCATGCCGGAAAAGTCACTTGATCCAAGACTGTTTGTCCAGAATATTGTAGGGAATCGGGGATTATGAGTGCTCTGGCCTTTTGGGTATTGTACCCCGTGATCATGCCAGGGTCCGTTTTGACCTTTCTGTGATTTCTCAAATTAGGATGCGTAGGGGGATTCAGAGGTGCATCTCCTTGGATGAGAATGTCAAAATAATGATGCTGCTTATTAGATGATATTCTCAGTTTATGGGCAATCCTGGGTTGTTCCATAACCGGTGACAGGTAAACCGGTGGTGTTATGGCATATGGTGGCTCCGTTCGCTGCGTAAGTTGCTATTGGACGAACTTTCGTAAGATAGTTGGTCTTTGTCGGAGTAATAAGAGGCGAAGTTATTAGTGACAGATATGTCTATCTGCTCCTGCTGTACGAATGTACGGTTGAGTCGAAAATTTTGGGAAACCAGTGCGTTTGATATATTCCGGGCTAGAACCCAATGAGTGAATTGCGTGATGCTAAAACCGCTAGTGTAGTTGAGCTTTTCCTAGGCGATTAGTTGAAGTGGAGCAGTGAGCATCTAAAGCTCGCCAGCAAATCCACAAGAACGGATTATTGAATTGACTACGCTTACGGTAGACATTGGGAAAGGGGCTTGGCATAGCCGCTGCGGTGGTGATCATGGACAGAGTAAGTATTGCTGCTAATATTATGGATTATATGGTCAAGGAATGAAATCTTCTTAAACGATTGGTTAGAGGACTGCCCACTTATATCTAGAATTTTATATTTCTAGACGTATTAATGAAGATAGTAACCGGTTAGTTTTGATGGGGGTAATCAACTCCCGTAAATAATTGCACCGATCTATTTCCCTTATATTACAGGGCCTAAGCGCTAACGGGAAAGTATTCTGATCTATATATTATTATACCAAGTTAGTCTTCGTGTCCAGGCGCGTTTGTGGGCTCCAAAAGTTGCCGGTTTAAACCGTTTCCTGCCTAGCGGATAATGGGCAGAGGATAGTTGAACGGTGTATTTTGCATGTTGTAAGAAACAAATGTTGCCCCTTACTCAATTTCAGGTCAATATAAACCGTCGCGCTTACCCTCCCATGCATGTGTCCGTCTGAGGTTCCAGGGAATGTCTTATGTACCATCTATGGTGAATCCTAGACCGCTGGGGATTCTCGTATTTTCCATCCTGGGTAAATGTAAAGGATATACTCAGGGAATGATTCTTTATCCAGCGCGTCATACTGCAGCATTGCGGAAATCGCTTGATCGCCCAGGGAGTGGTCCGGATCGTACCATTAGATCGGCCGGTACTTCTATCTGTGCGATTGACCATAATCATATGCTTATACGATGCAATTGATCGCACGTGCGCCAGGCCGGGCGATTACAGGCGTCAGGCTAGCGACCGTGCCCGTTGAACGTCTAAAGTAGGCCATCTTGGTCTATATCTTACCTAAACCTTTGTAATTTGGTTTCGAGAGGCAGGAAAAAGTTTGAAGCTGACGTGCAAGCCAACTATGGCCTGCCTAGGGAGTCTTACCACCATTTTAGCGCCAAAGGTTTGGAGTAGTTTATTTGTGTAACGCCTACAGAGAAATCTAGGATAATAGCGTAGAACACACTTTGAGCTCACTGCTTGGTGGGCACAAAGAAAGGTGAAGTTCAGAGCCCAAGAAGACATCATGACAATTCTATTCCTACGCTAGTGGAAAAATCTGCCCCTGAAAACCTCGCAAGGGTAAGATATGGGCCGTGGAAGAAGATCTCTTCGGCCCGAAACGCAGAAAGAGACGGGTATTTGCTCGACTCCTAGTTGGCGATCGCTGGCTAATTCCTGATACAGTCACCTTGACCGACGATGCTGTATGTATGAACTTGACTTGCACGATGCTCCATATCTAACGATTTGGCCAAATGTAGTTCCTTTTCAGGGGTCCCCAGTGAAATCCCTAAACCTCCGATGATACTAGTATTCTCAGTTCCTTTTCTGAAGCCAAAGCCTAGTGTCGTGGGTCTTCTTGTCTTACTGATCCTTTCATTGCTGGAAATGCAGAATGAATTGCGCGTTTTCAGAAGCTACCACGCAGATCAATTGTCGTCTTGTCCTTCACACACACACTCAGTAGCCTCCTGTACAGCCATATCCGGTCATCCTTGAAATCTAGGAGGTAACTTTGGATTTCAGCTGCTGTGAACTGGTCGCCTGGGACCTGTTCGGCTAATTTGATATACAGGTCCAAAATTGACCTGTTTGCTATGGCTCCAGCCGGTTGATCTTCCAGCTTCTTGGCTGGAAAGTTCGAAGTCAACCCAGCAGACCCTCCGTCCATTAATTGCCGCGGATGCATGCAATCATGCAGTAGGGTCGTGTAGATTACCCGTCTTTTCGAGAAGTCTGTTTTTGTCCTGTCCTGCTCGTGTCCACCCGCTTCCCATAGTTGATTGACGGTTGTTACCTCCGCTGCGACTCAACAGGCTGCGCGCTGCTGCTGCGGTGGATAGCGACTGCAATTCTTCACAACCGCGGCTGCCTTCAGTTGATGAGTGCTTCGGTGTAAATGTGCCTGCCGGGAATCCCTAATCCGCACGCTTTGTCAAGCCACCATCGCATCCGCTTATATTAAATAGAGGCTTCATGCACTATCTCACCATATTCTGCAACACTATCATTCCGGGATTCCGCAACACAATGCGGACAATCGACTAGCTCCTGTTCTGTTGCGCAACTATGTGGCAGCGACATCATGCGCTGTGAGCGACTGGTCGACACATTTGTGTTAATATTTTGGTCGGGGCACTTGCCCCTGCGAAGAGAATATAGGGTAGGTAGGTTAGCCACGAGGGCTGCGCCGAATTGCTCGACAGAACCCCAGGTATACCGACGAACTTGTGAGGTGCCATTGCTGTATACGGGGAGACGTAAGATAGCAACAACAAGCAGGAGAATTCCAAGGGAGAAGAGAGCGAATAACTGAAGTCGACTATTGGAGTTAGGATTGACGACTCCTACTTCTCACGTCAAGGCGGAGGGAAACATACCGTCTCAAGGAATAGGTCTTAAGGGAGAAGATTGCAGGCATCGGAAAAATCAAAAGCATTAGGTCTGTGGCCATGTTGAGGGCTACAAATGTGGATAGTTGGATAGTAGCACTTGTACAATGTCCTATACTTACAACTGTTAGATGCTAATATGCGCTGTTTATTGATAGAACACTGAATCCACTCACCAGGGTCCGGCACAACTTGCCAGTAGAGCCGGATAGGACGACAGTCGACAAAGCTAGCTCCCTGCACCGTGAGGTAGGTAGCTAGAAGGGTAACCCAGTAGGTCTTGATAACGAGAGCTGCGAAAGGCAGACAGGAAAATATCTGGTTGTACAAAAGCAGGACAATCGACTTCTGGATCCATAAACTGTAAAATCTGTCAACATGGCCCCGGTGAACAGGAGAGGAGTGTGTCCTTACTACGTGTTATATACCATTCTATCCGCAAGGGTTAGCTTGCTCCCCACTACGCGCTGATAAATTTCTGTCGTCGTGAAAGGATGACCGGGTTTCATATTGTTGTTATTGCCCCATAGGCCCACAACGATAGCAAATACTGATCGTGCCACCAAGCATAAAATAGCCACCACTGTAAAATAGTCGCTTAGAACCAGCTGTTGCTTCCTCAGTTTGCGCATTATCAGCCGCAGGCCCATGATAAGAAAAGTCGCGACTCCGAAAGTACAAATCAGGACTGCGATAACTATCTGGTGGTTGGTGAGCATCTTCACGGATCATTTTATGTCGTGCTTATAGAGGCTGTTTGACGGACAGGAAGGGCTGAGGAGGTCACGTCATAATAAAACCTTTTGAGATCATTTTGGATTAACTAGGGGAACGAGCCAGCTTTTTAAATGGCGAATATCGTTCTAGGTACTGTGGCGTGCAAAGTGGTGTGTATAGGTATAACAAGTGGCGCTCAAAAACCATGTTAGCTAAGCCCTAAGCTCTAGAGATTCCGGAACTACTAATACTAACCGGTCCTTGATCGCGAGAGTCTGTAATAATAACCAACTGTCTCATGCTTCTCATTGGAAGTCCACTAGATTAGGTGAACGGTTCAGAAGTCTGGTAAATTGCTAGCATATAGTACGAGGGCTTTCCTAGAATTTCGGCCCCACCAACACGATTTCTCTCCGTTGCGATGTTTGGACCAGCCGAAACCCGGAAAACCCGGCAATAATGGGAATGAGAGGTTCCAAGCATCGAGAAAGTCGATACACACGCCGTGCTTCAAAACGCTTTGACTTACAGCCATGGTTCCACAATACCTCTGTAGATCCCGTCCGAAGCTTGACTCATCTCCGCACTAACCGTAAAGCCTGGTAGAGCAGGAAGCGGCGACGTCGCTGAGGGTGACAGAGAATATCAAAGGTCCATATCCACAATTCCGTAACAGATATAAATGCTTTGACTTGTTAAGAATTGGGTAAAATAAAATACTTCTTATACCAAAGAGATAGGTCTTGCTGAAATTAGCAGAGAAGTCTTGAGAGCGATTTGGCGCCACGAAACCTTGGTCGGTTTTGGACCGACAATTGCTCCGATATTTCCCCGTAGCCGTCCAACCACGGCATAGGAATCTCATGCGGTTCTAGGCGTCGGCCGTCCAAACCTTCGGACCAGCCGTTGCCAAAAGTCTATGGGTCCGGGGGCCCCCGCAAAATTAGCTTCTCGGTCCCCAACCCCTCAAACGGAGCAATTGAACGTTCCATGAATCCGCGGAATTCTTTCCAACGCCGTCTCAACATCCAAGGCCGCTCGACAAATCCATGTTAGACCAACCATGTATTTGCATACGTGACTTTATCTGTAGGCGCCATGAGAAAAGGCTAGAATTAGGAAAGCATCGAGATCGTGTTGTATCAGAGATTGGATCTTAACAATAACTAACAAGGAACCATTTATAACGGGCAGCCATGTTATAGGATGTTACGGAAACAACCATTTTTGTGTATTCCATAGTTTACATACCACAGAGTAGCACTTCCTTCTCGTATAAAACGCCATAATTTCCCTCGACACACGAAATGCTGTTTTAGTAGAGAAGACCTCAACCCCTTAGACATAAATATAGTCAGAATCAAGATATACCTAACACCCACCTAGAGCTTGTGTTTTCTTGGGTTTAAAGATCTCCTTTCCAATCGTAAATGTCGTGCCGGAAATCGGGACTCAACTTAAAACTTACAAGGCCTTAAGCGACCAAATCCTAGGCTATATTCTAGTTATCTCGCTATGCCTACCACGATACCACTGGTAGAGGCTCTGCCCTAAGTAACGATGCAGCAATGCTATGGTGTGTATTTAGCAGCCAGGTCAAAAAAGAAAGAGTGCTTTTGCAAACGCGTAAGATTGTTGAAAATTGGGAAAGGGAAACTATCTAAAATCTACCACAGGGAGGGACCTTGAGAGCACCGTGGAGCTACTTCCACTCAACTGGACCCAAGAAGCGTTTCCACAAGGTCAAATCGTTCCCTAATATCCAATAAAAGGAACGGCCAGTGCCAGGACACCAACCACTAAGCTCGCAGAAGGGACCCAGTGATTAGCGGCGTTGGTAGTGTGCACAGCAGCTGTCGATGACGTGGTGCTAGCGGTGCCAGAGGAGCTCAAAGGCTTAGAGCTAGAGCTAGCCGTCGTCAGGTTGTAGACAGTGATGCCGGATTTCACGAGCGGCACCACGACCAGGTTCGTCTTGGCGTCCACGGCCACAGAGTGTGCGAGCTTATTGTCTGTGGGCCAGGTCTGCATTATGGTGTTGCTAGTCGCGTTAATGACGGCGAGCTCGGGCATTGGTGCTCCCCCCTTCTTCCCGCCGACCTGGTTCTGGTACGCGGAGGCAAAGTACAGCTTGGAATTGGGGTCGTAGGCGACCTGGTCACTGCCGGCAACCCCGGAGATCTTGGCCACGATCTTTCCCGTCGAGACATCCATCACTTGACTGAATGCAACGTCGTACGTTTCAATCTGTGTCTGGCTGCAGGAGATGAAAAGATTCTGGTCCGCTCCAAAGACGATGCCGGCGGGAACGCATTCACTGAGCGGGAGAATGTCGGTGACCTGGAAGGTCGAAACGTCCAACCCTGCGATCTCGCCGCCAGGATTGGTACCGGTGCTGGGCACTGAGACGTAAAACTTGCGGGACAACTCATTGAAGGCAGGCTGCTCCAGCTCTGACGCATTATGGAAGGTCACTTTCCCTGTCACGGTGCGATCTTTGGCCGAGATGACTGCGACCTGCGGGGGTTTCTCGTTGGGCAACGTCACGACCACGATGCCAGTCTTCGAATCGTAGGCCATCTCGTCGGCACGCGTACTGACGCCTATCGAGATATTGGCCGTGATTTCGTTTGTGAACAGATCGACGACGCGGACTGTGCCGGCGCCGTCACCGACATACAACTCGTTGCGGTTCGGCAGGACAACCAACCCATTCGGCCCCGAGATATCATATTCGTTGGTGCCGTTCGCCGTGAATAGACCCGCGAATCCGGATACAAGATGCGTTTGCTTCTCGCCGGCCAAGTTAACCACATGAACCCCACCATTGACGCGGTCCGAGAGGTAGTAGGTGCCATTGTATACTATGCTCTGGTCCACGCTGGTGGTGTTCTTGGGTGCGAACGGGACACTATACGCCAGCTTGTAGCTGTCGGCGAGCACACCGCTAGGCCCCGCAAAGGCCAAGGTAAGCAGGAGGTTCTTGGTCCGGCGATAATCCAACATCATGTTGAAAGCAAGGGTAGAGGTATATTTGACAATTTCAAGGGAGATGGACAAAGGTTAGGGTGCTGATAAGAATATACCAAAGACTTGTCGCATTACTTTGGTTTTCTCCCGTCCTCTCTTATATACCTGGTTATCCTGCCTGGATGGCCTTATCCCGGACCATACTGGTGCTCTCCCTACCTCCCATTTTCCATCTTCTCGGCTCCCGTACAGTGTATGAGCACGGAAATCACCGATTGTGGGGTTGGGTGAAGCTTATCTTGCCCATTGTACCTCCGCTTGCTCCTCTCAGTCCAATGATTGTGCCCCCTCCTCATCCCCAGACCGTATCCCCGGATCTCAGCTAAGGCCTGTCGTGGCCAACCGTGCGTTGAGGAGGGCAGAACATGCGGACAAACGCGGATAAAACTAGACGGTTGAACAGCCAACCCACTTAAAGGGGTAATGATCAGATGCACCGTAGGGGTTCAGGTGAGGGGAAACAATCAACCTGGAATCAAGAAAGTGCCGAGAATCGCCAGATTATCGACTTCATTGTCCGTAGTCTTAGCCATTCCATCTTAAATCGGCGCCTGAGGCTTGGTATCTACCTCCGAGCCTGGAAGGTACGAAGATAGAAGTGCCTGGCGATGAAAGACAAATCCCGCCACAAAAGTCAATTCCAGCTAATTGTACGGGGTTCCTAATGGACACCTAGGCTACCGAAGCTGCTCTGGTTAATGTATTCGTGTAATATTAACACGACATAGCGGTAAAATTCGCCATAGCAAATTGCTGTTGCGGCCGCGCATGTGTGTGTGCTCATTTATGTGTCCTGCAAAGTAACCCTTCCTGGACAGTCATACACTTGGCAGTGTTCTGTTGTGCTCTGCTATAAATTGCCATTGCTCCGCCTGTATATATCTTCGAAAGAAGTCCCGAAGTAAACGTGATGTTACATGGCAAAGTTAAGCTTTGTGGGGAGCAGGACAATCCATGGACAAGCATGCCTTCTCAGGGAGGCGCTCCAATGAAACGCCTTGTACCGCTTCATCCGGAGGACTAAGCGGGGTTAGGTATGCTGTACTTCGGAATCCGCAGGAGGTGGACCAGGACCGAGATTCGGAGCCACCCCGTGGTTTCGATGCAAGGGGGTCGATACCCCAGCCAAAGCCCCCAACCCAAGCTTCGAGTGAACATCTTGCGGACGGAGATACTCGACCCAACCAAAAAATAGCTCTGCATGGCAGAGTCACGCTTCCGGACAGTGGCCGATGCCGTCGGCGACTGCATCCACTCACATCGCGCGTCTCGTTGTCCAGTCCCAGGGGCTCAGTACGGAATCCTGTCGGCCTGGATACTCTTTCTGCTCTCTTTTGCCCCAAAAACCTACGAAAAGCTTGTCCAAGCCGACCAACAAAGTTCACCAGGAAGCAACCACACGGGGAAGCGGCGAGCGTCATGTGGAGAGAAATCCGGGGTCGCATGGCAAATAACTCTCGACGACAAAAGTTGTGGGAGATCTAACGCGGCCGGTATAGTCCTCTGGTCATCCATTTTATTCTCAGGAGCAAACGCCCGGCCCTCTGTTATTTCAATTTCTCGTTATTTCAGCTTCCATTGCTCTCTTCGTGATTCTGCTGCGGCGGACTTGACACTCAGAGAAAGGCAGGATGGTCTACTTTTAGACCTCAGAGGCAACCGCCATAATATTGTAATCAGTTTAGTCGCTGTAACCGCCTTCGTTTTGCAGCGCTACGACTAGGCAGTGATGAATGGTCTGTTAACATTCCTGCACGATTTCCCGATAAAAAGAAATCGAATATCAAAGAAATATATATATATTAACTTGACACACGCCATGGAGACATTCTTCAGCAGGATACAGGCGGTGCCGAACACTCAAGAGCTTTGGCATGGGTTTTCGTGAGAAGGAAGCAATGAATGAGGACCATGGGCCATCCCCTTGAGCATTTGTTTGAATGTACCTCTCCCTGACCGTGGTGGCGCACTACAGAGCGGGGGAAGAACAGTTCTTTGATTCTTTGGCAGACGGGATTCGAACACACGCGTGGCTCTGACCAACCAGACGTCTCGTCGGTGCGTCGAAGTTGTCTGGCTGCATCTGGAAGTATTTTGTCACACGCTAGGTAAAGTAGGCTGAAAGTTACCCAAACGTTGGATTGTAGCAGCCAGTCGACGACCACATGGCAGTACGTTGGGCGCTGGTTCGAGTCAAAAGCCGAACTAAATATTTTCCAAGGACTCAAACCTCCTTAACTGTCTCTCTCTCATAACCACTTCCAGCAGGCCAGATTCCGTTAATCGGAGGAATGTTTTTTGATGTCGCGACGTTCCGCAAAACCGTAACCTTTGCCACTCGGAGGTTGAAAGAGCCTTCATCGTTGGAGCCACGGATCCCCGCACATATCCCCTTCCTGCGACATAGGATACTATCTGATGGCAGTGTTTGCTTACTATAAGAGCTTCCCCGCAAAACTCCCGGACAATGGCTCTCATTTTCCGTTGTCCTCGATTCGCCTAAAACTGCACACAAAGGTTTCACTATGGCGGGCGGCTCAAAGAAACCAGTCAATATCTTCAGGTTGAAGAATCTACCCGAGCCACGAGAGGTCTTCAACTGGAGACTGTGGTTTGCCGTAGTATCCTTCGGCCTCATGGGCGCAGCCCGTGGCGTTGACGAGGGCTTGATCTCAGGCGCCTTCAATTCAAAGGATTTCCAGAAGACCATCCATTACAGCTCATACAGCCTGGTGGAACAGACAAATATCAAAGCCAATGTGTCTGCTATGGTCCAGATTGGCTCTGTTGGCGGTGCTCTTTTGTATGCTCCCTTGCCATTTCATGATAATGACAAATGCTCTGTCCAAGAGACTAACCACTTGTCACCTGTTCCTATTACAGCGCATTCTTAGTTTGTGATCGCATTGGTCGTCTCTGGGCAACCCGTCAGCTCTGCGTTCTGTGGATTGTGGGTATTGCCATGTTTATGGGAGCAAATGGAAACTTAGGTGTCATCTATTCCGGCCGATTTATTGCTGGTCTGGGTGTGGGACAGACTGTCGTTGTTGCACCTGTCTACCTCGCTGAAATTGTAAGCTGGTGGACTCCCAACGCAGTGTCACCCCTGCCGTGCTAACTACCTCCTACTCCAGGCTCCCGCATCCATTCGAGGTCTTTGTACTTGCGTCTTCACCGGTTTTGTGTACCTGGGAATCGTGCTTGCCTATTTTGCCAATTACGGCTGTCAGGTCAATCTGGGCGATTCGACTCACAAACGATGGGTAAGGACTCAGGTTTGCCTGGTTAAAACATTCTACTCAAATTGAGCAACTAGACTAACCTAGTTTTAGGAGGTACCTACTAGTCTCCACATCATGTTCGCGGGCATCATCTTTATCATGTCATTCTTCCAGTATGAATCACCTCGCTATCTTATCAAGGACGGTAACGATGAGGTGGCATGCAAGACTCTTGCCCGCTTGCGGGGTCTTCCGATTGATCACGAATATGTGGTCTATGAGATCTCGACTATTCAGAGCGCACTGCAGACTGAAAAGGAGGCAACAATGGGAGCTGGCTGGCTTGGTATTCTCAAGGAGATATTCCTGGACCCAAGTAACTTGTATCGACTCTACATCGCTTGCATGGCTCAGATTCTGTCTCAGTGGTCCGGCGCTGGATCCATCACCCTCTACGCCCCTGATCTGTTTAAACTGCTTGGCATTACTGGTTCCAATGAGTCGCTGCTAGTTACGGCCATTTTTGGTATTATCAAGCTGGCAGCAGCGATCATCTGTGCTCTATTCCTTGTTGATGTCATCGGTCGCAAGCGCGCACTTCTCATCGGCATCACGCTGCAAGCCATCTCGATGATCTATATTGCCGCTTTCCTTACTGATGTACCCGAAATGGGCATAGTCAAAAACTTTGTTCTGCCAGAGTCAAAGAAAGGCGTCAGTCGCGGTGCTATTGCCATGATTTTCATATCCGGTTTTGGCTGGGCGCTCGGTTGGAACTCGATGCAATACTTGCTCACGGCTGAGCTATTTCCGCTGCGCATCCGTGCCTTGTCAACATCGCTGTCTATGACATTGCACTTTGCCAATCAGTACGGTAGTTCACGAGCACTCCCAAACATGCTGCTGTCAACTACCAATGGTGGTCTCACGCCTAAAGGCACTTTCTGGTTTTTCGGGGCAGTCACTATCATTGGTGGTCTCTGGGTATGGTTCAGCGTACCGGAGACAGCTGGACGGACACTGGAGAGCATGGATCTTCTGTTTCAGCTTCCTTGGTATAAGATTGGACTTTATGGCAATCAGGACGCCCAAGAGCGGGATGCATTCATTTCGGAGAAGGAGAGGATGGCTGAGGAGAGACACACCATAGTCCAGCACGTTGAAGAAAAGACTACAGGCAGCTCCACCCGAGTTTAGCTTTGTTTTTGTTGTGGATTGAGTACGTTTCAAAGTCCGGAGGATTCCTGCAGCTTAGGTGGCCATCAAGATCGATAGTTGTTTTACTGAGCTGATATCCATAGCTGTCTGCAGTATCGCCATGTCGTGTTTTGGTTGATTTGATCCGAATGAAGAATGAAATGAGGTTTCAGAAATATGATGTGAAAAGGACCTTTAAGTATGCTTACAACAATATTAGCAATATTACGCATATAGCATTTCAGTGAAGCCCGCAAATTTTAGTGAAGAAAACTACAAGCTGCGAGGATTCTCCTTCTATTTAGTCATCGCCTAGGGGCGATTAGTGCCAATTAGTTGGAAGTTAATTCTGTCTAACGAAGCAATACCACCGTAATTGGGTTCATAAGCCTTTATCACCAAGTCTAGCGAAATCTTTGCATGATATGGGGGCAAAATTGCTTCGTGAACAACGAAGATTTCTAACAATTTGATTTCTTCTGCTCGTGTTAAAGACTCACGAAATCAGCCTCTCGACATATGGGTTGGCTAGAAAGTATTCTTCTCTCACGGATGGATTCTATACCTAAACTATGTTAGAGAGCTGTAACAGGCGCCTGGCCCCTGCTTCATTCTTCGGCAGCTTCCGGTACTACGGTAATAGTTAATGTACAATGGGTCAACCAGTTTATTAAGCTATGAGCATTAGCTTATCAACTGGCCTATTCTTCCTAGAAAACAGCTAGTTAACCATCCAGTCGCTTAAGTATCTTCTCCGTACCTCTATGGGATGAAGCTACGGCCACGGAATCCCGAAGCGTCTTTCCTATTTCGGCGAGATCTGCCCTTCGTCTCTTAGTCTCTTCCCCCGAAGTATGGACTGGGGTTTCGAGTTTAAGATTTGCTAACGTATTCGAAGTCGGTAGCTTTGAGGTGTCTTTATCGTGTAAACAAAGCTAATCATATGCACTAGCGTAGATATCCCGTAGTATAGATGGTGGAATGTCAATCAATGGCCTTTGTTCGGCGTCTTCGGCGTCCTGATTCCCCGAACGACGCTGCCTAATTATATTGGCTATATCGACTGCTTAGAACGCAACCCTATGACTCTCGTACCCCACATAGTGAGCCATCGCCTTAGCGCGAATTGAAGCTCTGTCCTTTAAGTCATATAGGGCGATATAATCGTCGAATTGTAAATAGCAATTGATTTTAAGAGCCTACGACATTGCACGGCGAAGAAATCTGCCTACTAGTAGGTATAGGAGTAGACTGCCTAAGGGCGCCGTGTTCCGCTAGGAACTTAGCCTCTCTGTCCACTAGTCGCCGTAAATCCGAGGGCAAAGTGCTAGTGCGCTAGTGGGAAAGCTGCTCGTAGAGCATTTTAGCATCCCTATACTCGATATCCTTGCCTCTATGGCATTGCATAACTTCTAATTGATTCACCGCGCAATGATAGCCAAGCTTAGAATCGCATCAATGTAGCCTTCAGCCTAGTATCCCGAAAGGTCCCCTGCTATTCTAAGGCATTGTTTAGGATGAGAGAGATACTCTTGCAATCAAGACACTCAAAAGTATCCTGACTATATATATGCCGGTATAGAATTGTAAAGCACTTGTCGGTATGCGCCAGTGTTGTAGAAAGGATCGTAGCTCATTGGTCCTCTATTGCGAGACTGTAGGGTCATCAAGATAAGAGCATCATAGGTCATTAACGGCTCCCAGCATCGATTCAAGCCTGTATTTATGCTGTCGTATTTGTAATCGATAATAAGGGCTATCGCTTCAAGATCATCTAGGTGCATTGAGACGGCAAGGAGCTGCTGTTTTCCCACGTGTCTATTGCCGCTGTGAAAGGTATACCGCGGCATGCAATAGCTAAGAGAAGGGCCGGACTATATCGAACTGCTTTATAGTCTTGTTAAAATGGTTTCTCGGGAATAAAGGGGTGATAGAGGCCCGGGAAATCAAAGTAAGTATGCAGCGAGTCTAAGCAGTCCTTTAGATTGAAGCTAGGCATCTTAATAGACCTACGAAGAATTTTAGTGCAGTTTGTATTATGGAGACATCTTTGCTAGATTCATGTCCTCCCCAAGGTACCTCCCAGCTCCCACCCTAGGAGCTCTGGTATCTACGCTGGATCAGGAAAACCTGCGGCTGGGATGGGATGTCTGCATTCTAACAAAAAACGATGAAGCTAGCTGTAAAACGAGCGATGTCGGGATTCTTATAGAGCAGGAATAGATACATCGACATCTTAGAGCCTAACCATAATAGGCTCTGTGGCTTAGTCATTGAATGTAAGTGCTATGGCCGAGGTCGCTAAGGAGAAATAACAGTGTACGAAAAGGAGGAGAGGGTAATATTTGGGGGAGAAGGCCAGTACCAGCTTACCTGGATGCTTTTGCGGTCTTTTTTATATTAGAAAAACACTATGTATTTGTTTTTCCTCTCATAATCCATATCATGGTACGCACGAATCGAGCAGAAAGGCCTGGACCTCTATGGATATAGACACCGCTCTTCCAAAATTTCCGTCATGGCACCCTACGCGGAATATCAACGCGGATGTCATCCGATTCGCTCCACTCGACATGAAGACCACATTGCCATGGCCCACGATGCAAAGCAGGTTGAGCCTAGCAGCCGGTGTCTACGATGAGCACCTTAATGATTGACCACATGCTGTCCGAGCTCAATACTGAAGATTTGCGCCGGTCACCTCGCATGTCTCCGAAATTAAGATCGACGGAATGACTTCCTGGGTAACGACTGAAAGGTGGTCTGTTGAATCTAGCACGGACCCCTGTCTTGCCATCCGTGACCTGTGTGACGCAGCCTCTAGGACCGCAAATACAGGGACTAGCAAACGAGGATGTTCACTATATCAATCAATCAATCAAAGTTCTATTAACCTGTTGGAGCCTAGTAGTATCGTAATGGCTATTCAGGCGCTTCTTTCCACTTGAAGCAAGAACTCGTGTCTCGTACGCCTGATCATGCTCCAGTACAGAAAGTGAGGCTGGTTCTCAAAGAGTGGAAACACCAGCCCATTACATGTAAGCCAAACCCATAAAACCCATAAAACCCGCAGTACAAATGAGAAATCCAATGCCAGCCAGCATTCAATACAAAATGGATGCGTGGATGCACCGTCCACCTCCCCAAGTCCTCTCCTTTTTCACAGTTCATGTGCATCTTCTTATCTAGATGCCAGCCAATTCCTGCTGCAGATAAATCAAACCCCTTTCTCCGACATCCTCACTTCAGCCTTGATTGCTGATTATCGTTGTTCAATGCCGAGTCAGGCAGCGTGTATCCGAATAGCTCTTCGCGGTTCTCTCCACCCTCGACGGTATCAGCACGCATTGGTGAGTACCCAGCGTCTTCGGGACTCTACTCCATGACCTCAAAGTTCAGGTCTTCAGCTTCATCATCAGATTCTTCTTGCTCAGTATGTTGAAACTGGACAAGTAGACCGGTTTGGTGCATGAATTTGGCGGCGTAGCGGATCGCTAGCGGATACGATAGTATCATAAAGGCTGTTCACTATAGCACATAGCAAAAAATACTACAGGCGTGATATCCAAGCCTTTATATCTAATTTTGTCTTAAAGTTGCCAAATTGCATCCCTATGTACATTCCTCGCTGTGTAGGCATTGCTATGGAATAGATATATACTATCAGGTGCACCTCACGACTATTCTCCGATCAACTTTGGCTCTGTGAATAGTTTAGTGACGCGGGCCGGGAAAGGGCTGAGCCCAGATGCTGCGGAGCCTACATTACTCGGTTGGACTGATGGCCGGTCTAGGTAGCTAAAACAGTAACTATGTAAAACAAACCTGCAACAGTTGTTCTAGACAGTCCATATCAGAGAAGGTTGGCGCTGTTTCCGTCAACAGCTTCACGTCATTGGGCTTACTGACCAGTAAGACTAGCCTACGGACAGTGGATAATCTTTCGTGAGGCCTGTAAAACATAGACAATATCCCGGCAAGAGATGCTCAGCCCATGATTTGATGGTAGATGGAGAAAATATTGAACTGAGTACTTTTGTAACACTAACGCAAAATGCTTGGAATTCGGCATCAAGGATCGCATTACTGGGAAGAACAATAATGCGGCTAATGGCAAGGCTAGCACACATTCCCGACTCGTAGACGAGACATTACCATAAACTTTGAGAACAGCGGGACGACTGGAGACCACTTTGATGTGCGCTTTGGCGCAATTTCCTATTATTATCGTCCAACCAAACCAAGACTTACTCTTCCGGGCACCACATCCCGTATGCCCACCTAAACCCACACCTCAGCTCCTCAGCAGACCCTATTGCTTAAATAATTCACGGGTATTGACACGGTCAATCTCGTAAGGGTTTGCTTCATAGGTGGTGGAGCGATGCAATGAACCGGCCGTGCGAGCCGAAGTGACAGAATGAACACGGCTGCGAATACGCTCCGCAGAGGGCAGCTCATCAACACCGTTCTCAGTCTCGCTGGATACCGAGTCCTCTAACGCGGGGACATTGGTGCAATTGTAACCCACTTCCTCGTCTTCCCGCGGCTCGGTAGTAACCTGCTCCTGGATCTTGCGCATGAAGGCCTCAGACTGGGCCGTAAACTTGCAGCGGGTGCGGATTGTAGGGCCGTACTTGTAGAAAAGGAATGGAAAGGGCACGCATGCGAGAGCAAGGAATGCGGGGATTGATGACGCCCAGTGGATACCTAGGTTCTTATACATGTAGGTTGTGAAAAGGGGGGAATGCAGCACCGAAGCACGAGCGAAGGACGGAGTTAGCGGCTAGCACAGAGGCGGCGAAGATAGTGTATGCGTCCATAAGGTAGTTCATGATAGTAAGGAATACTAGGACCATTCCGAAGCCGAATGGTACCCCAGCTGCGATGCCGACCATAAAGTGAATCGAGGGGGAGTTCGTCTATGAAAACCAGAACAAACCGACAGGGATTGCGATAGATGCGACGAGGCAGGGTGGTAGGCGTGCCTCGGGGGGTGCAAAGCCATCATACTTATCGGAAGTCGCGATATAGCGTTTGTTATCCCAGAGAGAATATAAAACGCTAGATAGCATCCCGACCATAATGCCAAGGAAGGCGAGACCCCTAAACCCTGATTGCAACCACGGGGCTCCTGGTAAACGATAGGGAAAGCGCCAAACATCATATACAATGTACCGTACAAGACAGCCATGTATAGGGATAGAAGGAAAACGATAGGCCCGCGGAACAGGAGAATCCAACGGCGAGAGAGGGAGACTTTGAAGGACTCCTTAAGGGAAATCTTGCCTTGCTCGATATTGATCTTACTCCGATAGATCTTGTCGGACAGCTTTGAGAGTCTTTCCGCGCGGCGACGAAGGAGCACAGGCGCATAGGTTTCGGGGATTAACAGGGAACCAATGATCCAGATCGCACCAGAGAAGACGGCAAGGAAACCCATGACCCATTGCCAGCCGCCGTTGCTCATGCCAATAAATCCACCAGCGATAGGGCCAATGACGGGGCCCAGAAAAGGTGCGGCGGCAAATAAAGTCATAGCAACACCTCTCTGCTTAGCGGGGAACATGTCCGCAATGACACCACCGGCATTGGTTAAAGGCGACGATCCAAAGGAACCTGCCAAGAATCGAAGAACAATAAGGGTCCAGGCATTTTGGGAACCTGCGGCACCAGCATTGAAAGCCGTGAGGGCGGCGTAGGTAGTGATGAACAGGATCTGGCGGCCGAACAGCTCGCTCAGTGGAGCCCAAAGTAATGGTCCAGTCTATAACCAAGCAAAAATATAAGTTCAGAATTCATGCAGAACAATTTACGTAAGCTCAGGGAAAGTCGAGAGCTCGTCTGGGCAGTCAGGAACTTACCGCAAAACCAAGAACGAAAAGCGAGACACCGAGAGTAGCCAGTTCTTTCCCGATATCGAACTGCAGCATGATCTCTTTAACACCGCCAGTGTAGGCGGATGAGACCAATGAGACGGCCAAGGTTGCAACGGCAACCACAATGGTGAAGGACCATTTCTTCACCTCGCTGAAGTTCATTGGATTGCGCGGGTCGTTGACGATCCATGTTACTGCGAATGGGTCCTCGTAGGTTCCTGGGCCGGAATATGGGTGATCAATGATCTCTTGTGTGACGACTCCCTGGTCAGAGATCAAGCGCCAGAATGGTATCTTTTTTGGGGCGGTGGCCTCGATCTTTTCGGAGAGATTAAGCTCCATTTCGGCTGCCATGATGGGCAGCGCAGATTTCGTTTGCGATATATAGAGTCGATACTCGGGCCTTAGTATGTGACAAATTTCGATCAGGATAAAAGGCAGGAACAAGACCTCGAAGCTGAGTTGTTTTTGTGTAGGTTAGATCCTGAAGCTCCGTTACATAATAAAGGGGGAGAAATAATATCCCAAATTAGGTATGTATAATGAAAGAGTAAGAGCACAGTTATGCACAAACACCAGAATGAGCATAAGTCAAAGGAGGTTAAGCCCTTGTTATATATAGCTTTCCTTCCACGGTCAAGCCCGTGGCGCTTTTTTCTCAAGAGCTTTTAGTGGGCTTTAGAACCTATGCTGCATAGCGAGTTCGGAGTATGGATTCTTGCAGATAAAGTACCGTAGCCATTGGCAGAGCCTTGCATAACCCGAAAGCGTTAGCTCGACATATAATGAATGTACTGAACGTATCCCACCTCTCCCGAAACCTTGCCCACAGTACCCGAAGTAATCCACACCACTTCACCCGACCCGATCAGGTCGAAGGTCGAACTAATAAAATCTATCAGCAACGACACCTAGAAAATGCCTCATATAAGTTGGCCACCTTAGCGGAGAACTCGGGACTTGTAGTGCTAGCTACTATAGACCAGCCGGAGTATTGAGCAGATTTAACATGGTGCACTGCAGACTTTTGGATAATCGAGAATTAAAAAGCGCGGGACGGAGCGAAGCTATCCCTACGTTTATCTCTCGTCAAAGAAGAGTTGAACGCAAAGAAATTTTGACTGCTGCACAGTGGGATATATATCAACCAATGTTGTCTACGCCAATTTGTCATGTTTTTCTTGTACTGACTGATTTAGGCTCATGTGCATATTCTAATTCAGCAAGCAGAAATCCTCCAACTTCTTGAAGCCTTTAGGTTTACGGTTTTAATCAGGGTCACAAAACTCGACGAAGATAAATGATTACGAGAAAACAAGTCCAGTCTCCATCATTCCCATCTCATTTGTGCTTAGTGAGATTTCAAGCTTATATTTCATTCCTTACAGGTACCCACAGGTAGCATGAGTTATTATCAACTTGGTTGCGTGACAAGTCCATCTGTCAGCAAATTTAGACCTTGAGACTTCAAAGACGACTTAGAAATATCAAAAGCTTAATGATTTTTGCACATGTTCACCTCTTCCTATAGTATAGAAGCTGGGGATAATCCCCTAAACGAGAGGGGGAAAATAATCTTTGGTTAGATAACGCCACGCAGGTGTTCCATCTCGAAAAAAGATTTTGACTCTCAGATCATCCTCAACGGAAGTAATTTTTATGATACAGAACTAGGGAACTTTGGTTGGGGCTCCTCTCTAGGCGCTTGGGTTGCGCTTCCATTTTTGGCTATTTAGCGCAGCGTATATTGCCTTGCTAGCCGAGAAGTTTCGCGTTCCAGCTGCATGACCCGATAAGCCAGGGAAAGGTTTTTGGAAAGTTTGATCGAATAACAACTTCGCATGGAAGCATGCCAGGTGGTATACCACAACCTGAGGTTGCTGTAGTTGGCGCAAGGGTGAGAGGAAGATAAGAACGGGTAAAATTGGTATTATGTTTTGAGCCCCAAGTCTACAGATGGCGTCAGCAAAGTAATGGTCACGAACAAGATGGTTTATATATAGAAATACAGTTATGGAGAAACGTACTGGAAAAATGCCCGCCAACACAGGTTGCTCAGCTCATGATATCTTAAGCATAGCTTCATACACTCCACTCGCATCCATTTAGCACTCCAATCGGTGACCAATACGTCTAACGAAATATGTGGGGCGTGAGGAAAGAAGTTGAAGAACAAGGCATAATTGGGCCCAAAGGATGGTGGCTGGGACCTCCACGTTTATAATCTTGCCTGTCAACGGCTTTATGGGTCATCGGCTTGGCAGCATATTGCAATTATAGAGATGGCTAAATTTGTTCCCCACATCTTGATGGACTTCGACCTATCTATGCCCAGTGCTGAACACGGGAAGCATACAGCAGTAACAGTAGTGTTCATTTACCACGACCCTCCACAAAGTTGATTTGGCCACTAGGCCAAATTACGGATCCGCATCCAGTCTAGTGGGTAGTTGTTTATAATCAACTCGCAAAGTTGAAACTCTGAATTGAAGTACAAGCGCGATAACAAAATAGAACTATCTGAGGACAGATACCGCTATTTGCAGTCAAGGTTGCTGCCTGCATCCTACCTACTCCTATAGCTGCCTAATAAGGAGCTACTTCTACCCGTGGTCTGGGATCCAACTCGCGAGGGGTCAGGATATATTTATCCGGGCATCACTAAAAGGACCCCCATATTGGACGTTTGGACCCTACCTACGCTCACTAAGCCTAATTAGGCTAGCGGCAGTAATTGTATTTCCAATGCATTAATCGGTAAAATTCATCAATTTCTTGGCGATGCTAATGCCCCGAGAATCGGCGGTCATGGAGCCGTGGTACTTTTATTTACTATGCATCCCCCTAGTAAAATTAAGTCACTACTATACCTTGCAACAAGTAACTGGCTTCCTGGCCCCGATCGGCTAGCAAGCGTCGGAGAGTGCTGCGAATAGTCTTAGGAAGCATTAGACACCTTGTTAAATAGAAAATACGTTAAAAATTCCATCCTGTTTTTAAAAAGAATTGGACGCAGAATAGCTGGTTTCCTATTTAGGACTACTGCCTTGCTCGGAAATTGGTCTCTAGTAGGTACTTAATTTTATTAGGGGGATGTATAGTAAATAGAAGTCCCCCACAGATCCATGAGCGCCGATTCTCAAGGCATTAGCATTGCCAAGAATTGATGAATTTTTTACCGATTAATGCATTGGAAATACAACTACTGACGCTAGCCTAATTAGGCTTAGTGAGCGTAGGTAGGGTCCAAACGTCCAATATGGGGGTCCTTTTAGTGATGCCCTAAATAAATTGCATGGGAGAGAGAGTGGACTAGACAATCCAGTCAATTTATTTCTAAGAAAATCTTTATTTTACATATACCCACTCCACTACATCTGGCCTGACAATTTGACTTATGTCGATGTGTTTAAGATCCAGCGGAGAGCATTTGTGTCAAATGAGTAGATACGAACGCCTGTTTACTTCCAACCCAGGTTGAGCAAATTGTGCATTTGTCAAATCTGCCGCTCCAGTCTCCCGCGATTACTTAATCGCCTATGTATTCCTATTCTTTCTTCGAAGCCAGTCCCCTCAATCATTCGCCGCCATCGCAAGTCTGTTTTACGATTCAGTAATTACGAGCCCTTAACATTTTAGTTTAACAAATTATACTTTTCGGTTTCCCAGCCACATTTTTAACCAGGGCGTAGCTATCCATGACTCTGTGTTTTTGTTCCTCTAATTCCTTCTCTATGTATGGTCTATTTGAGGCTTGTTATCCAGGCAGCAGGCATTCGCTAATGAAGAAATCCTTCGCTGGGATGAAATCAATAAATCTGAGGGATGACTGCGGCCCGAGGTCAAATTGAGGGTGGTAAGTTGAGAGAGACCAGTTGGCCCGCTTATCCACCAATGTAGTAACCAATTATTTCCAGCCTCACGATGGTTTCTTTGTTTCTAACTGAGCATTCGCTTGACGATCGAAGCATTCTGGTTAATTGGATTGGTGATTGGGTTGACTAAAATTCTGAGAGGATGAAGCAGGATAAAACCTCTTTACCTCCTGCCCCAAGCATCTCTAAGTGATCTGAATGGATTCTGCAGAGTAAAACAGTAATCCCCCAACATTCTTCCCACGCCTTGCCGCTGTGGATGATCAGACCGGGAGGGGCGGTATACTTGAACTCGCCAGGATTCCAGTCCGGATGATTCGGAGCGTTTTCATTGCGTGGACTGACCAGGAATTCCGAGGGCCGGTCAGATATGAGTCTCCAGTAGTCGCCCCCAGCTTTCATCATCTCGTCCGTGTTGACGCCGAATGGCATGTTGGAAAGGATGATCCCATTTTTCGTGATTAAGCTATCGTGTGGCACCCGGGCTTATCCTGCTTGAACCAGTGTTTATTGGAGACACGTCCATTGGGATCAATCTAGTAGGTGCAAATGCCCGGAGTGCTTAGGCCCTTGGCAGAATAGCTACAAGTAACCAGCTCATTCGTGCGGGGATCGACTCTGGGACGGCCGCAAAGGTCATCATAGCTACCTGACCACCGTATGGATCCGGGCCCCTTGTCTCAAGGGTGTCCGGGTCCAGAGCGCACAGTAAACCCCTCTCATCTAACGCGAGGACATTGCCGCCCCGGTAGATGATGTTGGTATTTCCTGTTGCACAAACCAGATATTCCTCGTTTCCCACTCTTGCTCTGGAGTAGACAGTGATAACACAAAGTTGCGTAGAACTTCGGGTATAACCTTAGCCATCTCTATCATCACGATATGTCTTCCAATACACGTGCTAGGCCCTGCGCCGAATGCGAAGAAATATTGGTCCATTATCTTCAATTGTTCTTCTAAAGCTTCCAGCTAATGCTCTAGCGTAAACCGCCCGGGATTTGTAAAAAGACATTGCGACCATGCTGCGTCACCTACGTTTTAATGCTAACAACAGTCCCTTTAGGAACATGTTAACCGTAAAGCGTTACACCGCCAGTAGAACAGTTTTCTGCTATGTCCCAAGATCGTGCTTATCAAACGCATGTCGCATCGGACCCATTTCATGTTCAACACCCATGTTGCAGTGTTTGCAGTGACGGTCATTCAGGTGCGATTCTCTAAAATGACGTAGAAGGTGCTTGTGGCGAGGAAAATGTTTTTATCCGTAGCATTGGAACCATTCCAAGGGTTTGGTAATGGTTCCCGTAGAAGTTCCTGCTTCCCGTGGCGCTTCCTCTGATAGCATAGAGGGTAGTTGGATGACTGTGAGAAGGAGAACATCATCGCTGTTCACTGTTGTGTCATTCCTCGCGGAAGTCGGATGTTTAGCATACTGTCTGCCTCGGGGGGGCCCACCCTCGAGAACATCGCAATACATGCGGACAGCCTCTACGGCCTCGTTTCAACGCGCCCACCCCGCTTCCAGATATAGCGTTGCAGACCTGGTCTTCTATTTTTCCAGTAAGAAGATTTGCTGGCGGAGCATATGTTCCTCGGTACGCAGTATCTCTTTGGTACTTTCTTGGTAGAGTGCACTGCCGGCGAGTCGCCTTTCGATGTCAACGACAGCCTGTTAGCTTTCACAATCTTCCGTCACACGCTTCCGAAGATCGTAGAGTAGCCGGTTACGCGTGTTTATGACGTTATTTTCAATTGGTAGAGCCTATCGAGCTTTTTGGTACTCTTCTTGTTGCCATGCTTAAGCTTTTCGGCGAACTTGTCGCGTTTTTGGATAACCACCTGTAGTTCGGCGTTTTCTTGCACGCTGCCTTCTGCTCATCCGTAAGCTCACGAGGCCGTCTGGTGTCGATCTACCTCCCCATCCTAGTGACTGCACGCATCATTGCAGAGTCGGGCTCCAAGCCCCGCATCAAGGACCGCACATCGGTACCAATACGCCGTGGCAGATAGTGTTTTAAAAAAAAAATCCGGATATCGGCATGTTTCATGATCAGCTTTTGCTGTGCTTCGCTAACCAGCCCTACAACGCCGATCGCCGAACGTCAGCGCCATTGTCATCGCTCTTCTAGGTGTCAATCATGAGAAAACTTACCACTTTTATTCAAAATTGCCCCCCAAATTATCGGTGGTTTAGTCATATCAAGAGATGATCATGTGTAGAACTGAGGTGTGGTACTTTACCAGTAAGTCCAGCTGATTCAGCGGTCATCTAAACGCGATTTATGTTCCGATGGTAAACCGGATCGACTCGGGATCCCCTTTATATTATGCCAAGACTAGTACAGATATAGACCCTCTCAACAGTGGTCTATTAGTTCAATCAATCAGTCGCCTTATGCTTGGTTCCTTCAGTACTAGCGCGTATAGGTATCCTGAGACCCGACATATTCCCCTGGAATTTCATATTTCAACATGTGACGCTGATAATTATAAAAATTAGGACGCGTAACTAGTCCGTTTTATATACACGTGGCCAGTTCCGTTCCATCAAGCTGAACCGACCGATTATCACGTGAAAATATATTTCCTTGGCGAATCAGCATTTCCGCCTGATGGAATTGATCTCAAAATTCGGCTTTTTGATGGTGGGGTTCCGCTTGGTATTTGAGATAGCAAAACCCTTGTGGGCTTACTAGTCTCACCCTCTAACAAAGCCATGCAAACTCAATATTATTCTTAGATCCGACTTTCTTCTTCCAGACTCAGGAGATGGTTAGAAACATAGTTATCCCCACTAAGAGAGGACCTACTATTACTGCACGTTACATGCGTGCCGCTGGTAGTACCAAGACATCCAGTTTCAGGTTGAAGCTCTGATTGTTTTGGCAAAGCTAGTATTTCACGCAGAGACCTCAGAATAAGGCTCACATCTACAGAAGAGCTCTAAAACTAATATAAATAGCTGAGTTGGATTCTTGGATTCGATTGTTTTCCCCGTATCCCTGGAAATCTTTGATTCTGTTTCCTGGCTCTCCTTTCTTTCATCAGTTATGATTTTTACTAAGTTCTCATCTCTTCTATTGCTGGCCACCCAGGCGGCTGCACATGGCCTGATTACCCGTATCAAAGGTGCAAACGGTGTCGAGATGCCGGGACTAACAGGTAACGGGTTATCATTGAGCCTTCGAATTTTCAACATTGATTAACAGTTGACTCCAGTTGTCGATGGAACGCCACGCGACTGCCCCTCTGCTGCGTGCGGCGGGCAGAAAGACACCGCAGTGATGCGAGATCAGGAAATGGGAAGCATCAAGGCATCGGCTTTGGGCCGCACTCTGATTTCTGGTCCTGTGGACCCCAAGAGAGTAATCGTGGATTTCATGACACCCAATACCGACACGCGGGTTCACATCCGCCATTTTCCTCAAGGTCTTCATTATCCTTTCAATCTTAGATCCTACTCCAGGGACTAATGTTTCTCATAGCTCGCCAACTGATCAACGACGCGGCTAGTGTCGTCACTAATGCCGGCGGTGCTATTCTCAATGGTTAGTATGAGCGTTAAAGTTTCTTAAGTCCGCACGAAAACAACTAAGCTATTTTCTAGGCGCTCAGGATATTGCAGACAGAACGCCTTTTGGTGGTGCTATTAAGGGTAAACCCGCCCTCCTTGACTCACAAAATTTGACACTCATGAAACCAAACAGGTGCGCAATCAGCTGTTGATGACGTAACGGGTGCTCTACCACGGACCGCATCTGGCGCAATTACTCCCAGTGGTGCTGTAGAGAAAGGGATCGAGGACTATGCTGGTAAAGGTTGTGTTAATGGATTGCCCTCCGTTTCTGACGTGGGAGTCATCACGATGATTTATCATCAGGTTCGTCACAGGCCACGTGCTACTTTACTTACCCCTTGCTTACTCTTCGACATAAAGGTAAACCAAGACGGTGCAGGTCCTTTGTCGGCGGACATCGACGCAACGAGTGGGGGTACCGACTCTAAAGCGTTCAATCCAGCCGAAGTTATTCAAAACATTCCAGGTGCCGCGGGATTTTCAACCTCCAGCACCATGGACTATGAGGTTAAGGTTCAACTGCCCTCAGGGATGAAATGCACCGGTGTTGTTGGTAACACCAAAAATGTCTGCATCGTGCGGGTCAGAAACAATGCCATTTCAGGCCCTTTTGGGGGTTCGGCTGCTTTCACAAATTGATATACTATGGAATCACTGGCAACTTTTAGCATGTTAATAAGCTACAATGGCGTTTGACACTTTATTAATCGCACGAATTAAAAAACCTTTCATCTAGCTATTGCCAATGAGCGGCCAGTGATGTAAATGGCTTTTGTCGGGTAGAGGGAGTGGGTTGCAGGAAGGTGAAGGTAAACATTGCTTACCGCGTCCAAATTTCCTTCTGGTCTGTCCAGAGTCGAGAAAACCTTCACTGTCGAGGCAATTGCAGAGCGATTTATTCTTCCTCTCTATTCCATAAGCATTTTACCTGCCCCCGTTGTGGGCTAGCTGATTTTTCCCATCCTGCCCCACAATGGAAGAAGGAAGATCTTCTCGATCTCAAGATATCTGGGTCACATTCTGGGAAAAAATTTACAAAAATCGTGGGAACAATGCTTGGGGGACAGGATTTCGCGTCAGAGCTCCTGGCAATCACAGGGTAACACTGGCAATAACGGATACCCTTTGCAACTATCTACATGAGGAACTCAATAAATATGACCTTTCATTGTTCAGAGATTCGCTTAATTGATTGTAGAATAGCGTGTTCCGAAATAGGCTTCGGAAAAGACTGTGACAGAAGTGGGAAAACTGATTTCAATCAATCTGTATTGTTGAGGATAAGGAACACCCCCATAATAAAATGAGTGTACGTATGCACAGACGGCACCAAAATAGCCAAGAACAAAAGATACATCAAACATAATTTATAAGATGTTGATGCACCACAATCACAGCATGGCGAAAGGACCTTTCCAACAAAGCAAAGAAATGAATGGCGTTGAAAGCGAATCATTCTTGGCTAGAATGCGTAGACAGTGAGTTTTAGAATGGTCGGGTTGCGTCTAGTCCAGCTGCCCCTACAAGGTCCTCCATAGCCTGCCTTGTGGTCCCCGGGGGCTCTGAAACTCCTAGGGCCGCAGATACTGTATCAATCCACTATCGTATGATATGAACGAGTAGGAGGATTTCCTTTCAAGTCGAACGTAACCAGTGTCAGTATTTTGTGATTCGCCGTGCTCGGTAGTTAGCTATGGATAGGTCCTGCAGCGGGTTTTATCTCAGTGGCTGACCCCCTTCGCACTTTTAATTGGGTGTCCGGACAGGCACCGTCCCATCACTGCCCCCAGAAGGAACCGAGAAACTATACTTCCTAGGCCTAGTTCAGTCAGGTATCATGTTTACTTGGCTTTAATATTATCCAAGGCTAAATCTTGGAAAAAGTGAACTTCTCCTTGGGCTTGTGCTTTTTACCTCCAGTCATATAAATAGCAAATAGATATTCATGTATATATCTAGACACAGCATAGAACATGAACATCTCACTGAGTTTATTGTGTTGAAACGTACGATGTGACCACGTGCCTTGCTGGCTATTTACTACTTGTTGAACGAGATTGTTTAAGATTGAACCCTAGTATCAAGCACTCGTCTACCTATTTATAGTGATAAGATATATTTACCGAGGGCTCGGTGGAGTCCACAAATGTTAATAATGATGAAAGGTCCACTGCTACCCTAGACGGCACTTGCGCATGAATCCTAAACGTGATATGCCTGAGGCGTGAACGAGGATATCACAACATATTCAAAACTCTTAGGTCTTCCACAGAGGAAAGGTAAAGCGTCGTATGCTTCCATGATACTCAACGGCTTCGATACCCATGCCCTCACGCTCGCGATTCACCTTCAACAGATCAAGGGCCGTCTGAGAATGGTGTATCGCCGGCCCCTGTTGCTTCATTTTTCGTTCCAATTTTTGCCTCGTTTGCTGCCCATTTCTTCGATGGCCTCCGTGACTTTCTGTTGCTATGAAGAGGCCGCCCTCTTGTCGTGCGGAACCCTAGAATACCGACGCGACTAAAATATTCATAAGCACCATATGGATAATCCAGAACATACATCAGAGCTGCTCTATGCACACATTGAAGAGCCAATTTGCAGACGTCAAGTCCATCATATAGCTTCGAGATTGATAGCGATGAAAATCTGAACTCGTAGCATTCCACGGTGCAGCAATGTAAGAGTGAAAGGACCTTGGATATAATCCCATTGTCCAGAGAGCCCCATTGTTCAGGGTTGAGGTTTTTGATGTCCAGAAGAAGGTTGCCGAGCCGTTTCGCAACTCCCACAATTCGCATATTCCAAAACGCTCCACTCTGAACTATGTTTATACATCTTTGTAACTTGCTCATAGCATGGTCTAGGGCTATTTGAGTGGCATCATCGATGCTACCACCGACATTGGAAATCAGAGTGTCGTGGGAATGAGTGGCTAATCCCGGCTCAGTATAAATGTTACCGTGACTGATTCTCACCTGAAGATAATGGTTGTTGGAAGTAAAGTCGATAGGCATTGTCAAATGAGAGCACAAAGACTGAAAGCTTGAATTCTGGCGTCAAAGGATGTTGGCCCACTTAGTGAGAGGTATCCGTCAGCCGGGGATGATTCGCTTGTGCAATGGATAATATCAATGATTAACGTATTCGTGGTGGAGTACCTAGACACTCAATGGTGCGAGAAATGGCTGCTGAATGACTCACTGGAAACAATCGACAGCATACAAGTGCAGGTTGGGGCCCATGGATCGATGGTCCGTACACGCCGCCGAGCTGATTGGGATCCTGTACGCCGTTAACATCAGCAAGATCGCTCTCCGACACTGGAGAACATCCCATACGCGAGTGAGATCTGCCACTATCCTCAGTGACAGCAAGTCGGCACTGCAAGCAGTCCAGAATCCCGGGAAGAAGCCGGGACAACAGATCATCCATGCTATTCTACAAGCAGCCAGGAACACTAAGACTGCCTCTATAATAGATTGCGCCGGCCTGCAAAGCCCCATGGTCCCAGCTAGGGGGTATTCTGAAGACTAAAGTTCCCATGTGATCGGAAGACGCATGTAACTACTTCGGTCGATTATGTCATTTATTTTTTACATCGGTAGATCTGATAGGCTGGATATCAGGCTTCATCGCCCTTTAGTGGCGATTTCTCTCACCTGGTGGATCCTTAACTCCAATAATGATGCAGATCCCTCAGGGACCTCAAAAGTTTACTGGCGGAGATCCAAGGTAAATGAGGAAATCAACTCGAGCCCAAAAACTTTATTCGGGAGGATTAAGGCTGTTGCCTCCTTATCCCCTAAAGCAGATAGATATAATAAGTCCAGTCCACCACAAGTTCGTGAATTGACCGGATAGTATGTCCCGTTTGTTACGCTGTCTTCAGTTTACTCCGACCGCTGGACCTGTCTTTAGCGTTTTCCATTGAGAACAACAATGCGCTTGCTGCTGTTACTGGCTCTAACCTCGACGGGTCTGGCATCACCACTTGCCGCTTCGCAATTGGTTCTAAAGGAACAAGCTGCTCCTCAATGTGCTGTATGAATGGAAGTCCCTTTCGCATATACATAAATTTAATGCATGCTTAGGTTGACTGCAAACAACAAGTACTTGCTGTCGTTGCCACACAATGCTCCATGAGCAACACATCCTGTCTGTGTGCAGACGAGGGGTATCAAGTGGAGCTTGCGAATTGCAGGCTGACGAATTGCACGACAAGGGAGTCATTGAGTACTTTTCCCTTTATTTCACGTCACAACTCCTTCAATATCTAAGACCATACAGCGGCGCAATACCTCAATTCTCGCGAATGCGACATTCCTACCGTGCAACGGTATTCTGGAGTTGATGCCGGTACCCTTATCCCATTCATAGCTGCTACCATCCTTTTCACGATTAGAATGACTGCCAAATCACTGCGTCTGGGTGGCGGTTGGGGTGCTGATGATTTTACTTTAATTGCGGCATACGTGAGTCCAATCCCATCTGGATATTGGTTCGGCCATTTTGCTAATTGATATACAGGGACTTGCTATCGTGATTTTTGCTTTGAACGTATCGAGTAAGATCGCCTGGGAGGATAGTCGACACTCTTCTAACCGTTCTCAGTGATTCAATATGGCTTCGGAAAAAACATGTGGGATATTGTACCACAAAATAATATCACAGAGGCCTATAAGGTTCGTCTATTTTGTATTCGAGAAGTGGACACGCTGACCCGGTTACTGTTAGCGCTTTTATGCGTTTGTCTTGGTGTACAAAGCACTTATGTCCCTTGCAAAAATCTCCGTCTGCCTTTTCTTGCTGCGAATTTTCCAGTCTACCGTGTTCCGATATATCATGTATACCATGATCGCGCTAAATTCTGCTATTGGGATCACATGGATACTTGTTGACAGCTTCCATTGTATCCCTGTCCATCTAGCCTGGATTGGATGGGAAAATGAGGAGTCCGGAAAATGTATCGACTTCATCACCTCAACTTTCGTCAACGGATTCGTCAACATTGCAGTGGATACTATCATGGTGTCTATGCCCATGTACGAAGTGTTGAACTTGAAGTTGTCCCGTCGCAAACGAATGGGCGTTGCGGTGATGTTTGGAATGGGACTGGTGTAAGTCAAAGAAGGGTTGCGTTCAAATTTCCACTTTTCGTCCTGCTGAATCATATTGCTGGTAGATTGACGTCTGTCGGAATTGCAAGAGTGATCGTTCTTTCAATCAATAACTCTACCGAAAACCCCACCTGTGAGTACCCCGCTATAATCTTTCTTAATATTGAATCTCAACACCGAACGCTTCAAATTTGACGAACTTATATTAGCGGACTCATCATTGACCATTTATTCCACAGTCGAAATGGAGCCACTCAACTACTGGTCTGTGATTGAATGTCAGGTAGCCATTATTTGTGCTTGTCTACCTGCCACACGAGCAATCATCGTTCAATACCTTCCTGGAATACTTGGCCATGTCAGTGAAAATGCATCCAGTGGTGGTTTTCATGCTTCTTCGAACATCCGTTCAAGGGGGGGAGTCGCTTGCAATTCCTCTAAATTGGGTGAGAGGGGCTTCATTTCCAAAACAGTATCTTGCTCCGTGGATACTAGTGTCAAGTCTCCAGCGAATACTTCAGACAGCTTTATAAAACTGGTTGAAGTTGATTCGGAAAGGGGTTAAGGCATTGCACCTAGGCTCATGCAATTTTCCATGGTGAAGGGAGTTTGATTGTAGGTAACCAACTGCAATAACATTGGGGCTTCATATACTACGCACGCCTGAGAAAACGAAAACTCTGTTAGAGTAGACCCTGGAATGATATTCCAAGTCATATAGACTACTCGTAGCACGTCTACCCCCAACTTTAAATCTTTCATATTTTCAAGCTACCTCTGAGTAAGGACGGATACTTCAGGTACGACCCGCCAAACACCACGTTTCTCGGGATGGAGAATCCACTGTCAGTTATCGGACAAGCTGAACTGGAGCTTATCACTGATTACGGAGAGGTCGACTTGACTGACGGTCGGGGTTCACCTAGGACGCCGAATGTCACGACCTCCTTACGATTTTGGCCGCGTCTGGTATGCCGGTCGCCTAATTGCAAACTCGCGGTTTTGACTCTATCTAGGACTGGCCTATGAAGCATGTTGGAAGCAATGGGAGGGTCCCCCGATCCATTTTCAAGATCCAAACAGGCCTTTTCCAAACCGATCGACCAATGACAATCTTTTGGTATCCAACGGCGATGCTTTTCTTGTCCCTAACACCTTTTCTCTCCTTCCAGGGCAAAAAAAGAACGTGAAAGAAGAGGGGGCTGTTTTGAGTCCGTCATCAAACTAGATGAGTTTAATTCTTAGCGTCGACGACGAACGAGTAGATAGGCTCCATGTCATTCTTGACAGGGTACAAGTCCCTGTGAAAGGTGGGCCTCCCATGTGGTTTTCGTAGCGAGACTTGGCTATTGCGTGTTTTTTTTAAAGAGGCTTTTACCATCCCATGTATCAACATAATGTATTGTGAAGAGGAGTAAAGGCACGAACGCTGCCTGCAGCACAGGCGTACCGACAAGAGCAGGAAAACCACACATCACACACTGCCAGGTGATGGCAGGATAGCGATGCTGCGATAGAGACGGTCAAAATGAAGCCGTAGAATACATCCTGGGATATAAGAACCGAAATCCGTGAATTGACTGAGATGTGTGTAGCTTCTATCCAACATGGAAGGGTTATAGTTCATCGGTGGCCGACACGCGTTGGGGTTTCTCTGACATTACGAAATCGGCGAAGGTTGTTGGCGATGTTGAGGATTGAACGTTTGTCCGTCCAGCAGTGTCGGCCATTTGTGAGACAGTTAGCGATTCGCTCATTACTCTACCCAACTCACTGGAAAGGATATCTCACGATAAAATCTTTATTTTATGTAGTCCTATGAGCGGAGGCTTATGGAATATTTTTCACCCGCATTGCCGAACTCAGTTAATTTCTCTATAGCTCGCCGGGTCTCTGGTGACCTGGGCGTCGGGCCTTGTCGTAGGCTGCCAGCGCTCACCGGCATATCTCCTTTGCCTCCTCTAGCTCCACCTGGTCTCTGTAGAGAAGACCAAGGTTGTGGACTATATCAAGACTGGCAGTATGATCTGCACCCAGGGCCTTCTCCCTACCCACCAGTGCTCGCTGGTACATCTTCTCTGCCTCCCTCAGCTTCCCCTGGTCTCTGTAGAGATTCCAAATGTTGTTAAATGTAAGAGAGTGGAAGTATTATCTGGACCCAGGGCCTTTTTCGCAACCTGTCAGCGCTTGCTGGTACATGTCCTGTGCCTCTTTCAACTTCCTCTGGTCTCAGTAGAGATTCCCAAGGCTGTGGATTGTGTTGAGAGTGGATGTATGATCTGGGCCCAGGGCCTTGATGAACTGCCTCGAAGAAGTATTGCCCCAGATCCAAATGGAACCGTCGAAGATTCAAGTGGTGATTTGCATCAGCGATTTAACATAGCCGCAATCATTGAACCACTCCGACCGACAGCAAAGTGGACAGGGATTGCGACTGGCAACCACGCGTCGAGCCCGCGGACTCTTGGATCGGGGATTGCAGATCCAAACCCGGTGGATCCCAAATGAGTCGACCAGCGAACAGTTACACCAGGCTAAGACCCTGGCCCTCCAGGCGACCGAAGCGCCGCATGCGTGGGCCGGCGGATACGAATCCTCGATGCTGCCCTTCCCGGGAAGCATACGAAATACCCCTACGACAACTTATCGAGACGACAGGCGAGTTTCTTATACAGTTGCGCACGGGACACATCCGACTGAATCGCTATCTGCAGAGAGTTGGCCACCTGGAAAGCAACGCTTGGGGGTGTGGAGAAGACGGTGACGATGGAGAAACAGTCGCACACTTCCTCTTTCATTGTCCGGAATGGAAGTTCTTACGAGGAGAGATGAAATCAGCGATGGGAACGCACTAGGAGGGAGAAGTAGGAAGGTTGGCCCTGATGGCCATCCGGTTGATAGAGCTGAATCATGGAAACCGAACTTGGGTGTGGTCCGCGAGATTCTCCGTTACGTGGAGAGCACCAGTCGATTGGACCGTGAAATAAGGATGTGAACGCCACCAAGTGGGTGGAAATGTACTAACGTAACTTAGTTTCGGTACATGCTTGCTAGGGGGCTACATGCAGCCGTCGGCCGCGAAAAGCCTGAGGAATCAATCAATCAATCAATCAACCAACCGCGGGTACCCGCCAAGAACCCATGGGCGGGTTCATGAAGGGCAAAATCCGTGGGCGGGTAAAGAAACTGAAAACCCAACCCAAACCCGCGCTTGGCGAGGACTAGGTGGACTACGCACGTCACGTGCACTTCCCTATGCCGCAGCATCCCCTGAGACAACAACAGAAATCATTTTCAACCTGATCACTGAACAAATGGGTGAGGAAACCTGAGCGCAGAGATTATCCGGTACGTATGTACAACAATATAAAAAGCCATCAATCATCAAATTCCCGTTTTCAGCATGGATCTTCCCCAGACATCAGAAACTCGAAGACCCACACTCGTCGAATCAGTGGACCTTTCCATCTTGCTGAGCAGAGAATGTGCCTCCTGATCCCTCGAAGTATCCTACAGCCCATGCTTAAGAACAGGTAAAGCGGAGGTCTTCCAAAGATCACGGCCTTGGTCCGTGTTGAGCAGCATTGTCAGTCCCAAAAAGACAATAGACAGAACAATGAGTGCTGCTGGAAGGGCCAGCCAGGGCCAATGAACATCAACATAAACTTCGGGTAGTAGCGCTGTGCCATTGAAATTATCCGCGTTATGCTGGAGGGCCCAGGTTGTCAATGAAGCAGCGACATTTCTCATAACATCCTCAAGGCCTGTTCGAAACACTCGGCTGTACCCACTCACTAGCGAGCCATCCGCTTGTATATCTGAACCATTCAATATCCGTGCGGTTTTTTGCGGTGCATTGACCTCCCACCCAAAAGAATCGCTATATCCGCTTAATTTGAAGCCCTGGTTTCCGCTGAGATACTCGATCAGGTCGGGAGTGAACTGTGTCGACTTGACAAAAGGCAAAGGCCATGCCACAAAGGCCATGCCATCCATCCCCGACACTTCAGACGTATATCTCCAATCTTTTTGGACCTTTACAGTCCGATGTCTTTGCAAAGAGGAGATGAAGTGTTGTTTCCACATAAGGCTAAATGACGAATCCATTCAGATGTAGCGACTCAAATTGCGATGATGCATATACAGAAGGCAGAACATAATTAAGCAATAGTATAAGATGTCCATTCCACCAACCAGCTACAGTTAGAGAAACGGGAGAAGTGGGTGAGAGTACCGAGCTAATATAACCACAAATTAACCGTTGTTTACCCCCACGTCTTCCCCCGCGCCGGGGGCCTCGATGGCCCGCTTTTCGGATTCGATTCTCATGCATTAGCTCCAGATTCATCTCAGTGAGATCTGGCAGTATGCAATAGGCAACAAACAAAGACCGCAAGCTCCACCAAGGCTCTAAGGTAGACCATGAGGTCGGAGAGCAGACAGACAAGGTACGTAATTGGATGATGTGGCCGAAAGCCACTGTGGGAACTGCCAATTTTTCCATGAACGAACTATACGGGAATTAGTTTGCTGGGTCTTAGTAGTGCTTTTATCAGGCCAAGAAGCAGAAGCTCTGACGCTAGCCGGCGCCACCGGAATACATAGAGTAAACGGAAAAGACTCTCCTCGGAAATTGACTGCACGGGTTTATGAACCCAGTAGTATTCAACCGACGCATGGACAGACATAGTCCGATGCTGCGAGATATAGCAGCGTATGTGCGCATTATGTGAATAGGGGAAGGTTGTGTCAACCGACGTTAACTTCGAGATAGTGTCTCAGGGTGCAGAGAACCCCGCACCCCGGCAGTGCACGATAGAATCTCTAGCAATGGCTGATGATGTGGGGCCCCGCCGAATTTTTAGATATAGTCCAAATGCAGGTTCACACCCTGATTCATACCCTATTCTCCAAAGGTATAGTTTCTCTCTGCTGGTCAACCACATACAGTCATCTGGGTGAATGACCTGTGTGTATGCCCAACTGTCCATTCCAAGGAGATTTAAAATCCCGAAACTTGGGAAAAAGGCTCTTCGACAAGTCCAGGGCTCCCAAGCCCAACCAGCTCCACACTATATTGGAAGATGATACATGCGAAACGAGACCTAAATGAATACCAATTCCCATAGCAGAGTCAAACGGGATATCAAAACCACGGTGCACGTAATTGTTGCCATTCAGAGGAATGATTGACGTATTATTCCAGATACGTCAGGCTACATATACAGCATGAGCTCCAAGTTGATTGATTTAATCAACTTGCTTCTTGGTATAGACAGTTCTGGAATTAATTCCGATGGTGCGGCTTTGTTCCTGATCTGCACCAGTCTCATATCACAACATGGTCTTGACAAGGGGAAAAGAAGCAAGCAATAAACGATAGTGCATTGGTTGAGAAACGGACGGAGAAGGAGAGAAGCTCCGACCCTTCGAGGACTATCTAACTACTCTCAAGACCATCGGGGTCACGTGAGCAACCAGGCCATGTGATCTCAACAATATCCCCTCGACGAAGAGCTCTCGTGTCAGTTTCTCGCCTCCCGTTATGATCAGCGCTGGGAGAACAACAAATGTGACTGCTACAAGATATTGATTAGGTATACTTTAAGTTTATCGGGTAGTTCAAGACGGTACGTACGGAGTACATCCGTAGCAAAAGTCCGAACCACCCGTGGATATTCGCGTACGTAAGCGGAAGCGCGGACACGGATGGTTAGCCCCGTCGGCAGATCCCGGGACGATCCACGGCTCGTCCTAAGATTACTGTAGGGTGCCAGGCGACGCCACCTTTACTAGTACTCCGTACAGTCTGTATAATAAATGTTAAATTGATTGACTGTTAATATTGGAATAGAGTTCCGCCCCAACTCTCTGGTCTCATTCGACAGAAGTCACGTATCTCGTGTGCCGAGAAACGCTACCTTTATGTTTAATAAATGTTTAAATTGATTGACTCTTAACATCGGAATAGAGTTTCGTCCCAACCCTCTAGTTTCGTTCGACAGAAGTCACGCATTTCCGTCCTTAAATGGTGCCAGAGGTCACCCGCCTCCTATAGGACGGATAGGACGAATCCTATTAGACTAGAGCTAGCTCGTATTTTCTTCCGCGAGATTTAATCTTAAGAGAGCAGCCCGCAGAGTTTATCGAGCACAATTAGTCACGAGGTCTACGATAGGCCTACTAGCTCATTGTAATTACTAGTGGATACGGTTTCGTCTCACTAGAAGGATGACGAGAGGAGGACGTGAAGTTGAAGTTGGCGTTTTTCAAAATTGTGGTTTAGGAATTAATTATACGAGGATGGAGGTACTGTAACTGCGAATTCGCATTCCATTACGATACCACCGTCTATATAAATACCCGTTCTCTTAGTTACTAATACCTCTCGCAAACACATCGCTAGATCAGTGAGAAAGGAGGACTAGAAACAAATTTGATGTTACATCTTACGTATAAGGGATTTAACTTGGGAATTTCGGGAAAGACGCCATGAGAACAATGAGCATAGTCTAGAGGTTGGACTCGTTCTTTCTGGCGCCTTACGAATCACTCAAATATTCGTCCACTGTATATTCTCGTAAGGGACGTAACAAATAAGAAATACAGGCAGTACAGTAGTAACCGCAGCAAAAACAGTCCGCACAGAGGCTGCCCGGGGTATTATTATTTCACAACCTCAAAAACTTGCGACACGGTGACGTTCTTGCCAATCCCCTCAGAGTTCGCTGTATTTTGTTCGGAGTGTACGCTGGAAATAGAGTTCTCGCGCTGTTCGGGACCGACACAAGTGGAAATAAGATGCGCTTGATCGTTCTGGTTGGACAGGAAGAAGTTGTCGGGGGGTTTCAGGGTGGTGGAGCGATTGGCGCGATCTTTCCAGCTTTCCAGCTCATGTCTATTCAAATAGCTGTTATTGGTGGTGGTTCCTCTCTTGCTTTTCACCCGGGTGAAAAAATGGCTCATCGCAGGTAGACAGGCACAGATTAGCCCGATCCCTGCTTCGGCGTTACTGTGAAATTCAGTCAGCGGCGACCTCGCAAAACCATCTGTTGATGCAACAGAGGGGTTTTTCCTTACGCAGTCAAAACGCAGTGGATCCAGAACCACGTTGTGTTTGTCGTATTGCTTTCCGCCACCATGATCACTAGTCGCCAGACACTAAACGCCGTAGCAAGTCCCCCGGCACCCAGTATTCCGACGACTCGCAATTTCTTCGCCCGTGTCATTTGAAGTGACCAGATCATTGGGACAGGCAAGATTAGAACCCACAAGTCGCTAGCGATGCTGATGACTGAGTCGGCAATAATGACATTCCGCTGGTTGAGGCACTTTCCACCATTGGAAGTACCAAACCAGTATGCCGAGATAGGGTCACAGAAGAATATCTTGAGGAACAGCGCTGCGACGTAATAGCACAGCATGATGCCGATGCTGATGTATATGACTATAACCTTCCCGCGGTGGGGAGCAAAAATCCTTCCCATGACTACTAGGAGAGCGATCTTGATCACAAAGACCATCGGAACATAAACCAGCGTGGTTGCGTACGAGACCTGTGTTAATTCGCTTGTTAGCGCGCTGAAAGGATAAAAGGGAGTATTGATTTGGACTTTTTGAAACTTGATGAACTCGGTTTCGGTGACATCCCATGCATTGTATCCACCACCGTAGACATTGACTGTATCTTGGTTAGCAATGCCCATATCAAGTTTCAGGTAATCGAATGCGCACGTAGAAGCATGCAAGCGCAAAACACCATGAATAAGGCCTTTGAAGGAGTCAGCGTTAGAAACGATCAACGGAGAGCTCAAGGAAGCCATACCCATCCAGCAACTGTAAAATCTGTTGGAGTAGATAGTCAGTATCAAAGCATCCTCGATCTCAATGACAGGCTTTTACCCACAGTCTTCTGCATTGAAGCTCTGATGATACCGAGCTCTGATCCACAGACGTAGAACCACAAACATCGTGACGACTATAATACAGAACACTTGCGCCACGAGGTTCACTGTGTGCAAGACATCTTTAGGATGTGCAAAGTTGGAGGACTGCCCTATCGGCGGCGGGATGGCAGGTTGCTGCTCCATTCGCGTAGTTTTTGATGTCGCTAGTCGAGTTTCTTGGCCGGCTGTCAACCGTAGAAGCAAGGCCTGAACGTAATACTCGGCAGCGTAGAATAATAATTGAAAGTTGCTGGAAAGGCTGAGATAAAAGTGAAAAGAGATACTATGCAATCAGGATGTATCCAGAAGAAATTTGCATCACTAGTCGAGAGTGCTTAGGGTACGGGGTACGCCATAGATTATCTTGAGCTCGTCTGTCCTGATAGTGGTCTTCACGGCTCGGCCACCACACTAGAAATGGATTTAAGGGTAAATCACTGCCTGGACAGTTCTGAAGGATTCACTAAATTCGTTGGGTGGAGCTGATCGGGCCCGAAAGCCACCCGAGTGGAGCCAAGCCAAGAGCTGGTATTTCAGATACAGTGAGACAAACGTCGTTGTGGCCCTCAGAGTTTAGCCCTCAGAGTTTGGCCCCAAGACTTTAGCACAAGGAAGCCACACCGGGCCGGACAAGGTTCATCGTTGGTGACAGACAAAAAGCGGCCGAACGAACGCGAACAAAACCTGTGCCCCATTGCATGAACTGGTCAATCAGAGAAGTGACAAAAAGGTTAATTCGGCACACTAGGTAGTTTTCGCTGTTGTGCTAATCGAACAGCTTTTCTCCAATTCCAGGAAAACTTGTTGTCATTTGGCTAAAAACTATAAAAAAGGGGCTCCCAGGAAACAAATACGACTTGACCTGTCCCCATAGATTGTTCATGTGGGGCCATAAGTCTATATAGTCTGTAATAACTGTTTTGCCTTTTCCGCTAGTATGCTCATTATCTCTCAAACAAATAATGACTTCATCGTAGTTGGGAGACCTTGGGAGATATCAGCTCGGCCCATCGACGAAACTTCCCCAAAAAGCACCAGCCCAGCTAACCTAAGACGAATTCGAGTTGTCGGCACAGGAGAATGCGGCACCTATAGTAAATGTTAATTATAGGTTGACGTTGTGTGCTGAAACTCCCACACATACCGATAGTTCCCTCGGCGTAGGCCACCTTGATTTGGATGATGACGCCGTAAGTTGCACCGACAAGGAAAAATATACCAAGAAGAACCATTCCGATATGGAGGACGAACTTGACCTTCTGCAAAAGAGATCCCTTTAAGTAGTGGCCATGGTCGTGTAGCCACAGTAGCCCGGGAAGGGATATAGCGAGCGGAGCAAAGCATAAAGATCCAACCAGGGCAATTAGGTAATTGAAGATCGGAATAGCCTCAGCGAGAATAAAAGAGATGGCGCCTAGAACGACTGTACAGGCAAGCCAAGTCCCCCAATGGGTCACCGTGTTGGCCTGCAAGTGACGGGTTTTGCCTAGGATTCGTACAAACACGTATTTTGCCCCGACCTAGATACAGGTTTTAGTTGAAAAGGCCATATAAATAGGACATGCAGAGTTCCTTACATGAAGGTAGAGCGTGGCGCTCACAATCAGTCCTAGCAACGCAACGCCGTAGGATACCATCTTGATCGTTTGGCCGGCACTCTAAATAGGAACCCGTTAGTTCACCATAGAAATTAGGTTAGCGCCGGGGTAGAGGAGAATTACACACCCCTAACGACGGGCTTGCGACCCATTGTCCACACCAGCGGTAAACAACCAAGCTGAAGGCAAGATACGACGCCGTGACTAGCAGCATGCAGGCGTATAGCGACTTCTTGTAGTCTTTCGGATTACGCATCTCCGAGATGACGGGTAGAAAGGCACTGGTACCGGCGGAGGAGACGAATATGGTGCTAGAGGCGACCATACCGGCGGCGAAACCTGGATTGTTGATAGCCACATAACCAAGCTCGTAGGGGCCTGTCTGGGGTGCGGCAGCGGGTCGATCTCGTGTGGTGACGCCGATAACCACAATTAGCACAGCGGCATAAATCGAAGTGAACCCTGCATACGTGAGCCAGCCAACATGGGTGAGTTTGCGGATCGAGGCCGTCGCGATCACTACTACCATAGCTAGGAATGACCACCAGACAGTACACGCCGCATGGTGCGAGAGGGCATTCAACGCCGTCGACACCCCGATGATTCCGCTGCCTGTGACGAGAACATAGCCGACGATAAATAGAAGGCCAGTAATTTCTTTGCCGACGACGCCGCCGATCACCTCCGCCATGTCGGCGATGGAGTGACAGTGAGGGCGGCGTAGGCGAAAGTTGCCTAGGATCACGAAGGCATATGTATTGAGGGCACCCCAGGCGACGATGCTAATCGCACCCCCCACAGCACCGAGGGAGAGCAGAGACGAAGGGAGCGACAACACACCTGTCGCAAAGAGGACCTTCACGAACAGAACGCACGCTTTGAACCAGCCCACATCACGAAAGCTAACGCCATCCGCCGTCTTCTTGAAGACTTCATGCTCTTCGGCCGAGTTTGGGATGCTTGCGCACTCCGGGTCATCCGAATGAGGGCCTGTCTGCTCTTTCCCTGTCATTGTAGGATGATCTGAGGATTAGAGAGCTCTCGCCAGACTGAACCAAGGGGGAAAGAAAACCTCTTGTTTGAGAAGTGGACCACGTTGCAGCTGTGCGCTCCAATGGCAGCAATTGGAATCCCAGACAATCCCAGTCAGCTGTTTATTAATTAAGAAACTCTTTTTTAGGGAATTCTTTTCGACGGGATAGTGGCAGGACTTAGTTTGACCCCAAGTGCCATAGCGGTAATCTACAGTGGGTTCGCGGGCCGAGGCTAACTGTATGCACTTGTATAGATCTTGACGTACTGTACTCTGTACTCCACATCTTGCTCCATAGCCAATAACTGGCCCACAAGTTGCACGCGGCATGTCTGCACTTTCCGCGCCATTCATTGTATCCACAGCCAAGGAACGGCACAAGGCTCCATTCTAGTGCAGATGCACACGGCGACCAATGCCCCGAATTGTACATGTAATTGAATAATGTTAATGATGGAAAGTGAGTCTTCGCCAATCTTTGCAACTTTGGCATACTTTCAAGTTATCCTCTATTATTGTTACCCTTCATTCTTCCTTAACCTTTCTTTTTGTATAGTGCGGGCACTGTCTAATTATTCCAACCGACAAAGCGAATTCGTCATGAATCTAGGATATCAACTCGGAAGTGATGTCGGCGGCACCTTCACCGACGTCTATGTCTTCACTCCTCACGGCCAAATCGTCCGCGCCAAAATCCCAACTACAATCCCAGACCAAAGCATTGGCATTCATAACGGCATCACCAAAGCCCGAGAAATCCTCAAGGCCCAATTCAACTAGTCTGGAAAGTTCCAGTTCATGCACCACGGCACCACAACAGCCACCAATGCTGTCCTAGAGGGCAAAGGAGCGCGTACCGCGCTCATGGTCACAGCCGGCCACAAAGATATTCTGGCCCTGCGTCGGTCTTAGATCCCAGGCGGTCTAGGTGCCTGGCTATACTTTACTTCGCTAGAACCTATTGTCCCTCTGGAAAGATCGTGCAATGCAAGGAGCGAATGTCGGTGCAGGGAGAGACTGTCACGGCTGTGGATATTGAGGATCTACGACAGGGCTTGCGAGCGTTGGCGGGACAGAATCCCGAAGCCGTCGCCGTTTCCTCTTGAATTCACGCAGTAATGATTCTCACGAACGAGTGGTGGAAGGGACAGTCCGCGAGGAGCTCGGCTCCGATGTGGCCGTTATCTGTTCTGCTGATGTATTGTGCGAGGTTGGCGAGTACGAGCGCACGGTCACGACCTGTACTAATGCGCTGGTCAAACCTGTGGTCTAGACATATCTGCTGAATCTTGCTGATATGCTTATGACCGAAAGTGATACTATCCGGGTCCTTAAGAGCGACGGTGGCCTAACCTGCTTAAGGCTGGCAGGGGAATTACCTGTTAATATTCTTGTATAAAGAGCTGCTCCGCCTCCTCTAACCGGCCCTGATCCCTATACGTCGACGCGAGGTTAATTATACTTTTTAGCGTGCTATAGTGGTCGGTGCCGAGCTCCTCTTAGTGGTCTCTATGACCTATACATTAAGCTGCTCCGCCTCCTCCAACCGGCCCTAATTCAATAATGTCGACGCGAAGTTGTTTATGCTCGTGAGTGTATTCGGATGTTCTATGCCGAGCGTCGTCTTGTAAGTTTCTATAATCTACCTAAAAAGCTGCTCCGCCTCCTCTAACCGGCCTTGATTCAAATACGTCGATACGAGGTTATTAATGCCCCCTAGTGTATCCGCGTGGTCCGGGCCGAGTTTCATCCTATAAGTCTCTATGACCTATATATAGAGCTGCTCCGCCTCCTCCCATCGGCCCTCGAGTGAGTATACCTTTGCCAGCATTTCTGTGCTTACCAGAGCTCTTTTATCCTTATAACCTAGCAATTTCACTCTCTACTTTTTCGATTGAGATGTCATGCTCCTAATATCTGCCATATTGCCGCTTTCTAAAGTATACCATACACCTCTATAAAGGAGAGTGGCCTATTGCAATAGAGTGGAAGCACCACTCTACTCTATTGCAATAGAGCGGCTTCTAATTTTGGCTGCTAAGACATCGCTAATCTAATGTGAGGAAACAGCCACTAGCATTCCTCCCAATTTTTATATTCACTAGTGGGGAACTCCTGATATAATATACCGATGAATCTTTCTCTTCATAGGTCTATGTGCCTATAAGTTTCTAGCCATACACGCGTTGTTAGTTGCACCAGCCGATGCATAGTGAAGAAAGTCCCGGTGTCGCTAGTGGATATAAATGAATAGTTTCGTAACGTCAAAATATCGTCTTCAAAATCGGATCCTTTATCAGATTTAGACGACTTTCCATCACTAGAGTCGTTATTGAGGTTGGAGGTAGAGGTGTAGCTAGCTTTAGGGTCGAGCCGAATAAGGTTCCCTGGTATTTCTTGCCGATCGAAAAAACTTATAAGAGAGAGTAGGTCCGCGGTGGATGTCTTTTTGCAGCGAATGTAATTGAATGATATTTGCTAGGTCACGAAGATTGAGTTCTTTGCTTCCCAATCTCGACCTAGGCAATTGGCCTCTTTCTTAAGAAGCTTGGTCGCTTCGTGGTCACTTGATTGGAAGTCTTTAAGGTATTGTGGTACCGAATAGCGAGGGGCTCGAGCTCTAATATAGCTAGCCGCCTAGACAATTGCGAGTAGTATAAACTTAAGCTCTTCCACTAATATTCGACTCTTTTAGGTTTCTTCTAGTCGTCTAAGCCTTTTTGGAGAAGCTCTAGCGCCTCGGACTATTCCATCGGTCTAACTTTAATCAGAGTGTATTTGACTATTTTGAGCGCCATCTCTCTGCTTCGACTTGTGATAATGACAGATCCATTCCGACCTCTAGGCACGTATTCTAGAAGTGGCTTCGCTAGGGCATTCGTTAGTTCCATCGCATGAGCGTGATTTACGATAGTTCGGGGCAAACAAAGGAGTCCATAGTCATCTATATTATCAAAGACACAAATTCACTTTCCTTTCTTCTTATCTCGTAACCAATTTTAGACAAGTTCGAAGATATTAGCTTTGGGTTCTCGACGGCCGGGGATCTTAACCTAGTCTACGATGTCCCGGAAGCTTTGCTCGAATCGGGCCTAATTGCTCGCGTGCACCCAAAAAACCTATATGGCCGGTGATTCAGATCGGATCTAATATAAGTATTCGATGGCGAGTTATGATTTTCTTCACATTGTGAGTAATCGACCGCGTACTAGTCCTTTCACACTTACCCGACGCCGCCGAGCCCAACTAGAGCTATCCTCGACCCTAGGACCGAATTCTTCTCGCGTATCTAATCAAGCAGTGTTTTTCGATTGACAAAATCCTGGTCGCGCGCGAATGGTACGGTCGATAAAGGGTCAGGTGGGGTTTCTGGTCGCTCTAGGGTAGGAAGCGGTGGTTAGTCGGTCGGCTCTACTCGTCGTTCCCTGACGCACCTAGAGCGGCCTGAAATTGCGCGTTGATTGTCCCATAATTGTTCGCAACCTGTGCACCATAGTTGATGCTTAAAAAATTTGTCGATGCCATAATCAAACAGGTGTGCCTCGTTTGAAATTCATGACAAGAGCCACGGTCTGGCTCTCAGCTGAAGGAGGGGCACGTACTTTGTTTCTGGTCAAGTGACTCCCAAGCGCTTAGCCAGGAAAATTAAGTGGCTGCGAGTACAGAGTATGGTGGTCCATGAATGGGGTCCGGCAACACCTCTTCCTAGGAGCGGATCGACCCGAGCCGGAACAGCCCAATCAAGCACAGCCGGCGGCAACAGCCAGACCTGTTCAGGTAAAAGCGTAGCTTTGACCTCAACATCTCAAGAGGCTATCACCTCTCAACTTTTATAAATGCATGTCATGGTCCACGCTCACTCGTTGCGATGGTTGGACTGGTAATTAATGTGCCTCTTCTTGTCATCCATCGTTTTTGTGAGGTCCGCACCTTTGAGAGGGGCCTCCAAGCACCCAGGAACTCCGAAATCACATGCATTTCCTAATACCCAGCGGGCCCCGGACCTTTCATACCCAGAATCTCTTCACCTGCTCACTGAGGGTGAACATGGGTAAGCAACGGCGAGTAGATGGGTGCTCTACCGCCCTCCTGTGAGTAATGACTGCTCTCTGCTCTACGTTTTCTCTATCGTGGGGCGACTCACTTTCCCTTTAACACCGCCATCGACCAGTGAGCGCCCGCAGATATCAGACGCGTTTGCTGTACATCATGCTATGATAATATTCGGCGATCTTCGCGGTCGACGTTTCCCATCTCCCACAACAAAACGGTGACATTGGCACGGGATCAATATTCAGAGCTCCTCAAGAAATTGGAAAACGACCAACCTGTTTGGGACTACACTCTCGATAAAGTGCGGTATGCTGTCGGTGTTGATGACAATGGCTGCGTGTAGCTGACAGGCATAGGTGGAATTATAATCCAAACACTGGTCTTCTAGAAATTCGCATGCCCACTCCGGTTCATGACTTTTTTGCCACCTCAGTCGCAGGAGTAGTAATTCTGAGAACCCCAGGAGAGAGTGCTTTTTCAGTTCATGACAAGTCGCAAATAATACTCATCTCTGTAGTGTCCGTTTCGGCCGTATCAGGGGTGATGATAGGTCTAGAAATGACAGGAGTCTGGTGTATTGTGCTAGTAGTCCTTTCAGACTTAACGGGCCGTTAAAAATATCTTCTTTGTCTTATTCACTCTTGATGCATTCTTGACACAGATGAGAATAGAGTGCGGAAGTAAGGCTTCCTGTCTGGACCCAGAGCCGATCAACCAGTACCTGACATATCTGCCGCCCTATCCGACGGCAAACTAGCAAACACGCCTGTCCTGGACTACCTAGGATGGATAGTATTTCAAAACAGCAAAAACCTCGTTTTGATCCTCCCTCTCGAAAGTAATCGAAGCTCTTGTAGCATGCGTCGCGGGGCTGTAACACCCTTCAGGCGCCGCGTGCGAATACTTGCCCCCGCTGTAGAATTCCGGATGGAGCTTCAGTGCCGTATCCTGCTCCCCCAGGCCCCACAGCAAACCACACCACGGTTTGTAATTGTGGATGCCCACGACGGTGGTGAATATTTCGCCGGAGGAGGATTTGAAGCGAAGCATTCCAGAGGTACCGCTGCCTCCCATGAACAGCACATGCTGGCCGTCGTTCTCGGTCCAGGTGCATCCATTGGCATAGTACCAGCAGGTTTTTTCGACAACTGTGAGGGCGTCAGAGGTGCTGTTCTCGATACGGAGACGGATAGTGTAGGACATTGTAGCGCTGCAAGGGTCAGCATACTCCTGAAGAGCTTGTGGTGGCATACATACAGGATGCTGGTGTGACTAGTATGTCAGGACCTGGGATAGTGTAGGAGTGCTGCTGGCTGCAGAGTACATGCTCTAATAGAGAAATAGTGTCTTGTCGAGTCAGGCGGAGGAGACAAGCTCCAATACTCGTGGGATATGGACGCTTTATATAACAAACGGGACCGTGATACGAAGGCTAATGGAGATACCTTCTCTCGGCTATTATTGACGTATAATTCTGTTTGCTACTCAGATCGCCACCGACAATCCAATCGATGTTAGTGCTTCAGCGGTTTGGGCGCTGTGCTCTAGTGCTTACACCTACGTTAATCTCACGATGAACCATGGAGAAGTGGGTTCGGATATGACCGAGCCATGTGCCAATCTCACCTGCAGGAAATAGATCACTCGGAGCTGAAATGAAATTATGGCGTCGACGCATATACGGGAATGGGAGAACCCCGAGGCCGGCGAGGGTGGCGTAAATGGTTAGTGTATACCCGATAGTACGAAGCGACAGGACATGCCCTCTCCAAAGATGCTACTATCAGATTCAGCTCCAGAAGAGCGACGGAACTTGATGTCAGCATTATCATATAAACCCAAGAGGGAATGGCCGGGTCCGATAGTACGAGCCCTTGCCGTGGCGTTCCCCAGAAGGTAATCCTGCAGCACGGCGCTTAAACTCTGGTAGTGGCTGAGGATTCCTGAGCTGAAGATATTAAAGTGGCGTGCTGACGATAAAGTTGTTATACTTGTAATATGCAGTTGATAAATCCCTCTCCAAAGGCTGGCGGGTGCTAGGGCCACTGGAGATACCGTACCTAGCTGAACTGATAAACAGCTACTCATTGGTTTAACGGGTCACCGGTAGGGACTGAGCGTACGCGGACTGAAGTTGTATAACGACGATCGATGGTCTAGGCTCGGTGCAGCTCTCCATATACACTGTAACCCTCCCAGGAGGGCTGCGCAGCATGTTACCTATCGGAAAGTAAAAATACAAACCCACTGGTACTGTATGCGGTCGAAAACGGCTCACTCGAATGGTCCATAGACTGGAATTGAATTGTGGCTAGGTTGCTGGGCAGAGCAGGACGCCCCTTCTGTTTGCTTTGTTTGCAGAACGGCCATTCTAGAAGCACCTTGGCTTGTACAAGCTTAATACAAAGGCTATTTATGGGCTGTTATTTACGACTGTATCAGGATACTGCCAAGATCAAGGGAGAGGGGCAGAGTAAACTATAATAGGTATAGTGAGTTTTAGGTTGACGTTCCGAAAAGAACCTCTGTGTTCAAGTGGTGAATCTGATTTCAACCCCTGCTGTAAGAGCACGAATCTGCCTCAACTCCTATTAAAGATGTAATCCTTCATTAAAAATTGAACACCTCCTTGTTTGCCTTGGCCCACTCTTCTAAGCCTGAGGCTCGGCCAGCGTACTTTCGAAGATTAGCGGCGGCCTGTTCGTACGTCTCTCCTTCAAACGGGTCAAACTCATCACCGCGCCTGTCCTTCGGTCTCAAGGACTGAACCAACCTCCCAGCAACTAAGTCTGGCACGCCAATCTTCAGCAGGTTTTCCGCTCCCTCCGTCTCATCCAATTCGGTGACCTTGATGTCTTTGCCAAGCGCCTTGCCAAATATGCCCACGGCATCTCTCTGGGACACCAGTTTTGGTCCACAAAGAGGGATCGAGTTGCGTTCTTCCGCGCCTTCGCTCGCCTGCATTCCTTTGATAAGCAGCGTCCCGGCCACACTACCAATGTCTTCGGGCGAGATCCAGTCGAGTTTAGCATCCGGATACGCAATTTTCACCTCTCCTTCGTGAATCATACCCGCCCACCAACCCGCATTAGTGCTAAAGTATGCCGGTCGAATCGCTATATAGCCGTTGCTGCCAAAGACTTCGCGAAGGTTGACCTCGACCTGCGCATGGGTATACGCGATGACGTCTGTCGGTGTTATGCTCCTGATGTCACCGTGTACACTAATGCTACTCAAGAAGACAACAAACTCGATACCGGATGTCTTCAGAGCTTCAAGAGTGCGTCTCATGTGGTCTATTGTGCCGTGCACAAGGTATATGAAGGCACGCTTCGCTCCAGTCGTTTGCACGGCAGCGTGAACCGTTTCGGGTTTGGTGAGATCAGCTTGGACCCTTTCGAAGCCCCCTGCCTTCTCCTGCTCTAAAGTGAGGCCTGGAATGGGCCTCAGGGTGTCACGCAGAGCAAGGACCACTTTTGCACCGCCTTGCTGCGCAGTACGAGCTGCGGCAGAGCCGACGTGGCCGGTGGGGCCAAAGACGATAGAAGTGGTGAAAGCCATAGCGAAATGTTTGTCAGGTTGTGAAGAACTGAACGAGAGTACAATGGGACCCTTGGGGATCGCCGTGAATTTATATTCCAGTCGACGATGTTATGCTTGTGCTGCATCCCTGCTCAGGTCGGAGTTCCCTTGGCCGACGTCGGTATTCGGACTTCCACATGGCCGTATTCTCGTAATGGAAGAGATCCACTATCCCCAGAGTAATTTAGTATCTATGGCTAGTTAACCTATCATTTCGCAGACTTCCACGGTGTAGATCTCAGAAAATTTCCGGCACAGAGGGTTCCGGGTTTGATTAGAAATTGAGGCGGTCGGGGAGATCCAAAGCGAATTCCGAGCGCTGACAAATCGCAACACACAGGAACTTGGCACGTCGTCCGTGCTTTGCTTCTATACAGTTAATTAATACTTATGAGTCAACCTGATTCGGCAGTGCTTATAGTCGTGTTTAACGCGTGGCCAATCTCACCCGTTTGAAAGATTCAATATGCCCATCCCAGTTGTTCTTTGCGGCCGGCTGGAGAAAGTGGGTTCCATTGTGATCTCAGAGCTAGAACCTGACTATGAAGGTAAGAAAAGCTTCACCCCCCTGCACGACTTCTCTCGCATCTCACAGGGTAATCAGTCACATATTTCGTCATGAGCATCGAGGACGGTATACGCAACCTCCCTCTTATCCTGTCTGGTTCCACCCCAGCCAATGACAAAAGCAGTCTGGGTTCGAAAAACTACTCGGCTCCTCCTAAAGCTGTCATTCTAGGAGGCGGATACGATGATGAAGCTGTCACTCAACTTCGCGAAGCTGTTACTAGCTCACCAGGAACAGTAAAGATACCTTGGTTGAAAGCGGATCCCGAAAAGACGAAGGCAGGTCCTACTCCGGGATCAGAGGAGTACTGCAGGGCGGCGGCATCTCGAATGAAATATACACTTGGAAGTATTCTAGCGAGGGGTGATCTTGAATCAGAAGATGACGAGACATTTTACTGGTGATAGGGCAAGTCGACTGTCTATAGAACATGGCAATGGAAAGAACGGTTGACACGCTCGCAACGCTCGATACAAGAAGTACAGGGAGGAAGGATCCTGGTGATCTTGTAGGATACCGTACGGGCTAGTTATCCTAGGTACCAGTAGGCTCTACAGGTTAGGAAAGTAATAGAATGTCTAAGATACTATATCAGTAGCATGGCAAAGGCGTGGCAGATATAGTTTGTTGAGTCAATGTCCGAGGAAGTGAAAATTGTGAAGTACGATGGAATTAGAGCTTATAGAAGCAAACTTGCAAGTTGAATTGGTACAATTCTACTGAAGCCCTAGGGATCCTGGAGATATTTAACCTGCACTTTCGGTGAGCCCTTGACAGTGAGGAATGCCATAGAATCGAGCGGAATCCCTGTTCAACTCGCATTCTGCAGTCCTTTAAGCGAGATAAGATAAGAGTTAAAGTCACTTAAACTTTAATTTAGGCCTTAACGGGCCTCTTATAAAGAGGTAGCAATATCGGCTTATAGTATAGCCGAATTGTATAGTAATATAAGGGTCTTTTTCTTAAATAGTTCCTATATTATTTTATAGGCGGTTCGCTAGGGTTCCGCTTTCTCTTTAATATAGTGTCGCTATCTTTTACGGTAGTTAGAGCTTATACGGTTAGTGGCACTAAGGATCTTTCTTTCGCCTAACCTATACTTACGAGATATACCTACGAATATATCTTAGAGGTCGCTAAGCTAGCTTTAACGTTACTATATATTATAGTGTACTTTAAAGATCGGAACCTTAATTTTGATTTCTCTAGGGCCCCGTCCTCGTTCGGATAACGTAGAGGAGGAGCGTCGATAGCGATCTAAAGTCGATTTCTCGGTTATTTAGCGTATCGCTTCCTTAAGTTCCTTCTTCTAGGTAAGCAACGTATAAAGGTTTTTGAGACGTTCGATCTTAGCGAGGTGCTCGCTAAGCTAGGGAGTCCGGTCCTAAGAATAGTCCTCTAGACTACTACTTCTATCGTAGATAGTAGCGGGAGGGATTATAGACTCGGTATTAGTTCGGTGTAGGTTCGCTAGCGATCCGCGAGCGACCGACGATCGGGTTATTATAGTTACTTTAGGAGGTATCTTTAATCTTAGGTAGTTAAAGAACAAGAATTAGAATTATAAAGAAGGGGGGTCTAGTGTTTATAGGATAGAGCCTATCAACTAGGTAAGACGAAGATACCTAGGTGTTACGCACGACTATCGGGTCGTCGCTATGTTAGAAGATTCCTAGGTTATACTTGCCTGATGCTTCTCTGTTTCCAACGTTAACGATCTATCTCTCAACTGTACCGTTGCCTAGCAGGCCTTATACGGGCTAAGTCCTTTTGAGGGTATCGAGGAGCGATGCTAGATAATGCGCCGAACTAACCAATACCGGAGTAGAGGTCTATTCGTAGTGTTGTTAAGTTATAATCAAGTTGTACGAGTCACCAAAGGTTCTGAACAGTAGACATAAGTAACAATGTATGATTAAACACGAAGAACTAAACTAAGTATATAAGGGAGTGTCCTTATATATCCTTCGTTCGGCTACTCCTTTGTCTACTCCTTGGGGTAGCTAATAGGAGTAGCCGGCCTTGTCCTCTTTGTCTACTCCTTTGTCTACTCCCTCAGAGTAGCTTCGGGAGTAGCTCTTTATTTAGGTCACGTGGTAGTGATCTTATTGGTATATAGAGTATACAATAAGGTAGTGAGCGGGGGGCCAAAAGTGGCTTCTTATGCGCAGACCCTATCCACTATATATAGTCATATATATATAGGATAAGGTCTGCTAGGTAGGTCCGCTTAGGGTAAATCATACTTATGCTCACTAAGCATGATCACGTTTCTCTTTTCCTTAGATACTTAGGGTGTCTGGAGTATAGGGTACTACACGTGACCTAATAATAGATAGATCGGTTGGCTCTCGGTGGCCTATTAGTAAGTTACTATCCTATATTGATTAGTGACTAGCATATCTATAATATCACCTCCCCTCTTCCTAGGAGTTTCGTCCCTAAGACTTATAAATCTGCGGTCCCCCCTTAGGTAGGTGATAATTTTTCTTTTTCTTAAATAATATCGTCCTTCCGTTATACCCGTTTCTAACGAGATTCGTAAGCGAAATAGGTTACGTTAATATAACACTATCTTATCGATAGGTTCGATCGTCGATACCCTATGTGAACTATGTTCTAACAACTTTATCGACTACGTTATAGATTCGAAGAGTCAGAATTATGCGGAGTGCACTCGGCGCGGTCGTAAGTGTGTAAAGCGGTTCTATAATAATCGTGAGTAGGAATCGTTAGAGCGTGATCGGTAGAAAGTGGCGGCGGAGTTAGAGTAAGCCCAAAAATAATGGCTCGAATACTCGTAACGTATAAATTAGGCGATGTCAAAAATCCTTCGCCTTTAGAAACAATAAGAGTTTCTTAAAGATCGTGGTGGTTAGATGTTAAATCATGACTCGGTGGTAATAGAGTAGTTAGATATTGAGGATCCTCTTTCCTTAGAGGATCTCGCTAAGCTAGATCGCCTCGCCGATAAGCGTAATACTTAGGTTCTCGCCGCTACGTTAGAGAATCCTACTCTAACGTAGATATTTGGTCCCCTATCCCCGTCTACTTTAAACGGATTAGACCTTTCTTTCTTAGGTGGTGATTCTAGTGGTAGAACCGTTAAACTAGCTAGTGGCAGTCCCTTAGGTTCTCAATAGGTTCCTATATATTTTTAGAGGTATCGTACCCTTTCTATTTTATTAAGTAGTAAGGCTTCCCACTAATTCGTTTTTTATCTAGGATTTCCTCGACCTTATATTCGTTTTCGCTTTCTTTATCGATTTGTATATTAGTAGCGGTTTTGGCGTTTTCTAGTGCTAGTTCGAGTAACGAGATATAAAACACTAAATAGAGTCTTTTTATGCTTTCCGGTAGTTTTAAGCGATAACTGACTAGTCCTAATTTTTCTTCGATCTTAAATAGTCCTAGTCGTAGGTGGTCTAATTTGTTGCTAGGTCGCTTGGTTTTGATGTTGCGGCGTAAAAGATAAACCTTTTCCCCCTTTTTTAGGTTAGGTCCCTCCTTATATTGGCGGTCGTAATATATCTTTATCCTTAGCCTAAGGAATTCGATATCTCTAGATAGCTATAGGTGTAGCTATCTAAGCCTACTAGCTAGGATCCGTGATAATTCTACTATTGGCTTCTTGCCGATTGGATCTCCTAGGATTCGTGGGTGAAACCTATAATTCGTAAAGAATGGCGTTTCCCTTGTTATAGAGTGCATAGCGTTATTATACGCTAGTTATGCTATTGGTAGCAGTGATGCCTAGTCGTCCTACTAGTAATTTATATGATATCTTAAGTACTGCTTGATAGTCTAGTTCACTCTCTCTATTTGTCCGTTAGTTTGTGGGTGGTAGGTAGTGGAGAGTCTTAGCTTAATGCCTATTTAGTCTATAAATAATTGCTATATATTCGATGTGAATAGCTTGTCTCGGTCGGACGTGATCTTACTAGGTATTCTGTGGTTCGAGAACACGTGTTAAATAATTAAGCTTGCTATCTGGCTAGCTTTGATGGTTTTAGTGGTTAGGATTATATAGGCGTACTTTGTGAGCCTATCCACCACAATTATGATTATATCGCAATTATCCGATACTAGTAGTTTAGTGATAAAATCCATAGTAATCTAGTCCTAAGGCTTAGTGGGTACTTCCGATAATTATAACTCCCTATATAGCGTATACCGTGCTAGTTTGTTTCGTTGGTAGGTATCGCAATCCTTGATATAGTGGCGAACCTTTCTTATTATATTTGGAAAGTAGAAGTTTCTTATGATTTGTTCCATGGTTTTCTTAACTCCTATATGCCTATAGGTTGGTATATCGTGGTGTCGGCGAATAACTTTGTTTTATAGTATAGTAGGAATATATATTAATCTATAGAGGTATACTAGTCCGTTATTATCGTCGATAATCCTATTGTCGTTTGGGTTCGTTCGTATTTCTTGAATAAGAGAGTCTTTTTCGGTTACGTCCCGAATTTACTGTGTGAACTTATTGTCCTTAAGTTCGCTAGTAGCTACTAGTATTTATTTATTATATAAGATAGTGCTATCGTTGTTCTATTTTAATATAGCGGGTTCGGCTATTTTAGTACTAATCTTATAATCTAGTCTTCTACTAAGTACGTCTACTTAGCTATTCTCCGTTTCTTTGTAGTGTTCGATTTTAAAATCGTATTGTGTAAGGGTTTTAGCCTATCGCGCTTATTGTCGTGTAAGAACCTTCGTTGTTATAAAGAACGTAAGATTCTTATAGTCACTCTTAACCGTTATAGTGTATTTTGCTCCTTCTAGATATACTCTCTAGACTTAGAATGCGGACACTATAGCTAATAGTTCCTTATCGTGTATGTCGTAGTTAAGCTCGGCGGAAATCATCTTCCTAGACTAGAATCTAACTAGTCTATATTTTCCGTCCGATCCTAGTTGCGTTAGTCTAGCTCCTAGAGCGAAGTCTAATATATCAGTTTCTATAATAATCGGTTTGTTGTAGTCGAACGTAGCGATAACCGTTCCTTTGCTAAAAAGGTCCTTAAGGGCTTAAAATGACTTTTCCGCTACGTCGTCCTATTCGAATTTTTGATCTTTCTTAGTAAGCTTATAGAGTCCTAATACGACTCCGGCGTACCTATCGATGATTTTTCGATAGTAGTTAGCTAAACTAAGAAATTATTGAACTTCTTTGACGTTTTTAGGCGTTAGCTATTCCGTGATGCTCTTAACCTTATCTTCTTCTATCCTAAGTCTATTGGGACTAATGCGGTATCCTAGAAAGCTTGTTTCCTAAGTATAGAATTCGTATTTTTTGAGCTTAAGAGTGACTTTCGCTTCTCTTAGTTTCTATAACACTAGTTTATTATGTTTGATGTGTTCTTTAAGTGTTTTAGAGAATACTAGGATATTATCTAAGTAT